CGGGTCCTCCTCGGAGAGCACACGGTGCGGGGTACCGGGGATCCCCAAGTGCGTGGGCTGCGGGGACGGTTGTCGCAAAGCGTTTCCAACGGCATGATCTAGGTGCTTGTTGTGGGGAGGAAAGCGCTGGAAACCGATGGGGGTGCCGGAGCCGGAGCTTCCATCCTGGCTTCCAAAAAGCTTAGGCTGGGGGCGATTAGGCAAGCTCGCGCCAGTGCCATTGGGAGTCTCCGACAGTGGGGTAGTTACTGGAGACGACATGATGCAGTATGTGAGGCAGATCTCTTAACACGTAAGAGCGAGAAGATGACAGAAGCTATAAGGCAATCAGCATGAGCTCAGATGAATCATCTGGCACGTGTGAGATGAGATAAGGCGACACAAAGAATGTGCTTATCTCGGTAGGTCGAAGATAACAAGCAAGGAGGACAAGAAACGCTGTAAGACTTACTGGCAAATACAATGATCACCAATCGTCGCCATGGACTGAAGGTGAGAAATGAGAATGGATGGGAATCAGAAGGATTCAGAAAATCCGGGGAACCCTAGTCTTTTATACACAACAAAACCTGATTCTCAGCTTTTACTAGTGCTGCTCTATTCGTCCCTGGCTAATCCCTAGTAAGCCCTATTATCTCTGTCTCTATTAATACATACTCTCTTATTTCCATTAGTTATTCTATTATTATTACGTCCCGCTCCCACCAGTTATAACCGATAATAGGCGGGGAGGTTCAACCGTATAGAGGTCTCGAAGCTGATTAAGATCCGCCGGTCCACTTTGTTCCACCCCAAAACGATCATTCTCTCTCCACTTTGACTAACAGCCGGCGATACATTCTCCGCTGATTGGAGCTCATCGCCCCTCCTTCCGAACTCAAGCCGATAGCAAAATCCCGCTGCGTCATGCGGGCCGATATGAGACGAAAAGAATTGCCTCAACAGTCTGGAACGTGGCTGAGGACAGGAACAGGGGTAAAAAGAGGTGAGCGGGTGACCTGGAAGAGACTTGCTGGAAGCTGAAAAGAGCATAGTAGCAGGTCCACGGGGGGTCACCTGAGATGTCTTAATAGGGTGCATGGATGATGTATACAGGGAATGATGTGATCGCTGCCGAACATCGTGGAATGCAATGTGTCATGAACCCACCCTAGGATAAGAAACTTCCGAGTTTTTTTTTTTGGGTTGCTAAATGCCTCATTCTCCGTGTTCCAGCCCGAATGGCGCTGCTCCAGATCGCATCGTGATCGACTGCCCTACTCTCTTTCAGCTCCACTGGTGGCTGTTTCGGTCCGGGGGATTTTCGCCATTGAAGAGGAGTTTGCCGTGTTTGACCAGTTGAGGCAAGGCCAATTGCAATTTGAGGCAATCTTTGCGAATGTCGCCGGGCCGGTGACAACCTTGGAAGAAAGCCGGTGATAGACTATCAATATCTCCCATGTTACATGTGTATGTCATATCTCCAACCGGAGGGGCTCTCCAGGGCTGGTACCTGGATGACTTGCGGGGTAAACATCAACATCTTCTACCACGCTCGTAGCTTCACCCTGTCATTCGTTAGAAAAGACGCATTGGCACGTCTTTACCCCAACAACTACATCAATTGCATTTCTTTTACGCATCTCCAGAATTTCCTGGCGGGGCGTTTACGTGATGGCGGACTCTCGGCGCGCTTGCGATTGGAAGAGCCCGCCGTCCACCGAGAGATGAAGTAATTGCTGTCCTCTAGGGGAAATGATATTCCGCCCCGTGACGTAAAATAGCCTCAGGGCATTGATCTAGATTTCTCGAGTCTGGGGAGATCCCGCTCGGATGGTCTTCCGATCCCCAAGGTCTCTTCATTTACTCCGTACAACATACTTATTCACGGGTTCTCCTAGTTCGTCTGACACATACAGCTGGTTCCCCGTTTTTCTCACGGCCTGCGGATGCCTGATTGGTGTCACCATCCGACACGAGCTCAGCTGCCACTTCACAGCTCTCTGTATATATTTCCCAAGTGTTGGCATTTAGGGAGAACCTTGTGAGTCAAGTCCCAAGACAGGACACGGCACGGGACCAGCAGGTCAGAAGATCATCTCGAAGATAGTCAGGTCGCGTCGTTGAAAGCATATTCTCTGCAAGGTTGGAAGTGGCATAGAGTTCAGAGTTGCAGATAAAGGGCTCTCGTTCCTAGAAGATCGATCTTGGGTACAAGCCCAAGGGGTTATAATTAGAGATCTTCGAAGACGTGCAAGGGCCAGGATAGAACGCGATTCCAAACTCAACAATTCGTCAGTGCCCTGTGAATCGGGCACCTTTCAGAGGGTCTCGATCTTTTCCGATCGGAACATCCCCTGCGTATCGAGCAAATCAGCCCTGCCTTCGCCTTATCCTGTTTGGCTGGAGGGGTCCGCGAGTACGCCGGGGTACTATTATAGGTGAGTCCAAGAGTGTCTCTCTTATACGTCTGGCGCCTACAAGGATATCCCATCTGTCGGTAACTGCGGTATTGGGTAGACCAACATTGGTCTTATGCTCAAGTAGTCCGAATAACTAACGAGCAGCCCACGATCACGTCAGCTCATAATCATGCATAGGATGTGTTGTACATATTGCCCCTGACGAATCCATCCCACAGTTGGCACCACAAATGTCGAAAATGGTGTATCTCACAACACACTGGGCAGCCAACTCGTCATTTCCCCTCTTTGTCAGATCGCTACAATCTATCATTGAAATCACAAGTACCTCTCAACGAGCGGTGAACAGGCCAAGTCACCAGGCCGAGACCTTATCTTACGTCGCGAAAAGAATGTTATCTAAATCTTTGGGATACATGGTGCGCCTCCATATGCAAGTATATCAGACATATGGAATTTGCCGATACGATATGATGTAGTAATATAGTGTTGCTATTATTATAGCAGATACCACGGGAAGTCCGCGATCAAAGGGGTTTCGAGATTCCCGAACACGCCCAGCCTCACCGTCGGAGACCCGGTACCCAGGAAATCAAGAAATCAGGAATGGACATTCTGATTCTACGACTGAGAGTAACACTCTTCCTTGCCCAGATAACGTCACATTGTGAGAATATGTGGCAGTGGAGTGCATATTAAATAGTCACTACTCCGTATGTACTCCGTACTCCGTACTCGCCCCTTGAATCCGGGGAAGAAGAATTGTGGAGTCCCCTATTCGCGTCGATCGGCGGTAGAACGGGTCAAAGGGATTTTGGTACTTTTGCAGCTCAACGTTTATGCCCCTGAATTTACCAAGGTGGCTGTGAATCAGGAATTGCTGAAGCCTTTGGCATCGGAGAACGGAGTACGGAGTACTCCGTACGTCAAAATCAACACATCTCAAACAACCTTGATCTGTGCCCCAGACGTTTCGGCCCCTAGCGAAGTATACTCCCAAACTATTACAGGTCTATCTGTGGCGCTGTACAATATACTATTCCATACAAGTGTTGTTTTATCAGACGGATGTGGAGTTAAACTATAGGTGGGTATACCGGTACTTGAGCCCCTTTTATCATATCCAGCTCAACGTCTCAATTTTTGAAGGATCATCCTGATTGACAATGCACCTTGGGAATTGATGAGCACGTCAAAATAGAACAAAAATCCTGATTGGCGTATTTCCAATAGACGGTGAAAATCAGTTGTTGAACTCCATACATATCCGATCACACCTTTTCCCCGGATGTATACATCCATGGATATTGCAGGTCTATTAAATAATAGCTCCGATTCCTGTCGCCACCCTGGAGCCGATCTCCTACACCGCAACGGGGAAACCCCCTTCCATAACCCCGGCAATCTGGTCGCTGGGCCACGGTATTTGTTCTCGAAAGGATCGTCGTCTCCGCTCTCGTGCCGAGGTCTGAAAGCGAGTTTTCTCCGGGCAACGCTAGAAGGTGTACGGAGTGCTAGAATCATAGAAAACAACGCTTAAGTAGCACTAGTTTTTAGTTCTGTAAAGAGCTTTGCCGGTTCAACCGGTTCAACCGGCTTTCGCTACGGAGTAGTTCCCACCAGACAATGGACAATGTCAATAACGCAATACATACAGAGGACATACATATGAAATAACCAGGTATCAAATGGTTGATTCATCGATTCTCATCCCCTAGTTTCTTCCCCACACTAACGCGTCAGGCCTATCTCCTTTGTTTTTTCTTGTTTCCGGGTTTGGCTCCCGTTATTCCGATGAATGTCCCCCTACCTCGATAACTGGGTTATTGGGCTGTTTAGAATGAGGCGAATCGACATGGCAGATCTCTAGGGAGTAAGCATCAGGCCTGGCCAGGTATGCGTGTATGTACTGGGTACTTTCGTGCTTCCCCAGGGAATGTACTCCTCCACACTTTACGGGGATGTCTGTTTTGGGTGTCTCATTTCTTTTTTTATATTATTTTTTAATGAGAAGGGGAAAAATATAAACGACTCCTTGACCCTGAAATCGTCTTGCTCCTTTTCTCTGCTCACTCACCTTTACGATTATTATACCCAGCACTGTCAACAGCTTTGCTATCACCTTCGCTCTTATTGTCTTCGAGTCTTCTACGGAGCATACTATACCTGCAATACTCAAGTTCAGCCTCTTCACATCTCCAAGAAATCTATAATCTCAACCACCACCTCACCACTTCTACTCTTACTGTTACTATTACATCTCGCAAATAGCCGAACCCGATTCCTTTTCTCCTTGTAAGTTTAACTCCCGTCACTTCTTGCCACATCACACCCGATCCCCCGGGACCGGGGCCGGACTCGGGCAACATCGGAGCCGCAAAGTCCATCTATAGCCTACAAAGCACAAGCACTCTGCAACAGAAGCTGACATTTACTCTCGAACCTCAGCCCATCTACATTGCTTATCTGGCTACCCCATACTTTCCCAAGTGTAAACCGAAACGAACAGTCCATCTTCACCCTACCTAAAACACTTGAACCTCAAGTCTAAATCATCTCTCTACACCAAAACAAACCAAACCCTATACATCCACAACAATGGCCTCCGTCGCAACCAAATCCGCCACCCCGGTCATGCCACCTTCCTTCTCCATGTCTCAAGACATCTCCCGCGCCATCATGACAGCCTCAACCCAAAGGGCAGAGAAGACCCGCTCGATCCTCATCGACGGCATGCCCCCCGCGCCTCCCCCATCGCCCGTCGCCTTCTCCAAGGGCACGGCTTCCTACAATGATATCCCCAGCCTAAACCTGGAGTGATTTCACCTTTTTCTCCTTTCTCGGTTTCGGCTTTCGATCATACCATCCTTCATCTTTCATCTTTCTTCGATACATCTTCTTCTTCCTTCTCGACCTTCTCAGGAGAAATCATTGTACCATCATCTAATATTCCCGATAATGGTCTTGCGTGCATGGCACTGTTGGGCAGATTCGCCCCGTCCTGTCCGTTGTTCTCTTTCTTTCCTTTTTCCTTTTTACTACTCGTTCTTCGACTTCATATCCGCGATGCTTATTAGCCTTATGTCTTTCTCTTTGGGTCTTTGTCTTTGTCTTTCTTTTTACATGTCGCCTCTTGGATTTAGCGTGTTTATTGGCGGGCATTTATTATCTGGTTCTGGTTTTGCGCATTGGAGCGCTTTTCAAAAGTCTGGGGAATTGGTGTTATAATTGTTTTTTTTTTTCCCTGGGCTTTCCGAATCAGAAATCAATTGGGTATTTTCTTATTTCATTATGTGCCTGTATACCCTTAATATGGATATGTACTCGACATCTTTTCTTACTATTATATATTGTCCAGTGTATACATTTGCTTTGTAGACACTAGCTTCATTGCAACATAATTCCTTCATTACAACTAAGCTTTTTCTAACTAGTTAATTCTTCTAAAATCTAACCTAGGCTGTCCGGTAATCGCACTTTACCTCGGAAAGTCGGAGAAGGTGTCTAGAACAGTAGTTCCGTGCGCCGGCGATGGGGAGTAGCCACTATGTTGTACATGATACAAGATACACAGCTAGGAACCTGTCGTCCGATGCGAGTAACGGCCCATCTACTTGTGCATGTGAAGATCATGCCGATCACGACGTCACCAGTCTAGCATTGTGGAAGTTAATGGAGTCGCACAACCTGCTCTGTGCTCTATGCACATGTTCTAGATGTCGAACGGGGCAGATACAGGATACAATTGGTTCGCGCAATCTATGTTTCTATCATTGTTTATCGTTCACAGATGGTTTGCGTGATCAGTAATTTTAAATGGAACAAGGGATGTCATTCCTACATTAAGTTTGTGAATGACGTTACTGCTCTACGGAGTAGATCCACCTATTTTAGCGTAGCTGAGATGGCTCCACCGATGGGCTGTTTGCTCGGTCGAGCTGGGTGGGGCTTGTCACCGGTGATGGCTTTGCTAGGATGTCCCGGGTTGACCGTTGTGATGCCATTCCTCCGATATCACAGAGAAGAGGGTCAGCTGTGTCTCCATCACGGGAGTAGGGTTTTTGCTTCCCGCGAGGAGATCAATATCTCCTCGCTGGCGCTATTCCGCGGTTTCCGGCGGGACAATTCGGCTATGTACTACAACGTAGGTCCACTGAGATACCGACATCAGGTAGCTGTTCAGGCTCCGGATGATTCACAGACACAGCTAGACCCAATATCAGCACATTGTCGATTTGCAATTCATGAAGTAAGCTCATCGCTGTCAGACGTCAAGTCCGAGTCGGACTCAGACTCTGCCTCGACCTCGTCAGGATTGAGCTCTTGAATCAGCAGCTCGAGAGTCGCCTTGGCCTCCAAGTCTCCTCTCAAAGCCCGTTCGTTGAGCCGCTCGATTTCGGCAAGTTGCGCCTCGGTCCGGGCCCACCCTTGCTGTCTATCCGTCATATTCACATTCCGACGTGTACTCATGACCGTGCGAACGGTATCGGTTTCTCCCTTGGCAGTTTTGATCTGCTGCAACCTGTGGAGAAACTGCGCCTGGTGAGATGGCGCTGCGGGGCGACGGGGGACGCCGAGGGGTTCAGCGCCCTGAGAAGACGCGGACTCCGCGGTAGGTCCTGTGCTTGAGGGCCCCTCAGTAGAGCCTTGAACTGGTCCTGGCCCAGCACTGGGGACGAGCTGTGCCTTCCGGCCAAGGATCTTCACGCTGTTGGCGGCTACAAGCTCGTAGTTGGCTCCACGGTGTAGCGGTTGAGGGAAGTGGTTGTCTGTCTCCGTGCCCGGACGGACAAAAACTAGCTCAGTGCCGATTTGATCAGCCCAGGAGCAACTGAACATTTGATTGTAGTATGAAATGATCGGGTTGCTCGTGTGGAGGTCGAGAATTTGGATCCGCTCGTTCGGGAGACTGCCTGTCTCGGCGCTCTCGATCGGATGATAAGCTTCGCTCGGAAAGGCTTGGCTCATGTCCTCTGCAGGGTTTTGGCTATCCTCCAGGGACCCTGTATCCTTTGCGCGACGGCGTGGAGGGCGCACTGGACCATGGTGGGCGGTCAGGTCTAGGTTGAGATAAAAGCTCTGTCAAATGATTAGTACCATTGAGAGCAGACCGGGCTCATGATTCTCACTTCCGTCTCCGTGCCATATTCATACTCGTATTCTCCATCGGATTCGGAGTCCACCATTGTATATCGACAAATCAATGACGAATTGGAAGGTCTGGATGCGCCCGGTGGTCTGTCAAGTGGAGATAAGATAGAATCTGAGTCAGCTTTTTCTGCAAGCGGTGAACCCTCCAAGGTTTTCCCCCTCCTGCCCGATTGGGACGAAATCAACAGAATATTATGGGACCTGGTGGCGAAAACGGCCTGAACATGCGCATATTTTTATGTTTTCATGTTTCAGATGGAGGGGATTTCGTGGACAATTGAGTCATTTTATTCTCGAGCACAATGCATTATGAAGGGTCACATTAGGGCTGTGTATCCAGGATCATTATACAGTCTTATCTGGGAGGAGAGTTGTGCCCAGACCTTTGGCTTCAGCCTTATGAAAAAGCCCACATCTCACCGCAACGCCTTTTAATCAACTTAAACAACTTCCACGTTTTCCACTCTGCACGCTTGGGAGCAATGGGATCATTTCTTCGTAAGTTCCCGTCCCTTCCGCTCCGGCTTTCGACGGATAAGCTCATGTACTCGGTATATGGCATCCGGCTTGGCTATGATTTCGACCCATTTCCGCAGGTTCCCGGTCTGACTAGCTCGCGATATTGGATCATCCTATGCCATTTTTCTTCCTTTACCTTCTTGTCTTCTTAGTCGGGAAATTCTCGGGCTCGCTAACAAAGGGACCGTGTGTTTTTATATAGGTATCCCCACGGCCCTGTTGTGCGCCCTCCTTGTCTCAACTTTTGTTATCTCTCGTCCCACTATAGTCCCTGGGGAATGCCCACCCGCTGCAGCCCTATCACTTGAATCCCACTGCATTGAACCGCTAGCCTCGACTGGAATTCCCGAACTCGCAGTCTATGAACATACCCCACATAGTTCTTCTACTTTGACAGTCTATGTCGACTCGCTCCAGCAGATGACCCGGAAGGCCAAGGCAACCATTGGCGTGCTCTCGACTCTGATAGCGTATGTGTCTATCAACAGCTTAATACACATCCTCCGGCCGGGCGCTTTTGTCTGGTCTACCGAGGACGAGGAGGAGCGGAGCTGGATTGCGAGCTCGCGCTCGTGGTTCGACCGCAAATCCTGCCGGTGGCTGGGCGTCTGCGGCGCCGCCCATATACAAACCGTTCACGGCGCATTTGGACATCGCGATCCGGCGCAGTGGGTGAAAGCGCAAGATGCCGAGCCAGAGGCACCATGGCGGTCTTTCTGGCTTAGCGGCGCTAGTGACTCCGAGTGGGATGCCGAGGAGCGGGCTCGGCGGCAGATCCCGGACTACGTTTTCCACTATGCCCCACTCGTTCACCTTTATTCCGGTGAGCAATTCTGGCCGGGGGATATCGCAGAGCACTTGTACCACACCACTCCGACCCTGAATTACACCCCGATTCAAGCCCAATGGGACCATCCGACGCTGGCCGATCTGGATGAGTTGAACCAGTGGGGCCCACGGCACGTTTTTTTGACGAGCAATGACGATGCGCAGACGCGTCCACACTGGCTGGAAGGCGATAAGAATATCCCGCAAGCAGATGGGGACGATAAAGAAGAATCCTGGGCTGATTGGGATGGTCGAGTCGACGGTGATATCCCTGGCGACACGGAGGAAGATCGCGCCAAGTGGTATGATTATTACCAATTGCAACAAGAAGCTGCCGAATCGGACGCCGACGAACATTCTGAAGCTCAGGAAATACTCAGAGAAGAGATCCGACGACGTTACGGTGGAGAGGAGATCCACCAGGATGCTGCCGGTGGTCGAAGCGATGCCCCTGCAATCCTGGTGGTGATGGACAAGGGCAACGGAATTGTCGATGCGTTCTGGTTCTACTTTTATAGCTTCAACCTCGGTAACACTGTCGCCAACGTCCGGTTTGGCAATCACGTTGGCGACTGGGAGCATTGTCTGGTGCGATTCCACAATGGCAACCCGAAAGCGCTCTTCTTCAGCGCCCACCAGGGCGGAGAGGCTTATAGCTACGAAGCCGTTGAGAAGATCGGACAACGAGTGAGTTCCCAATTACACAAGCGGCAAGGATAACCTTACTAATATACCTTGCCAGCCCGTCATCTACTCTGCCGAGGGCAGTCATGCCATGTATGCCACGGCCGGAGTGCACGATTACCTTCTTCCCTGGGGAATGCTGCACGATGTAACTGATCGCGGTCCACTATGGGATCCTCTCCTCAACTCGCAAGCCTACACATATGACTTTGACAACGAACATTTGCGGGCGTCCACATTCACCCCCTCTGCGCCAACGGAATGGTTCCATTACAGGGGCCACTGGGGTGACAAGTTCTACCCACTAAGTGATCCCCGTCAGTATCGATTTGCAGGCCAATACCATTTCGTGAACGGACCTATTGGCCCGAAGTTCAAACACCTCAACCGTCACAAGGTGTGTCAAGGACCCGATCGTTCCCCCTGTGTCGTCAAGAACTATGTCGAGCAAGGCAAGCGACCCAAGCGGTGGGGCGCAAGCAGACCGGGAGAGTAGCCTTTCGTGGCATCCATTCAAGCCCTCATCGATCACGGTTACGAATTATCTGCCCATGCCCCCTCTTTCCCCGTCGGAATCTTCGAAAGATCCAATTTATACCCAGCCTAAATTTAGCCAAGCACCCCGGGGATGTCTTGCTAACTATTTACTTTTTTCCTTCCTCTTTTTTTCCCTTGAATGTTTCCCCCAGATACCCTTTTGTTACTGAAAATCCTTGTCCAAGGCCAACAGTATAGATCCCTCCCTCATTCGCACGAATGAGACCATGACCCTTCATTTAATTTGACACGGCTTGCATGTGCTATGGCGTGTATAATGGCTTAATTCCTACTCTACTCTTTGGATACTGGGCGTTCTGCGTTTTTGTTTCTCGCTAGACAGCTATGACTTTAAAAAATGAATGGTCTACTACGAAAGTAATATTGCGCGCATACTTTGTCAAACCCTGAGGTATTACCTTAGCTTCCTTTTAATCATGCGCCCGTGAACAGAAGTAGAATCAGTCATTGGATGGATGCCTTGGATTTAGGTCATGGACTTAGCCCTAACTTTATACCCGGAGACCACGTCGATTTACCGGCGACTATACAACAAAACGAAAAGCATGTGCCACTATCGGGGTAGTAAATATATGACAAGAAAACATAAATATTTTATTCAGACGGGCCCTCTATCCCCGAATCTCCCAAAGCCGAATGCCACCTTGCTCATTACCAACAGCCAACTGCTCCGAGTTCGGTGAAATAGCCACCGAGGAAATGCGACCCAATGGCGTATTGGAAGTAGGCCAGTTACGGTATACCGTGCAGGTAGGAAGGTGAACTATAAAAGAAACAAGGTTAGCAAGAACACACAAAACACAACCCACAAGCAGAGCCAGAAAACATACCAAGACGCAAAGCATCACGCTTCCACCGACTCGCCATAACCATCATCTGCCCATCAGGCGCAAACACCAAATGGCTAATGGGTGTAGTGAGCTGATCAAGCACACGCACCGGGTCAGGGTTACGCGGGATACCAGCCTGAGCGGTGGAATCCTTCTCAGCAGCCGAAGCCTTCGCATACGCAGCCGCCCATTCGCGACGATCATACACGTTGACAATACCGCTCGAAGAACCAATCGCCACCCACCGATCACCACCCAGCTGCGTCCGGCCCGAGCGACCACCAAGGCTGAGAACCGTCGTGCCGACTGCACCGGCATCGACCCAGCGCGCCACGACACGGCCGACACGTCCGTCCCACTCAGAGACCTCACCGTTCTTCGACACGACGGTCATGCCCTCGCCGTCGGACCACCAGGCGAAGTCTGCGACGCCGCCGCGGCCGTCGACGCGCACCTGGGCGATCCACTGCGCGGTGTTGGCGTCTAGCACGTTGATCAGACCGCCGCCCTTGCGGGCTGTGCCGACTAGGCCGACGAAGCGGCCACACGGGGAGAGCTTGAAGCGCTCCATGGACTTTTGCTCTTCCTTGCGGTCGGAGGAGCCGTTGACTTTGTCGACTTTGCCCGTGTCCAGGTCCCAGATGTGGAAATAGCGCCGGCGGCCGGAGGCGAAGATTTTGTTGCCTGTGGGTGCGGCGAAGGCGGACGTGTGGATGGGTGTGTGCTTGATGTGGAGGGAGGTGAGGAGGGGGTTGGGCGCGGGTGCGGAGGGAGAAATGTGGTGCAGGAAGAGGGTGGAGGCTGGTCCGGAGGAGAGCAGGAGTGGGTAGTGCGGGTGGAAGGACAGGGAGTCGACGGAGGAGGGTTGGGATTTGCCGATGTCCTTTAGTCTCTGGATGTCGATGACTTCCTGGCGCAGCTTGCGCTTTCCGCCGCGCGCATTGTCTTCTATGCGCGTCAGGTCGGAGGCGTTTTGGAGGAGCTTGGCTAGAGGCTGCACAGAGAGGTTCTCGTTCTCGTCGTCCGAGTTGATTTCCTCCTCGCTGTCTGCGTCCGAGTCCGTCTTGCGGCGCTTGAGCTCCGGCGTCGCCCACTCTGGTGTAGGATGCAGGCGTGTGAACTGTCTTCGCAGTCGTCGGGCGTATTCCTTGCCGTTGACTACATCTTCGGCTTCGGTGTTGCGCAGTTTGCGCAGCCTGGCTTGGCTTGCTAGCGACACGGCGAGGCGCTCGTCATCGCTGTCGTACCAGACCGCGGGTTCGTCCTCTTCTTCGTCGTCCTCGGCGTCCGACGGGGTTTCCGGTGATCCGATGAAATCTGTGGTAGGGGGTGCACCGGAGTCAAGGAAGAAAAGCTAGATGAAAGCAGAATTGTTAGATCAAAAGCCCTCGATCTGCGAACGCATTGGGGTGGAGTCGCATACGTCTGAGTCGGCCAGAGCAGCCAAATCCCGGCCCTCGCCTTCCTCCCCGTCTTCGCTAGCATCGCTCTCATCATCACTGTGCAGTGTGAGAGCCATACCGGCCTCGCGGTCCTGCTGGCTCTTCAATGCGCCCATGAACCCCTCATCGTCGCCAAAAAGCAGACGCTCTAGCTTCTTCTCTGCCTCATCTTTCTCGGGCACATCGTCCTCATCTGAGCTCGTTTCGTCGCCCATCTCGACATCTGAGTCCTCCGGGCGGATATTGGCCGTAGTGTTCTCGAACGGAGACCCGGTGGTCGTCCGCTTGGACTTTCCTTTTAGCCCTACGTTAGGCATGGTAATTGGTGTGAGGATATCTGCCAATCAAGCACAACTTCTTGCAGACTCGGTCACCGAATTTATACTCGAATGCAATAATGCAATTGTAGGCTGCAAATCTTCCTCAGGCGGAGCTTGAATATTTTTCTTCTTTGATTTTTCCAGAATGGGCAGATCAAAGCGGTGTGGAAGGCGGCATATACTGTTGCCTTAATTTTGCGGCAACAAACCAGAATCCGAGGCCATGCACAGCTATAGACTCATTTGACATCCTTGAGTCCTCTAGTTAAATGAACTTGATGAGAGTAAAAAGGCTAACATAGAAGGGGGAAGATAGGCAAGTAGATAGAATAAGAGATATTCCATGTAGTTCAATGTCGCTCTGGATAGGTTGATTCTGACTATAACGAGGAATACGAGTAACAGTTCCATGTTATCCAAGTACACCTAGGCACAACCTAGATATATGCACATTAGATAGCAGGAAAATGAGAAAAATCATACTAATATGCAAGAACGAAGTAATCGTATACACGTTAAAGATAACCATGAACACCAAAACAAAGCAAATATGAAACTTCCAAAGCAAGAACGCAAAGCAACATTCAGTGCTGTGTTGAACTAGCTTTCAGGTAACGTTCCTCGCCACTGCCACTCGAGCTCGGAGGTTCATATGGAGGAACAGGATTGTCATCCTCGGGAAGTAAACGTTCTCCCTGGAGAGCGTCTGCAGTAGCCTTCGGCTGCGAGGTTGTTCTCGGAGATTTCCCAGCTTCTTCATCATCCGAATCAGCTGAATCCGACTCATCCTGGCCAGCAAGAAGAGCCTCCCGGCGATGAGCATCATCATCTATGGTAAAATCTCCAACTGTGTCATCCACCACGTATTGTGACACTGGTTTCTTGATGAATATATCGATGATATAATACTGTATGGCGTTCATGATGACTGGGAAAAGCAGCATGACGAAGAAGATCTGGACAGCAGCGTGGCCTTCTGTCCACCTTAGAGCCCAGTCGCCGATAGTGACGATGAAAGGCAAGAGCTCGATGAGGAAGAACACGCATATCTTCATGCCGAGTAATCCCATGAAGTAAACGATGGCCTGTTTGAGCCACCATGTTATGCGTGGAGGCTGGCCATAATTTCCTGACTCTATAGATTCTGGGGGGTTTGCAAGAGGTGTGTAGGATGCCAAGCGATTGAGAACGTGGAGAAGGAGGATCAGAATGGGGATACCGAGTGTAGTCTGTCTATCAGTTAGCCAGCAGCTCCTCAAAAGAAGTCAAAACAAGATCAGAAGGAACGCACGTCGATTCCCAGGTTCAGTAAGTAAAATGAGCATGGGTTCGGCTTGTATGAGCTTCGAATCTCCAGTTGGCCTGCCGAAAACAACGACATGACCAGGTTTAACATGTGAAGCATCACCGATCCGAAGACTTGCTTTGAGACGTCAAAGGCCCATATCTTCACCGGGCGCTGCGGTCGTTCTCTCCATCTCTTATAGACTAGAGATAATAATGCGAGGCTGCCAAGAGCAATCTGAACAAACACAGAGAAGGGACCAAGTAGCTTGCATTCTCCTCCTTCGCCATTAGGATCCTGGCCTGGGCTTGAAGAATTCGTTGCATCATAATATAGTGTGTGTGCACCCGAGGGTGTTGGAATGGCTAGGGAGCTAGCAGCAATAAGCGTGGTTGTAGCTATCGAAGCCAACGAGCCGGTCGTACCGTCCATCCTTTTTCAGTCTGGGAAAACCAGAAGAACAGTGAGAAATTTCAGATGGAACGCGACATATGCTGGAAACCAGATCGTAGGAAGCACTTAGTAACCTTGGAAGGTTTGTCAGAGGCGGAGATAGCCGGACGTCATATGCGTGACATCGAAATGAGTGGCAATAAATCGGGTCAGCGGATGAGTAGAAATAAGCCTGAACTTATAAAAACCAGTTCTTTGTGAGGAGTGTAGAAAAAAAGAGGTTCTGGAAAAGAACAAAAAGGATCAGGGTCAAGTGAGACTGCCCCTAGGCGGTGTCAGGGTCCCCGCGGGATCGACAAGATAGCACTTCCCTTTCAGGGTCTGCATGGCAATACGGCTATTTTAAGGGTCTTTGGTCTTGGCATCTCTTTATTTCGCTATCTGCTTTGATCTTGATCTTGGTATGGTTTGTATATGTCTTAAGTCGATGCCAAGCTTCAAATACCCCTGCAGAATAGTGGGTACTGAGCAGTGATGTGGCACCCTTAGGTAGACAGACCCTTAGCTTGACATTCTGAGATCCAACGAAGCTCGAAAACAGCTCTACACTCGTATAATTCATCACTTCCAGTAATATAGCATTCGCAAAAAACCCTTTCACCTAGCATCTAGCCATAGCATAGACAATGGTGGAGCAAATTGGAGGGTCGAATTGACAAAGGGGGTAATAGTAGTAATGGTTGAATAGAATAAACATAAGAAGAAATCAGATCTCGCCGGCGTGCTGTTCGCACGATCATATCTGGGTCAATATATGACGACCAGAACCAGCCTCGCCCACCATCAAACCCTCTGAAAGAAGAAGAAAAAAACCCAGGGAATAAAAACGCCGGAAACCCCTCAACCAAGCCGCGATTGAATAGTAAAGGCATGGCAATACCACGCGCAGCTAAATGCTTGCAGAGGGAAGAGAAAAAGAATTCGTCACATCATTCTATCCCATGTTGTTGTTTCAGCCTCTCTAAGTTCTCTTGTCTTTCCGTAATATCCTCTTTCGTCCGCACCATCTTCTCTGGCTGGTGATAGAGGACTATAACATCCAAAGTTAGTCATCTTCCAATAATTCTGGACGCTCATTAGATCCATATGCAACACGTACCGACCAAATATCTGTTTTGGAAATTGAAGCCATTTAGTTTATCGCATGCCTGCTTTGCGTCATGGACGTCTTCGTAGACAACAAATGCGGTTCCCTTGGAGTTATTGGCGATACCCTGGCGAATTTGACTGTAGATGAAATGGTATTAGATCGGGTTCAAACGCACGCGACCATGGGTGACATTACCGAATGGGACCAAATTTGCCAAACAGGTCGAAAAGTTGCTCTGCCGTTACGTTGTAGCTTTTGAGAAAGATGTCAGCGATCTGATCGCGATTGTAAATGGGGAGCTGCACGGCTGATCTGCCGGAGAATCGAGCCGGAGCCAAGCAGCGGAATGATCAGGTACATACTTGAGGTTCTTGACGAAGAGAATCCTGTAAAAAAGAGAAAAAAGAGGTTAGCGCGAGTCACTTCCAAATGTCAGGGATCTGCTCGACCCAACGATCAAGCTGTTGATGGCGAAATGGCACTTGTGCTGAGAATCCGGGAGGGGCATGGAAAAAGTAATTCTCACGTACCGATTGGCTTCGGGGGCGAGCTTTCGGCTCATTCTCAGAGACGAGAAAGTCCTAGAAGATGTCGAATGAAAGTGTTGACAAGAAGATACGCAAGGTATCAGTTGCAGTGTTGGAATAGCGAAGAGACAGAAGATCCGAGCAAGTCGCAAGGACAACCACGAGGTTTGGCTTGGCGGTGCGCTTACTTATCCTGGTCTAGTGGCAGTTGGTTCTTGAACCGTATGTGACCGGGTCATGTGACCGCAATGAGTGCGGTGATCTACCCATACTTACCACGTGACGGTATCGTGATGGTATGAAACTGTATTATCAAGACGGACGCTCTCGGCGTCGCCAACTTCATTTGGACTACAGAGAAAGGAGCAACGGGGGGAATCAACCAAGTAGACACAATCGCATGTTGTAATGAGCGTTTCTTGATCTTGATATTATATATATGCAAGATCAATCTTTTCTAGTAAATGTGATGGCAGGAGACAACGTAATGTAGGAGACCGCAGCTGTACCGTATACATACCTCCAAGTACTGCTCGACTCCCGCTTCCTCCTTTGCCTCAACACCTCGCGCTCATCCGCTTCTCTCTCGCTCTCGGCGCTTCATCCATTCGCATAATTATAACTTCCCATCCGGTTGGCAGGAAACGATTCCTGGCCACTGGACCTCATTCGACTCCCTTCCCTACCTGCCCGCAGGTTGCGGCGCGACTCTCGGCGCCTTTGTCCTCCCGCCGCTCGATTCGAACCCCCTCAACGCTCCGCGACCACCGTCGACCACCTGATTCTCCCTCAATCATTCATCAAACATCAATCATATACTTGCGGTCCGTTTTGCGCATGCTTTCCTGCCAGGAATGACATTCCATTCGCCTGCGCCGGCCTCTCGCTAGCCCGTGTGGTCCAGTATCCCCGCTTTGCACCCACCTACCGCAGCGCATCTTTTCACCACTCCCTTCATCTTTAAATTTCTTTAATCTACACTCTCACCGGGTTGCGAAAATGATGAGCGCGGCATCATTCGCGAATCCCATCGGCGGCCGCCCGCCGCAATACCGTACTCCGTCCCCTCCTTTACGCGCTGTCGAGCCTATCACTCCATCCACAACGACCGATTTTCACTCCTCTTGGGGCAGCCGCGGCCCTGCTCGAGCTGCCAGTCTTGATCGCGATCAGCTTTCTTCTAATCACGATCGACATGTCGCCGCAGAAGGTGTTTCACACCAGCGGTCAGGCCATGGCCGCTCAAGCTCGACTATCGACACACTTGCGACGATCGCCCTCGCGACGAGTCCTACCTTCACATCACTCCCTCCCAACCCGCCTTCCCCAACCCTTCAGTCGGCGATTCCCTTATTTCCACCCGACCCCGCAGAGTCTGAACGACCGGCGAAGCGGGCACGGTCGGTGAGGAATCCGTCGCCCTATCACCCGCAGCTAGGGATGCTGGCAGAAAACCCACATTCAGCTGGAGTGGAAAGCATGACAACCGATGCAGAGCTCTTACTCAATCTCGCGCGGCCTACTAATTTCCGCCCCGGCAACCACACTAAACGAGTCAGCATCGACGAGACCTACCACCACTACACAGGCGACGCAATTCGTCAATCTCGAGTTGGGTTTGCTGCTGTTGGACATGTGGACCAGAGCAATTCCAAGATGGATCACAATTCTGAGGATATTCCTCATGCCCGCATGCGCTCTCGGTCTGACGGGTCAGCCTTCATATCCCGTCCTGCGATCCGTGGAATTCGCCCAACCACTAGCTCTGGCAATTTTCCGCCAATTGTCTGGGAGGATGAACAGGAGGGCAAAGCCTGGCATTCCCCAATCGATACGCCTCACCCTACTCCTTATGGGATCCATCCTCCGGCCGATCTTCAAGAACCTCAATTCCCGCCGAAGACCCTATCCATTCCACCAAAAGTGGAAGAGGAAGAGGGTGATACCAGTCAAGCAAGATGTGGGGCATGTCATCTAGTGCGCATCCCAGTTGAGACCGAGGAACAGGACGAAGACACGTGGATCAGTTGCGATGGATGCAAACACTGGTTCCACATCGTTTGCGCCGGCTTCAAGAATGATCGTGAGGTTCGCACAGTCGACAAGTTTATTTGTCGGCATTGTCGATCAGTTCATGGCCAAACAACTTTTGTGCGCAAGTCCTCGCGGGCCCGGACAGCTATTGACTACGCAGGCCTGAATCAAGGTCTAGTCAAAGCTGCTACTGACTCGTTGGAACATCACTATCTCGAGCCTATTCGGCAAGGAAAGATCCGATTTCAACCTGAGAATTTTCCCCGAATGAAACCTGAGCTGGTCACAGCGGAATACTTCGAGCGAGGTAACGGGTGGACGGAGCCTATTGTGATACCTGCCTGCTGGAACTCTTCCGAACCTATTTCCTCGGAGAATCCAGAGTTCGAGTCTTTGGTACAAGAGGCTTGTTCTCAAGAGATGTTTGATGATCTTCTCGAGAACCACCCAGAACAAGCGAGTCATATTGAAGAAACAGTCGATTGTGGTCAAGACCTCTTAGGTATGGTCATTCCGAAGGGTCTCACTGTCCGTGCTGTGGCAGAGCTTTACGGACCCGAAGAAAGGGTTGAAGTGATCGATGTCAAGTCTCAGCAAGGAGAGGACAAGAGGTGGAACATGCAGAAATGGGCCGATTATTACGAAAGTAATGAGTCGGACAAGCCTGTCAGGAATGTTATCAGTCTGGAGGTATCGCAGAGCAAACTTGGCAGACTTATCCGGCGACCGAAGGTTGTGCGTGACTTGGATCTGCAAGATGCCGTGTGGCCAGAGGAACTGAAGGCAATTGGCGAATATCCCAAAGTTCAGTTCTACTGCCTGATGTCTGTTGCCGATTGCTATACCGACTTTCACATCGACTTTGGGGGATCTTCAGTGTACTACCATATCCTGAAGGGCAAGAAGACTTTCTTCTTTATTCCTCCCAAAGACAAACACCTCAAGAAGTACGAGGAGTGGTGCAACTCTCCTGCCCAGGACTCGATTTTCCTTGGAAACCAGACCAAGGAGTGCTACCGTGTGGATCTCTCCGAGGGAGACACCATGTTGATCCCGTCCGGTTGGATTCACGCAGTCTGGACCCCGGAAAACAGTTTGGTTATTGGCGGCAACTTCTTGACCAAGTTGAACTACGGGATGCAAATCAAGATTCTCAACATCGAGAAAGAGACCAAAGTTCCCAAGAAGTTCCGTTACCCTTTCTTCCAAAAGATCCAGTGGTATACGGCTCAAAAATACCTGGAGGATGACCCCGTCCCGCAGAATGTGATGGAAGCATTCATGCAGGATGAGAACTATCGGTTCCACCGTCAATACCCAATTTATTACGAGTTTGGCGAACGCGCCAACCAGGAACCTCCAGGTTCTCCCCATCACAATGCACGTTTTTACTCACAGGCGGAACTGGAGGGCTTACTTGAGTTAACTAAGTATTTGCTTCGGACTGCACTCATTGCGGGTGGCTATACTGTCGATGGAGTCCTCTCCGTGGACATTCGAAACGCGGTCAAACGCTCTATCCCCAAAGGTACGGGAGATCCCGTGGATATGATCAGAAAATTCGGAATTTGGGTCGCCTGGAAACGTGGTAACGAAAAGGCACCCCTCTGGACTCGACCCGGCGTCATCGAAAGCAATCCCAAGGTTTCTATTGCAGACAAGAAGCCCGCAGGACGACCCAGCCGCCGATCCGAACGCAATGTCGATAACCAACGCACATATGCCGAAAGACAAGCTGTCCAGTGGCCTTCAGAAGAGGCCCCTGCAACTCCCAATCCCCCAGCCAGCAGCCTTGCTTATGCGCAGTCTGATGGAAGTGCAACGCCGGCGCCATTCAGTGTTGTTTTGGAAACGAGCATTAAAGATATTGCTACACCCAAGCCCCGAGCCGTACAACGAGCCTCAGGTCTTGGTCCCAAGCGAGTTGTATGTGACGCCTGTCGCAAGCGACGCATTCGATGCCGACACAAAGATGAACCCGGTGATCTGGTGCTCAACGGGCAAGTCGCAACCAATACATTCACAGCCGGCTCTGGAGTGAGCACGCCATCGTCATTGGCCCAGGATGCTGTATCTGCTTTGAATTCTTTGGCAGCGATTGCGTCACAAACGGAGTTTCAGAACAATGGGCATCTTGTTGACCTGGAACGATTCGAGAGCTCGGCCAGATTCCAATCCGCGGTCATGGGCAACTCCACGATAGCCGCCAATCGTCTCATTGATGTGAGCCCCGACGGAACCAACGGAGGGAAAAAGGGACGCAGCAAGGCGTGCGATGATTGTCGGAAGAGCAAGGTTTGTCGTACCCCTTGATACTTCTTTTACTCCTTTTATCTTTTACTAACCCAATACTAGCGCCGTTGCATCCACGATGAGTACGGTCGGATAGATCCGATCAAGGCCCAAGAGCGTTCTAAACCTCGTGCGAATGCTTCCGCCAAACGAGCACGCCCTGCTGAAGAGGGTGACATGCCCGCCTCAGCCAAAAAGGCGAAGCAGGAGAGCACATCGCCCATGACACAGCCTGCAGTATTCTTTGATCATGATGGAGACGAAATGATGGTGCAAGGCGACCTGATGGATACCTATGACCACGAGCCTTTCAATCAAATTGATAAGCATCTGCCTAAGGCGGCCGAGGCACCTCAAAATCAAGCTTTATACGCATCACCACCTGCTTTCCAGGCCGAGCCTGTGGAAGCAAAGGACTTAAATTCTATGTCTGTGTCTTCATCCAAGCCAAACACCTCTTTGGTGTCACCGCCCACGTCGCTGGTCGACGAGATGGATGGGGTTCAAGAGGGAGATGCCGTGCAGTCTGTTGAAGGGGAAGTGTCAACTGCTCTCCACACACCCAACTCTAGCTCTCGACACTCGTCTCGCCAACCTCGACACGTCGATCGGTTCGCGCCCGATGCAAATACAGCCCGGGCTCCGAAACAAGCAGCACGAGCCACGTCTTCGACCATCGGGGCCCGCAAGACCACTCCTGTTCCAGCGTCGACAAGAAAGCCTTCATCACGTCCCTCTTCTTCACACGCGAAGAAGAGCTCTCCGATGTATGAAAAGCACTTCCATCGTCAAGGCCCTACGTCACTCTCTCCGCGTCAGCACAGGCATACTCAGCATATCACTGGAGACGAGGATGCAGACGAAGAAAGTCTTCGTTTGATACGAGAGCTCCAGGAACAAGAATTTGGTCTGCGGAAACGATCAACAAGGGTTTAGTCTCGCAGAAGGTTTGGTACAGATGGCAGATGTAGAATGGGTTCTGCTTTTTTTTTTCTTTGTTATTCGGGATGTCAATTTACCAAGGGTTTGGGATGGGAATCCGGTGTTTTTTCTTTCTAAACCACGTTTTCATTTTATTTCTGGTGTTTTCTGGGTCTAGGAGAACTGGGGAGTTTTGTTTTTGGGCTTTTGATATCAAATGTCGCTTGCATCGGGTTCTTTTTATTTGCCAGTCTGCCTTACCTTGCTTTTCTAGGTCTGATTTCAACTTTGCCCCCGAGGGTTTTTTCTTTATTCCATTTTATTCCCTCTGGATTCTTTGTTTTAATGCCGGGGCCTCTTCACAACCAACACTTTGCTTGATAATCCTCTGTTGGGCTTTCTCTCTCCCTTGGCTGCGCACAGCAACGAGGCGTTTTCTGCAATAAGTCTCGTATAGTATTCCTCTCGTTTGTCTGAGACAATCCGCGTCGTTCCCTCATGCATATATCAGCTATAGGTTATGTAGCAATTTCCTGAATCTATGTTTTTTGGTATGTTTGCTAGTTTTACTTGTCTGTAGAGGTCAATTCATTCGGCTCTCATTGTTTTTCGATTTCAAGACTGGCATGCTCTGACCACACATCCCGGGATAGTTATATATCTCCATTTGTGCAGCCGACTAACTATGCCACCGATTCATAACTAACTCTATCATTAGATCTACGTACTTGTTAGTCGCCCGTACACTTGATCGTACACTTGATATATCGGATACTTTACAGAATACGGGACTCTCATGTTCCGGAACCGAATGCAGCCTATATGCCATACATAATATAGTAAGCGCTAGCTAACCCCCTTCCTCCCTCACAATGCAGCCAACACAACACAAATAGATGATACACAATAGCACATTACTAGCTGCATAACATCGTATCCAACAAAGTCCCCGAGTAGGCAGAGCCGAGATCGATTCCTTACAACACCACACACCATACCGCTTGCTGCTATGTAACGAGACCCCTCAACTCCACCAAACCCCTACCCAACCCTGCTCAGCTAAGTCAATACAGATACCGTCGCGGGCTCAGTAGTCCGCAGCACAAGCGGTATAGTATCAGTCATCGCCTCAGCCGAGCTACTCCAAAGCAGAGAGTACACGCCGTCTGTGTCAGCCTGTCTCGCGTAGAAGTTGGCCCCGCTCACGGTGACTAGGACGTAGCCCCCATATGTGGACCACACATTACTGAGCTTGGTTGTGGTCGACTGGTCCGCCGCGGATGCACCAGTGAATCCAACTGGGTTGGAGTCCGCTGTATCGCCTTGGTCTAGACACAGCATGTTGGTATCGGTAGAGAGGGTGGTGAAGTCCGCCGTGGCACTGGAGCTGGAAATGGGGTGTGCAACCCAGGTGTTGTCAGTGGCGGCGGTGACTGTTACGTGTACGTGGTTAGATGTAATTCCAGTGGTTCTCACATGGTATCAAGTGGAGATCTTGGGTTCTTACAGTTGATTGGGGTCATTGCGGCCATTGTGGTTGTGTCTACTTTGGACACATCTGCAACTTGGGCAGTACCTGTGGTCAAGGTGATATGTATCAGTCAATACTGCTTTTCTTGAGAGCTGGGAGGGCTGAGATACCATTCCTGTAGAAGACGGGCAGTCCGCTAATGCCAGTGCCATAGGCATACAGCTTGAAGGAATCGGTTGAGGTTGACTGTCGCTTTTCAAGTGGATGCGCAAAGCAGACTAGCCCAAAGGCTAGAAGGGGGAGAATAGAAAGAAATAGCATCTTGCAATGAACAAGTCATACAATATGTTGGAAGGGTGTCAGGATCAAGCAAAACTTATAAAACAGGACAGATTCAGGAGGGCATATTCAACGAGACAACAATGTGATTAGAAGCAGGCAGCACCCTAGGAACTAACCAATGATCTCTATAGTCTCAACCGCTGATCTTCTCTCTATTTTCAAAGAGTGTGATCCAAGCCTCCTATTGTGATTTGAACCGGTATGAGCTGACGATACGTAATTTGCAACTCGATCGCAGGATCCCAGTAAACCAGAAACACCCCCTTTGCCATCATCAGGCTGCGTTCCATGCTGAAATTCAGATCCCGGCTGTTACAACCAGATCGACGATCCACTCGCATGCATTCTGCGTCAAGATTCTCGCAACAATCGACAATCCTGGACAAACCAGCTGATATCTCAAAAAAAGAAACATCCAATATGCGAGATCACAACATTAATGTCCAAGCCACACACGTGGGATGCTTACACTCGTATAGACTAAGGCTGAAACAGGTTACACCGGGATCAAACAGGACCGCGTGTCGGGGAGCATAACCCTAATGCAAGGCCCTGCATGCCAATCTGACTGCGATCGAACTAGAGAATAATATCATCGATGACCGACCTCCATCATTGGTTCTCTTTGCAAGATTTGACTTTGTTAATCTAAGACACAGCCCTAGTTACATGGGATATCCATCATCTCAAGGGTACTATTACGAGAGAAAGGGCACTATCAAACACCCCCAATATCAAAGCGGCCAGTGCGCACGTGGTGTGATAGACACTCAGAATCTGGGAAGGTCCCCGAGTTGAACATCTTCTTACGTTTGAATGGTGGACTGTCTTTGGCGTGGATACGGGGCGCCTTTCTCTTGCTATTCAGGTATCCACTGAGCACATAGCCTCAACTTCCGAGCTGGACTATGACTCTGATGCTTCGCCGGTATTCGTCTGTCGGGTCGTCTTGTGTATCACAAGATCCATTTACACGGCATCGCCGCCGGTAGGGCTGCCTGGCATATCCTAGTGAGGAGTATGCAGGTCACCTCGTGAAAAGAGACATGGAATTTTCGGTCTTAGTCTAACAACCTCGTAGTGTGATATACTTCTAAGATAGCGGCTTAAATAGGAGATCATTCTCTTGGTTGTGTATCAGCAAGTCCCATTCATTTTCTTCTACTCGAAGTCTTTTTTGGGTGTGTTGCAAGCTCTATATAGAGCTGTATTCGTGACCCAAAGACAATTGAGCATTATATAAGTGCCCTACGTGGGTAAAATCAGCAGCTATGAACCTCCAAGCTTTTCTCCTCCTGGCATTCAGCCTGAGCGCTTCTGTCGTGGCCATTCCACAGAACGCAGCTAGCTCTGTGAATGTCCAGCTACAAAACCACAGACCCACGACAACCACCAAGATCACCAAGCCAACAGGAACACCCTGTGTGGGCAACACGCCCCTAACACGGTCCAGATGGTGCCAATACGACATCAACACCGACTACACCCAGATAGTACCCAACACCGGCGTAACCCAGGAGTACTGGCTCGACGTCGAAGAGCTAGTAGCAGCACCAGACGGGTTCAGCCGGCCAGTAATGGCCGTGAACGGGACTATCCCGGGTCCAACGATCTTCGCAGACTGGGGCGATGAGGTCGTGATCCACGTCACGAACAGCCTACACAATGCCAAGAACGGCACGAGCATCCACTGGCACGGGATCAGACAGAACTACACGAACGGCAACGACGGTGTGGTCTCCATCACGCAATGTCCCACCGCGCCAGGCTCAACCATAACATATAAATGGCGGGCCACGCAGTACGGCTCATCGTGGTACCATTCGCACATTGGCCTGCAGGCATGGGAGGGCGTGTTTGGCGGGATTGTGATCAATGGCCCTGCTACGGCGAACTACCAGGTCGATAAGGGCAGTCTGTTCCTGACGGACTGGTCGCACCCTACTGTTGATGAGCTGTACCTGGAGGCTCAGACGATAGGGCCACCGACTTTGGATACTGGCTTGATTAACGGGACGAATGTCTTTGGTAATGGGACCAATTCTACGGGCACGCGGTTCCAGATGAAGGTCAACCAGGGGTCTTCGTACCGGCTGAGGATTGTTAATTCGGCTGTTGATACGCACTGGAAGTTTATGATTGATAACCATACGCTTACTGTTATTGCGGCGGACTTTGTGCCGATCAAGCCGTTTACGACGGATTATATCAATATCGGAATGGGTATGTGCAAGCCCCAGCTCCATCCCTCCAAATGAAAAGAAACATGAACTAACAAAAAAACACACAGGCCAACGCTACGATGTAATTGTAACAGCCAACAAACGCCAAATCTCCGACTCATTCTGGATCCGTGCAATTCCCCAAGAAGCATGCTCCGAAAACGCAAACCCAGACAACATAAGAGGCATCCTCTACTACGGCAACAGTCCAAACACGCCCACAACAAGGCCCTACACCTTCCCCGACGAATGCATCGACGAGCCAGCCTCCAGTCTAATCCCACAAGTCCCCAAGACCGTCTCCGCCGCAGACTGGAACAACCTAACAGACGTGACACTGGGACGCAACACCGCGAACCTCTTCCGCTGGTATCTCAACAGCACGACGATGCAAGTCCTCTGGGAAGACCCGACCTTACTGCAGCTTTTCAATAACGAAAACACACCCAACTTCACCGAGTCGAGCGGTGTGATTGAGCTGCCGCGGGCGAACGAGTGGGTGTACCTTATGATCAACACGAGTTTCCCGGTCACGCACCCGATCCATATGCACGGGCATGATTTCTTTGTTCTGGCGCAGGGGTCGAATCCGTGGGATGGGAGTGTGGCGACTAATAACCCGCCGCGAAGGGATACGGCGATGTTGAATGGGAATGGGTATTTGCTTATGGCGTTTGAGACGGATAATCCCGGGGCGTGGCTTATGCATTGTCATATTGGCTGGCATACGGATGAGGGTTTTGCGTTGCAGTTTTTGGAGAGGGAGAGTGAAATTGAGCCGTTGATTGATCGCCAGGCTCTTGAGGATAACTGTGCTTCTTGGAATGCTTATGATGAGGCTTTTGATATTGAGCAAGACGATTCGGGAGTTTAGGTGTGTGGCTCTAGATGGGCTCGATTGTTATGTAGGTGAGACTTGTATGTAGGTAGGTCGTGTTCTAGTGTTTATACGCCAATTGATTATATCTGAACATTGTATCTTCTTTGATATCTACGCCTTGCTGTTCCTCGGGTTAGTGACTTGGGTGAGATGTGAAGCTGAGTAGAGAAGCCGAGAATTACAATGATACTAGCTACAGTGATAGTTACGAGAATAATAGCACTATGTATGTTCTATTCACGAGCCATCTAAGGCTAACATACACAGAATCGATATATCGTTAAATCTTTCATAAAACCCCCGAACTAAATGGCACAAACCAACTCCAAGAAGATATCCAAAATCGGTACGTAGGGTTTGTTTTGTCATGGGTTAAATGATAGTCATAGTCACCATCATTACAAGACCACCCACTCAAAGCAGGGTCTTCATGTCATCCATGTTGCGGACACCAACGAGGTTGCCAGCCTTGATACGCTTGAGTGTCAGAGCGGCAATCAGGGCAGCGCCAACACCGGAGCCATCCTCGGCAGCCATGATGACGACCTTGTCCTTCTCGTTGGGGGCCCAGTCGAGGATCTCACGCAGGGCCTGGGCACCGCGCGCCTGGAAGTGGGGGTACTTGGTGAAGACGGAGCCGTCAGCACCGACGTGGCAGGAGTCGATCTTCTTCTTAGTGCAAATGGCGGCGACTCCGCAGGCGGAAAGACGAGCAGCACGGGTACCGATCAGCTCGGCGAGACGGCGAATTAGCTCCAACTCCGGCTCGGTAGGGCGGATGTTCAGCTTGAGTTCGAACAGATCCAAGGTCTCCGTCAGGTTCTCGTAGGGATCCTCTTCGATGTGGGCGAGGAAGGAGGCATCGAGCAGGTAGGGCTTGCGTAGCTTGGAGACGTCCTGACCGTTGAAAATCAGACCGGGGTGATTGTCAACCAGGTCAATTAGGACGAGACGGAAGATCTCGCCGAGGTACAGACCTGCGGTCATCTTCTCGAAGGCTTGCTGGCCGGGGCGGGGAGAATCGCGATCGATGATGTCATCATATTTAGTGAGGGGGAGGACCACGTGCTCATTGTCGAAGGCTCCGTATTCGCAGTTGATGGCCACGGGCATGTCGGCGGGTAGGTTCAAGTAGGCGAGCTTGGGAATAGACCCTGCGTTCTCCATGTATGCGGCGTTCACGCCGGTACCGAAGATGCAGCCAATCCTCATGGCGGAGTCGGTGTAGGAGGAAGCAATGAGGGTACCGGTGGTATCGTTAATCAGTGCTGCAACTTTGATGGGAAGACCCTGTAGCCTTGTGAGTCTTTGAACCTGCGTGGGGAGGGGGAGGGTATCGTCATCTCATGAACATACCCGCTTCTTCAAGATCTCCTCCAGAGGGGGAACAACATCATGACCCTCGACACCGTCGATATCGAAGCCCTTGGTCCAGCGCTGCAGAACACCGTGATCGATGTACTCCTGAGTCGCGGGGTAGGAGAAAGTGAAACCGAGGGGCAGCTTGGCGAGGTTTCCTTCCTCGTGGTGGTACTCGATGAACTGCTGCAAGCAGTCGGCGATGTACTCCCACAATTCATCGGCGGTTCCAGTGCGCAGCTCCTCGGGCATCTTATATTTGGATTGTGTGATATCGAAAGCGCCCTTCTCCTCGGTCAAGGTAATTTCGCAAACACGTAGGTTGGTGCCGCCCATATCGAGGGCCAGGTAGGTTCCTCGCTCGTTGCCATCGGGGAAGTCCAAGACCCAGGTGACATTCATGGGCTATTCGCTAGGGTCAGTCTAAATTGGGATCGGGAATGATGTCGTTCTCACAATGTTGCCGCCCTCGACGGTCAAGCCTAATTTTTTTCCTGTTAGCGACTGCGCAGAATCAGGGAGCGGATCATGGGCTCACCTTTCTCGAGCTCTTTGGCGAAGTGTGCCACGACCTCCTTCAACTTCGCGCGATCCACAGTGAAAGCCTTCTCGAGGTCCTGAATGGTGCCCAGCAAGTTCTGGGGCAGCTCGTGCATGGACCCTGTACCACATGGTTAGTTTAAAATAGGCAGGGGTAGCTCTTCAAGCCTCACCCTTGCGGGACGGCGGGTGCTTTGGGCCAAGTCCAACCATGATGAATATGAATATGAATTTATGGAGGAAGAGAAATGAAAGAAAGAAAAAAGTTGGGGAGGGGGAAGAATGACGATATGGAAAAATAACGTGGGGCAACTGTAGATGTCTTGTTTTGGACTGTCGGAGAGAAACGAGAAAATCAATTGGGGGAAGTTAGGGCAAAGGGGGGAATTGCTTTTATAGCAGATCTATCTTAGGCTATAGTTAAAATAGGTTAATCTGATATAAAGAGATTATTAGAACATTCCAGGTTATTTGACCGAAATCAAGTCTCGACCGCAAACGTATGATGATATTATCATCTCTTGGCGTTGGCTATCCACGTTGACTTGCTATACTCCATGTTATGTACGACATAACTACCCCGTATGTCCTACATAACTACGGAGTACGTACTGCACTAGATCTACCCCATAATACTCAAATGATAATCTCCTATTTCTGCCTATCAAAGACATTTCATGAATCATAATCTCAATGTGACAGCTTACGCGCCAAATGCGGGAAAACATGGTCCAGACCTCCAGACTGGCGGTGTGCCTTGTCCTTGTCGTGTGACTCCAGCTTCTCGCGTACTCTATTCTGATACGCATCTGTCAACCCCAGAGTTCGATCAACCTCCTCCGTGAGTCGGTCCACCTCCTCCTGCAGCCGCTCGTCTCGGGTCTGCAGCGGAGCATTCTCCTCCGCCCTCTTCTGCGGATCTGGGTTGGTTTCCTCCCACAGCGCCTCCAATTCCTCTGCCCATCCCAGAGCCTTTGCAAACTTGCGCACTCCGGCATCACAGTCCCCAATCACCAACACATCGTCACTCCGCGAGCCAAGGCCACCGACACGCTCCATGTTGATGAGCACGCGAGGCACGCCTGGACTAACCATCGAAGGCAGACTGGCAAATGGCTGGACAGACAGACTGGTTCCCATGACAATGCAGAGATCGGCCTCTTCTGGCAGAGAACGGCTTTCAAAGAATTCCGAAGGCAGAGATTCGCCGAAGAACACAATGTCCGGCTTGACCAGACCGTTGCATTTGTGGCAGTGGGGTACATTGCTCTTGGCCACCATCTGGTGCATCTCCTCGTCTGGGAACGTCTCCTTGCATTCAATGCAGCGCTGTGATGCAAAACTGCCATGGGCCTCGATAATCTTGTCGCCTGGCACGCCCGCCTCGCGCTCGAGGCAGTCAATGTTTTGAGTAAAATGTTTCAGGAGCATCCCCTTTTCGTAAAGTAGTTTGATGAATGAGTGCACGACAGTCGGGCGATAGCGTCCCGGGTACAGCTCGTGTGCCAACGCATAGAAAGGCTTGGGGTTACGCCGGAAGAAACCAATATCAAAGACTGCCTCGGGCTCTGGTAGATCTAGACTTGCCAGATTGGCGTAGATTCCCGTGTCAGGTGAGCGAAAGTCTGGGATGCCTGCTGAAGTGCTGATACCCGCTCCCACCTGCATGCTTGTTAGCTCTCATGCAGTATTCTATGGGGTTCACGCTGCATACCATCACCACAACTTTCTTTACATTGTGCTGTTTAACATATTTGGCGACCGCCTCGATATTCCGCCCCTCAAGCACCAAGGGGCGTGCAAACTCATCCACCTGGGTTGACGATTCGTTGCCCATGGTGCGCCGATTCCGACGTCTAGGTTTGGGACGTCCGATGATGGCGGTTGAAGACTTGACAGACGTAAGTCAAGCCAAGAGACTTGTCAATAAGAAGAAGATCAACAGAGAAGGTACACAGAAAAAAAGGAAAGGAAACTGGAAAAGAGCAACTGATATAATCGCGAGCGTGGGGCGGAAATGACGTCGCGTTGAATCACAACCACATTAAGACGCCGCAGATGAAACGGCGACTGAAGTACAAAGAAAGAGGGGTTCAGGCAAGTATGGAAGTTCTATTTGGTTTAACAATCTGGAGTCATAAATCCCCGCCGGTCTTGACGTAGCACAGTAACATGAATCATGAGGCTGTAAAACCCGCCCTCACCGCCCGCAACCCCCTACAACTGGCGTGGCATCAACAAACCAACTTGCGACGACCAATGGCGCCCAGAATGGCTGCAACTGCCAATGGGCATAATTCCATGCCCAAAAGCCCTCCAAATACCAATGCCTCACCAAAAGAGACATCTCCTCTCGCACAGCCCGACATCTTCAACGCCAGCTCCGTCGCCGAGATCAAAGCCACGTTGTCCCACCTGCATACCCAAGAAGCGTCTGTAACTGCCCGCCTGGATGCCCTAGTAACATCCCAGAAAGACCTCTCCCGTGAGCTGGGCCGGCTGGATCTGATGCGCGTCAACATCGGCACCCACGCCAGCACAACCCGCTCCATCAGCCATGGGATGCTCTTCGAAGCCGCCGGCACCGCCGACCGGATCTCTAGCGCGGTCCGCCGACTGGATCTCGAGCAGGCTCGGGTGAAAGCTACCTTGGAAGTTGTCGAGCAGGTGGCCGAGCTCAAGGCGTGTACGCTAGGCGTGGCGGGCTCGATGGGTGCGCCCCAGGACTGGGAGAAAGCCGCCAGCTACCTACACCGCGCAGCTCAGATCCCGGCGACGGTTGTCAACGGCGCGTTTGCTGCGGAAATGGTCCCTACGGCTGAGGTGCCGGACCCTCCAAGTGTGACGCTGGATAATGCGGCGGAGTCGCTGTGCGGGTTGTTCCTGCGCGAGTTTGAGAAGGCGGTTAAGGAGAATGATGGAGCCAAGATTACACGCTTCTTCAAGCTTTTCCCGCTTATTGGCCGCTCTGAGGTTGGACTTGATGTTTATGGTCGTTATGTGTGCCAGGGTGTCGCGGCCAAGGCTCGGGCGAACCTCAATGGGGCTACCGGGAATGCTCAAAATAAGGACGGGTTCTTCTATGCAAATGCGCTTACCAAACTGTTTGAACATATTGCGCAGATTATTGATGGCCACGGCGGGCTCGTGGAGCACCACTATGGCCCCCGTAAGATGGGACGCGTCATTGAACGGCTACAGGTCGAGGCTGATGTACAGGGTGGTATCATTCTTGATACATGGAGCGATGAGCGCCATGTGGATCGAAAATTGATGGATATCAAATCCTATGCTTTCACTTTCTTAGTGCAGAGCTTCCTGTCCGCGCAGCGAACAGGCCCGCCTCGCCCACAATCCCCTGCCATGGGGGCGAGCACTGCCACCGACGAGGAGGGTGTGGATATGAAAGAGATTGACGGGGTGTTGAATGAGATGGCTATCATGCTGGGTCGGTGGTCACTGTACTGTCGGTTCCTGGCTGATACATGTAATGTGAGTACATCTCCGCCCCTTCAATATCAGCACTAACAACTTCTTTAGTCTTCGGAGGATGAGCCAGATGACGATAAGCGATTTGAGCTTCCCACCTTCTTGCGAGAGTCACCTCTGGCCCAAAAGATCAATGATCGCCTAGTGGCCCCCTTCAACACAATGACAACCTTCTTCTTCCGCCGCTCCGTGGAAAAGGCCTTCCAGCTAGACGAGTCCCCATCAGGCCTCACGATGAACCCCCAGCGTCCACTGAAAGCGGACCCACCACACATCACCTCGGCCATCGACGACATAATGTACATCGTCAACAAGGTCATCCAGCAGTCGCTCGCCACCTCCCAAGAAGCAGTCGTGACAAACGTAGTCCCGACACTCTCACGCGTCCTAGGGTCCGATTTCATCGGCATGACCCAGCGTAAGATGCGCGACGAGTGCTACCCACGCATCCCAGTCCATGGCGGTCCACCCTCCGAACAAACCATCATCTCCTTCCTAGTGCAAATGAACAATCTCGACCTGGGAGTAGACTACATCCGCCGAATCGTGCAAAACAACACAGGCTCCAAGCCGACCGACACCGACACCACCACACAAGCAACCCCGCACCTCCTCTCAATCTTCCCCAGCCCAAGCACCGCTCAAAAAGTCCTCCAAACCCTCCAAACCCTCTCCACAACCTTCGAAAGCAAAGTAACAGACCTCCTAACCGACGGAATTCAAGTAATCTTCAACAACGCGATCAAACCGCGCCTACGCCCAATCCTCGCAGACTCCTTCCGCGACATCGAATACACACCAAACCCAAACCTGGAACCCGACAATCCAAACTCCCCCTTCGACAAAGAACTCGTCAAGCCTCGCTTCACCGCCGCCTGGAACGACCTCCTCACGCCGTTCGCGCGCATTCTCACGCCCTCCGCCTTCGACCGCGTCCTGGGCGTGACGCTCGCGTACCTGGCCCGGCTCCTGGAGAAGAGGCTCTGGTCGTACGGATCGCGGATTAACGCGCTCGGCGCGGCGCGTCTCGAGAGGGATGTTGCGGGGCTTGTGGGCGCCGCGGTTGAGGTTGGGTATGTGGCTGGTGCGCCGGGGAGGTATCGGTATCGCGAGTGCTTTGCGCGCTGTGTGCAGATGACGCTTGTTATGGGCATGGATGAGGATGAGTGGGATGAGGTGAGGAGGGGTGGGGTTGCGGCGGAGGTTGTTGAGAAGCTTGGGAGGGAGGATTTGATTAGGGTTAGGGGGATGGTTAGGAGGTAGGGAGAGGAAGGTCTTTAATTGTTTATAAGAGGTTTTGTATAATTGCATTTTTTGCGTTGGTTCATTTTGAATTCTTTATTTTTTGTGTTAGTTATGTCGGGTTCTAGTTAGACAGTTGCATTTAGACTAGTAACAGGCAAGGTAGTAATATTTACAAGCTACCATCTATCTACAATTATACAAACGTCGTGAATAAAAGTCTTAGATAATAAAAATGTAAATCGGGCTATCTCGCTCTATTCCAGGGGCAAGACCAGAAAACATGGACAGAAAGCAAGGTATTATTTCCCTTGTCATTCAACGAAGCAGTTTGTATACCGTACAGAACCCAGTTTAATATCCCCCATTGCCATAAAAAAAAAAGCTTAGAACAATGGAGCGCCAGGCCAAATTAGACCATAATTCAAGTTGCTTTTCCCAGGAAGGTTGTATTTGGATTGAAAAGGTGGTGAGGTATGTGATTTGGTAGCGGGAGAGGGTTGAGGGTTGAGGTGGAGATGGGAAGAACGGAGGGTGAGAAATGTCGGATGGTATGTGGAGTCGGTGGAAATTCGCGGGATTGAGAGAATCGAGGGTAGGTTTGAGATGGTATAAAAAGCCCCAGGCTTTTTGGTTGCAAGAAAAGAAGCACGCTCAAGGGATATCGAGATAAAGAAGCGAAAATGCGAAGAAAATCAAAGCTTTCTAAACGAAAAATGGCGTATGCGAAATGCATGTCATGCAAAAGAGATTGAGAGAAGAGACGATGAATGAGTTGGGCAAAGCGAAGGGGGAGAAAGGAGAATGAAGTGAAATGTAAGACTGATTAGTTCTCCGTCTTCTCTTGCACCGGCTTTAGCACAACAGGTTCACCCTGAGCATCGGAATGATTCTGATTCTGATTCTGCTCGGCGGCCTGGCGAGGAGCAGGCGCGATCTTGATTTCGTGCATGCCGACGTCGCCTTCGCTGCCGCCGCGGCTGCTCTGCCCGTTAGGCGAGTGGCCCTCGAGCATCACCTCGCGCGGCGAGCTACCGAGCATCATCTCGCTGTGTTCGCCGATGCCGTAGCGCTGCGCGGCGGGGACCTCGTGGCCGTCGGCGAGCTGGTCGTGGTTCTGTGGGGTCCAGGCGAGGTAGTCACGGCGGACCTCGACGTAGTCGTAGGCGAACTCGCCCAGCTGGTCGTCGTCCATGCCGAGTAGCTCGGCTTCCTCGGAGGCGCGCAGGTTCAGGCCCGGGATGGCGTTGATGGCGTAGGCGATGATCGTGGACATGACGAAGGAGTACGAGGCGGTCGCGACGATGTAGGCGATCTGGATGTACAGCTGCTTGTAGTTGTGGATGACCCAGCCGCCGACGCCGGTGCCGGTGCTGACACCGTCCAGACCGGCGATGGCGTCGTCACCGAACAAGGCGTTGAAGATCAGGCCGACGATTCCTGCGATGCCGTGCTCGGCCAACACATCCATAGAGTCGTCGATTCGGATCCAGTACTTGATCTTGGTGGAGTAATTGCACACGATGCCGGTGACAATGCCGAGGATGACGCTAGCCCAGGGCGAGATGAATCCGGAGGCGGGTGTCGCAGCTACGAGTCCCGAGATGGTACCGGAGCACCAGCCGACCATTGACCACTTGCGAGCCAGACGCCAATCGAGCAGGACCCAGGTGATGGCACCGAAGGCGGCAGTCAGGTTAGTGTTCCAGGAGGCCATGGTAGCGCGCATGTTAGCTCCAAAGGCAGATCCACCGTTGAACCCGAGCCAACCGAACCAGAGGAAGACTGTGCCGAGGAGGATGAGGGAGACGTTGTGTGGGCGGAAGTTGAGCATCATGCGTTCCTGTCGGCGACCGAGGACCATCGAGTAGGCCAGAGCTGTGAAACCGGAACCGATTTCGACGGGACCACCACCGGCGTAATCCATCACGCCGTACTTGTAGGCCCAGCCGTTGACGTTCCAGACCCAGCAGGCTAGCGGACAGTAAACGATAGTCGCCCAGATGAAGACGAAGACCATGGCGGGCAGAAGGCGACCGCGTTCAGCGACCGCTCCCATGACGATAGCTGCAGTGACACCGCAGAATTGCATCTAGTAGATATCAGCATCGGCTGGAAACAAAAACCAGATTCATGGTTCTATGTTCGATCTTACCTGATAAAACGCATAGAGTAAGTTTGGAACCAGTGGAGAACCAGGACTAGGATCAGCCAAGGTCTTCATTAAACCGAAGTTTCGCAGGTTGCCGATATAACCGTTGGTCGCCGTCGGGGAGAAAGCAAGCGAATAACCCCAGAAATACCATTGGAAGGTCACGATCGAGAACGAAGCCATACAAGCCCAGATCATACTCAGGGCAGACTTTCGGCGAGCCAATCCCGAGTATAAAAAGCCGAGACCGGGGATCATGACCATGACCATGGCCGAGGCCACGAGGATGTAGGCCTGGTCGCCGGCCTGGAACCATTTGTTGACATTTTCGGTGCCTAGTTGGGACCCATGTTAAAACCATCACACCGTTTGGAGACAAGAAAGACGCATACGGGAATCGCCGCCCAAGTCTGTGTTGGTCGAGAGGTCGTAATTGGAGGGGGCGCCTATCCAGTTGTAGGAGGCATAGTCCGGGGCGTACGGGGCTTTCCCGTTGAACGCCATTGTAGCAGAAGCTCGAAGCTTTGGATGTGGATGGGGTAGGTGTAGGAGAGAGGGTGAAAGTAGGAAGTGAAGGCGAAAGGAAGAAAAAGACGGATGTTCCAGAAGTTAAAAAGAGAAGAATTTCGCCACGGATATAAAAATAAGGAAACCCGAACTCGTCGAACCAAAAATCCCAAAATCCCAAGATAAGTCAGATCGACACGAGTGGGTCCCCGTCGAATAACGGCAATTGGCAATTCAATTCGATTCCACGCGATAAAAGTGAATAGAGAACAAAGCTAAAATAGAATCATGAAACACTTCAATTATTGCCGTGGGAAGGCGCGGTAAAGAGGAGAAAATCGGACGAGAGCTGGGCAAAATATGGTTCGCAGTGGTGTGGTCAGAGATTGTGACAATAGCAATGGGATAATCGATAGATACTGTCGTGTTTCAACGTTTCAATGTTCCGTCAGGGTCTGGTATACATAACAAAGCTCAGTTCATTTGATTTCTGTATACAATAATTAACACATAGTATAACGACACAATATAACCAGTAGAACACCTAGGAACCTCGTCATCCCCGGCGTGGACAGCCGCATCGTGTGGCAAGGGAGTATGGATCGTGCCTTGCCAATAGTTCGAGCTTTGGCCCGTGAGGGATATACCTTGGACAATACATTATGATCCAATGGGACCATGCAGTAGTTCGACTCCGGGGAATAGTTCCTAAAGTTTCGGGGAACTAGATTCCATGCGGACGACTCTTTATATATCTTTTTCAGACTCAGAACCTCTAAATCAGATAGCCAACTAGATACAAGTAAACTGCCAGATAGCTTATCATCTCCTGCAGGTACCCTTGCGCGTACTCAACACCGTTGCACTTCGGCTTCTGGAGACCTTCGGCGAAGAAACAGGCGCTTATCTTGGATTTCTCTGTTCTCGGGATATCAGAACCCCCAAATGCCCCCAAATGCCTATCGCCCACCGGCAATTGGATAGGTGAAGATCGATTCCCGGCCCGCTGATTGGCTACAGATAAAGTCCAACTCGCCACTGGCGCTAAGTGGGGCTCCGCCGTAAGCTAAGCCTTTCCCTTTGCGGGTTAGCGTATCGAAATGGGAACGAGCCAACGATTGGCGACAGATAAGGTCCCGTTTACGCTTTCCGTGTTTCCCCGATGCCTCCGGGGATCTTCCTGACTTGACTGTCGCCGTGTTCCGGCTTACTACCGATGCCGGAGTATTGGCCCTATCTACGGTACCTACAGTTTACTACGAATAGGGGAATATATCTGAGCAGATATTCAATAGGGGATCGAGGTCATATTTACGTGTTGATCTTAATCTTCAAATGTAAATTGTACCTGAACAATTACAAGGTTACACTGTTCCTTATCTTTTTTTTTTCTGCACTGTCAGATCCACTCCCGCGGGACTGGGTCTTCATTCAGCCTCCTATCGGGGTTTCCTATCTGGGCCGAGAACAATTCTACTTTTCTATTTTCTATTTTCAAATTGTGCCTGGCACGTGTGACATGGATTGAATCAAGATACAGATCCTATGGAGTAGTTACAAATGGTGTTCAAAATACTAGGTATGTGCATCGGTAAGATTTTAATGCTTCAGACCACTAGCAGTATATTCAATACACCATGGAGTATGGAGTAAGGAGTAGGAACTTGAACTAACTATGTTGTAGGTAAGGTTCGAACTTCGACGAACCCTCAATCATGTGACTAGGTACAGCACTATACGGGGTGCTCCGTACCCCTAACCCTTTAACCAACTTGCTATCTGCTGTCTCTGAATAACGATCTCCTAATACAATCATGTGGCTCTGAAAAAGAAGGCTATCAAGCAATATTTCGAAGACATCATGAAATTACAACGTGAGGTGGAGAAGAGATGCTACTGCAACACGAAGTCAGACCGACATCACCGGACGAGCAGTTAAGCCACGGGGGCAGTTGGCAGTGAGGTGACATTTCGCTACAGCGGGTATCCGGCCTACACTTGGAACCTCAGCCCCTGGAGATTGTCACATAGCCGTCTCACCCGTATACCTAGAAAGGGTATGGGGCGGTAAGACGGCTAGTGCTCGGCGCGATTAATCTCCTCGAAGGAAGCGTGTTTTCATTCTATGACAGGGCAATCAGACACACAGCTTCATCCTATCCGATCATTCAGCCACGGATCCTGGAGCAGATCTTTCGCCGTCTTCCTATCTTCAGGTCTCCACTGAAGCATGTCTCTCATGAACGCCATAATCATCTCCTTATTTCTTCCCTCGAGGAACTGCTCTGATATTTCCAAACTGGTTCCTATTGGGATCTCTATATCTTGCTTCCACTTCCCTGCAACGTCATCTTCGTAAGCCTTTACGAAGTCTCGAGCAAGAAAAGGATGCTTACCATCTTCAGTAAAGAATTCATGACTTCGTTCCCCACGTTGCAGCATATCTAAAGGGGGTGGTCCCAGAACGCCCATAACTTCTGCAAGGTGCGCCCAGGTCGAATACCCTTTGCCATCTGGGTCATTTCCGTAGAAGAGGTGTCTCCCCTCAAATAAATCCCATACCTAGTATTTCCAATTCTGGTTAGCACATGATAGTTAGATATGGCTACTCGCGTCCTTTGGAGCTATTCGCTCCCGCGCTAGCAATCGAGAGACCAATCAGTATCAATCTTATCGAGATTCCAAAGAAAGAGAGCGTTCTGACGGTTCTAGACGCCGTGCGGTTATCGAGCTGGGAAGAAGAAAATAAATAAATAATGTATGGAGGAGAGTTGTTTACTGCGTGGCCTATGGTACCCCTCTCCCCCTATACTCTAATTACTATGTGGCCTCGGAAATTGGAATCAGTCACTTCACTCCGCAATGACTATCCGGAGGCCTTAGGCCGTCGAGATCACTAGTCTGTTATGCCTAGTCGGTGGCAGGAGGCGATTGCTGGACTTTGATACTGTGTCTTATACTGAATGGTTTTTATTACATTTTGTAACAGTTAAGGAAGCAATGCTAGTAATACATTGTCTTAGGCGCCAATAGGGGGCAGGAAGTAAATGTCACTGGGCTGCAGTGGCGGTTGCCTTTTTAGTGTGGTAGATGACACAAGCAGGTGCTGGTATCTGGAGCTGTGTCAGATGTAGCTTAGTGACACCCTAAGCATGACATAGTGTAATCACCCGAGCTTCTGTCACCCCGGGTCTATCCCGGCTGTCAAACTACATGTATACCACTTGATATTCTGGCGGAACATCATTCTACTGATCTCAATAGTCACACTCTCCATTAGGTCCATGACTACTCCGTATTATTGCACCATTCTACCTATCTGTCCTGCACCAAATGAGTAATTGAGTCCATGCAAATCTTCGCTGTGGACGAGAACCGAAAACCAGTTACTGAGACTAAACTTAATGAAACGTAGATGAGGCGTAGATGAGGCGGCTTTGTTTCATTTGTGAGCATAAAGAAATTCATTGTATAAAATCTAGAATTAATGAACTTGCTCTACCTCAAAGCTATTGCCATGCACATAACTTCACCCAATATAGTTTAGTATTTAAGTGCACTCGAGACATATCCACATATTTATCTCATCACGAAGAAATTTGATTACAACTCACCAAGGTCGCAAAATCAAAGTCCCAGATATATCGCATTCAGTCAGAAAATGTCTCCCCCTAAGACTATCTTCCTCAATAATAGCTTTCCTATATTCAAAGGCCATGGCTCAGTTCAACCTGGCTTCACAAATATGACATTGATATGGCCAAGCACTGCGACACTAACGCATCGGGGGCAGTTGAGCCTGGACAGGGGCTGGAATATTCACCAAGTACACCATTGCAATTTCACATCGGCATAGGAGGTTGCAGTCATAGGTGTTTTGCTTGACTTTGGTCATAGATCATCGATCGAGCTAGTTAGTTAGTTAACTAACGTATTCGGTAAGCGAGCTGCGCGCGCAACCGAGCTGCGCAGCCCAAAACACATAGTAAATGCAAGATATTCCACATTTATATCTTAACAACCATATGTTCATCCTATCTCCCCGTTTGTCGATAGTTATTGATAAGACTTCTTAGTACTATATATCAATTTCAAAGAGAGGTGAATACTATCTTACCATGATTTCAAATATTACCGAAAATTACGTCCCTAAAAGCTAGAAATATATATATCGTAGTTATAAAGCCATTTATTTTCCTAAAGTTCCCTAGATATGCTAGATATCATATATATAGTACTATGCCATGAAGACAAGTCCCTACGAGCCACTGTTGTTGAGATATCAAGTTGTAATATATCGCATTTACTATGTGTTTTGGGCTGCGCAGCTCGCTTACCGAATACGTTAGCATCCATTGGGAAGCGTGTATTATGTAACTATATACATGCATAACATTGGGCTCAATGGCCGATTTAACTCAAGTAATTCCATTTGGGGTATAGAATGAGTGGAACTCAGCTCCATGATGAGAGAGGCATAGTAATTAATTACATTTTCTGCTAAAGACAAAGTGAATTGAAAAATAGAGTCCACACGTCCGGTCAATTCGATACTCTGCTATCACAACTGTAAGAATAATATCAAAGTGGGTCACCTTTCATTCTCGCTTATATTGCACACTCAGGCCAAAATACGATATGGCCGGCTGGCCCAATGGCAAGGCGCTTGACTACGAATCAAGAGATTGCAGGTTCGATCCCTGCGTCGGTCAGTATTTTTGCTCAATACAATATACACCGAAGGATATTTTCTTTTCTCCTTGGGCATACCTTTTTCTTTTACTGCTCATTAAAATCATGTTTTGCGGAGTTGCTCGGAGAGCGGAGAAGAAAAGAGAAGGATTCCTGCTCGTCTAGCTGGATGAGGCCTATCAAATAGGACAAACAAGGCATTCAACAGTATTAAGCCATGATAAGTAATTGGAGAATGATCAAAAAGGTATCTCGGAGATATGCAATTGGGTATCAGCACAACATCTGGAAATGGCATCAAAATTCCGCGAAGAGTCAGTCAAAATACATATTCCGCGTTTCTTTGTACTCCCCTAACTTATGATCTCTGCCCTAGAATTGCAAGTCAGCTATAAAGTTATAATCAAACTAGGAGTGATAAAATTACCAGCCTTTCCATGAAGTGATGCATACATTCGCTTTCATATGCAAAACATCTGGGATGCTTTGAGTCCTCTGGATCATAAATTTCGGAATGTTCGTAGTCGATCCAGAGTACCCGATCAGAATCACCCTGAATCAGCATATTTCGGGGATAGGGATCAAAGTGTAAAATCTTAGCCTTATGAATCTCGGCCAGAAGCTGCTTGAGTTTCTGAGCTCTTTGCTCTATGTAGTTAGAGATATCGATCATATTTAGATTGGGATATATTCGATTAGGACACCATTTGGGCGAGCCTCTGGATCTAGACCCTCCGAAAAGTTTTATTGTAGAAGTTCTTGAGCTGTGGTTGCCAGCTCTTTGCCTCAGGGTCAATATTCTCAACTACCCCATAGAAGTCAGGTACCGATCCTCGTTCACAAAAGCCACCGGCCTTCAATCGACTATATGCGCGGCTCTCATTTGTAAAAAGATCCCTAGTAAGGAACGGTGATTCGCAAGTATCCGGTTTGTAAGGAATGAACTAGTAAACCTATTAGATGTTAAATTTGAAGGCGCGCTATATGACTTCCTCGCTTACTACCTTGAGCACGCAGTCTTTGTCTTGCCAGCGGGCTCGGCATAGAAATGAACGATCCGTCTGTTTCATGATCTCAACGAATTCCACATCGGCGATATCAATCTTGGGTGCATCATAAACCTTACGTGGAGGAATATTCTTCGCTGGGTGACGATAGTGCTCCCAAAATGATGATGGCATCTTGGTTCCAGCGCGATAGGTCTTAAAGATAAGTGGAATAGGGAGGGAGAAAAAGGAAGGGATAGAAGGGCGAAGGCGACATTATATGGCAGAATATGACTATACAAAAGTACATCCCTTCCAAGGCACCTGCATGTGTGTTGATCACAGCGTTTCACGTTGAGTGAGTTGTGATAACAAAGCCAATCATTTACAAGTGTGGCTTGACAAGTCAAAGACAAGTCAAAGAGCTTCTATGTAGGTCACGGCGTTTGGCTTTCGATGTTGTGATTTACAGCCCTAGAGAATACATAGTGGGCTCATGCTCTGTGATGTCTTTGTGATAGTCTTTTTTTAGACGTCTTCTCGCATATTCTTTCACTTTTTTTTCTTTGAAATTCTTTCCCTTCTTGGTGACAGGTGAAAACGACTTACAATTTCGAGCGGATATCACATATTACCACTAGGCCATGACATAGACCAAAGTAATATCTGTTAGACCTAGAGGGGCCTGTGGTCTGATCCCAAAGCTACCGGTGCAAGGATACGCCTTAGCGCTTCGCTTTGAGTGAGCATAGTTAATGATTTTCTTATGATGACCTATTACTACTATTGGTATCTCCTTCCTATTCGAGGTCAGTGATCTTCTTGTGGCTTGTATGCATATGTACCCGGTGACGGCCCCCGCTGCAGGTATACGTTTCAGTCACACTTAGCGCTTTGATTCGAGTGAGCATTGCCAATGATTACCTCTGTCAGTTCCCGCTGTTGGTTGTCATGGCGCTTCGGGGACGTGGGCTTTCGGTTGACCTCGAATAGGAAGGAGATGCTAATAGATTATGCCTTTCATCCTTCCCATCTCAAATATATAAAACACCTATTCACAGGAGTCAGTTCTGAATTATCATCTCCTAACAATCATCATTTCCTGATAACTATCATTTCCCAAGACTTATCATCTCTCAACCTTTTTATTCTGTCCAAGATGGCAAACCAAGTTACTCTACTCGCCTATTTGCTACAAGCACCACCAAGCATTCAAGTTCGCAATGTCGGACAATCGAAGCAAAGCACAACAATGGATCGTATGATCCGAACAAGATCAATGTTGTTGGTGTCTGGACGGAGTTCAACATAGACGACATCATGCATGAATTTGGCCCGCTGCTCAGGGCAATTCGCATTCAGCGTCATACTATTCGGTCCCCGAGTCCACAACGGGAGCTCACGTCTGAAAGTGACCTGCCCCTCGCATTTGGGGAAGACCTTCACGCTCTGATTCGGCGGTCCCTGCGGTGTACCTTTGAACATCTTGATAACCGTGCTGAGCAACGTGCCGAGCCCCAAGTTGATCCCCAGGCTGAGCCTCAGGCTCCAAGCCAACCGGAAGATCTTCTTTTCAATCAAGTTCTCGATCGAGTCCTTGACGTGCTTTCCGATGGCACCAATATCTTGATCGGGGTAGGCCCTGATGCTCTTATGCTGGCGAAATTCATCCCAGATCTTTCGATCTATGAAGCTGGTGAAGCTAGCAATAGAAATGTCCTGAGTCTGAACCGCCTTCCAGGCGACCTGAAGCCCTCATGGAAATGGTCACCCAGCATGATGAATAGTTCTTTTATTGATCCAGAATTCTTCAAACCTCTAGCACAAGTGAACTGGTACATGACGCAGCATGGCACGCAGTTTGGCTTCATTCTTACCGACCAAGAGCTGGTTCCAATTCAGCGAGTCGATGATGATGGGAACTTGAAGCTGGGTGCTCCGATCCCCTGGACCCAGACTGGCACATCCAAAGAGCCGCAGCTCACGGTTGCGCTTGGCTTATGGTATCTGGGAATGCTGACTGCGGATGACACTCTATATCGTGCTCGCCAGTGATATTGAGGCTTCGTTTAGGATTGCAATTCTCTAAGAGGGGGAACTGGGTCTCGTCGGTCGAGAAATGTGGGAATTTTTGAGCAATGTATCTATGAATTTGGAAATTTCAAGTCAACAAGGAATCAAGGGAATGAAATGGTATTCTATTAACATGCGTCTATCGAAATTTGTAGAATTCGGGTTAGTGGGAGATGAGTACAGAGTAGCCATAACGTTGTGCTATACGGAGTATATAGTTATGGGTCCGAAGGCATAACATATATGACGACAGCCGACATTTCTATTATGTATATGGGGGATATCAATCCAAATATGATAAACTACACGTTATGGCATGGACACCTCTAAAATCGTAACAGGAAATCCGAACCGTACACCCGTTGTCTCAGTAGATCAGACATTGACGCTATAACCAGAACCCACCCCACGCCGACGACGGATCGCATGCAGATACTTGCGACCTTCATCCACCCAGAACACCGAACTGGCAATGCAGACCAGCTTGACCAAGGACCCGAAGGCGAGAGCCTCGGTCTGGAAGATGCGCTGCAGGAACGGCAGGTAGATCACGCAGGCCTGGCCGGCCAACGAGCCAAGAACAGCGTAATTGAACATCTTGTTCCCAAACAGCGGCATTTCACCACGTAGGACGGACTTGCCCTCGCTGCGGCATGTCAATGCGTTGAACATGTCGAATAAAACGAAGCAGGTGAATGTCATGGTGGTGTCGTGCGCGGTGACGACGCGGGAGCGCTTTTCGACTGGGTTACCGTCGGTGATATCGCCCATTTCTTGGATGTAGATTGACAACGTGCCAACCATGATGACCATGGCTGAGGTGAGGACGCGCTGGATTAGAGGTTTTGTCAGAACACGGGCCGTCTTGGGTCGTGGCGGGCGATTCATGATGGTAGGGTCGACGGGCTCGACGCCTAGGGACTGGGCGGGTGGGCCATCCATAAGAATATCTGTAATAGTTGTTAGTGAAATACAAGGGATAGAATCGGATGCAGGAATACTCACTGATCCACAATATCTGCATAGCATTCAGCGGATTCTTGAAGCCAAGAGTGGTGCTCAGCAGTACAAGACTGAGTGCAGCCACGCTGGTACTAAGCTGGAACGTAATGAAATTCTGGATGTTATAGAAGATGCCCTTGCCCTGTTCGATTGCCTGCAAGATGGTCGAGAAATCGTCATCTGTCAAAATCATGTCCGCTGCCTCTTTGGCAACGTCGGTGCCTAGCTTGCCCATGGAAATACCTATGTCAGCTTTCTTCAGAGCGGGCGCATCGTTGACACCATCACCGGTCATGGCAACTACATCGCCGCGGGCTTGAAGTGCTGTCACAATCTTCATCTTGTGGTCTGGGCTCGTACGGGCAAAGATCGAGACCGTTGAGATTGCCTGGGCAAGTTCAGCGGCAGTCATACGATCGAGTTCATCGCCTCCGATGACTGAACGGGCATGCGGGGAATCGTTAACTGGCATTCCAAGCTTCTTCGCAATGGCCACAGCTGTTGTCTCAGCGTCGCCAGTAATCATGATGACTCTGACACCACCAGACATCAAGCGTCGGATGGATTTGTGCACATCTTTACGCGGCGGGTCGTTCATGCCCACTAATCCAGCAAAGACTAAGCCGTTGTACCGCTCGTCATCATCACCTTGTACGATTTTCGGGGACGACCGACTGCCAAAGCCTCTGCCACCTCTAGAAGTATCACGAACAACTCCACTGCCAAAGGCAAGAACTCTAAGACCCTCCGATGCCATGTTCTCTGCTGCTTCCCGAATAATCTTGCGACGGGGCTCGTCTAGAATTACTTCCCGACCATCCTTGGTGAGATAGGTATCCGATCGCGCCAAGACCTGTTCGAGAGCACCCTTAATATAGGCAACATGGGGACCTCCATTTGAACCACCAGAATCGCCGATAACAACACCCATCCATTTCCGCTCGGAGCTGAATGGGGTCTCATGGACGCGAGCGCTGATACGATCGCGCACATCATCTTCTCCGAGGATATCCATTAGATCCAAAATTGCCACATCAGTGGGCTGACCCACCCATCGACTCTTGGCAGCAGCCGAATCACTGTTGATGGTCGACGAAAGTACAGTCGCAGAAGATGCGCTGGCCGGCGAGTTTGCGTGCATCCGTGACAAACGAGAGTTGTTTGCAATATTACCAACGCGCAGGATTGTTTGCGCCGCAGGGCCAAAAGAAGTAACTGACGTCATTTCTCTTTGCACGTCGAATGGTTCTGGGCAGTCGAAATGCCACATTTTGGTGACTGTCATATGGTTGAGAGTAAGAGTTCCAGTCTTGTCCGAGCAGACGACATTGACAGAGCCAAGAGTTTCAACGCTGGGCAGTCTTCGCATGATTGCTCCCCTCTTAGCCATGCGCAGGACGCCGAGCGCGAGCGTGACAGTAACAATGATAGGCAAGCCTTCTGGGATCGCTGCGACGGCCAGCGAGACACCTATCGTGAACATTTCGAGAATCTTGCGACCTTGTATAAGACCAATAACCACGATCAATCCAATGACACCGAAAGATATATAACTTAGCTCCTGTCCCAAACGATCCATGGACAGTTGTAATGGTGTTCGAGGGCTCTCGATCTCTTGTAGCGAAGCTGATATACTGCCGAACTCCGTATTTGCGCCGGTTGAGATAACAATTCCCTGACCATAGCCTGAGCGGACTAGGGTACCCATGAACGCAACATTGTGCTGCTCGTTCAACCGAATGTCAGCACCAACAGCACCGCTTGCCGGTGCATCGTAGAAGGGAGATCGAGGGGGTGCTATTCCTTTTGGCGCTGAAGCGGTCCCGCCAGATGTGGTGCGCAAAGCTTCCGTGTACTTCGCTACAGGCTCGTTCTCTCCAGTCAAGTTCGACTCGTCAATGCTCAGATCTGTTGCAGCAGTGATTCGAATATCGGCGGGAATGCGGTCTCCAGTAGTGAAAAGAACCAAATCTCCGGGTACAAGTTCGTTCGCGGGGACTGTTGAAGAAGCCTTGACCGCGGCAGACGCCGAGCCTGGGCTTTTGCTCCGAATTTCATCCATTTCCATGGAGAAACCTGGGGGCGATGAACCACCATTCTCAGTCACCGCGGAGGAACTTGTTGGAATATCACGGATCAAATGCGCATAATGAGGTACAAGTCGGCTCAATGCTTCCAACGACTTCTCCGACCGATACTCTTGAACAAAGCCAACAGTCACAACAATTGTTACTGCGAGAGTAATGCTGATGGCATCGTCGTAGTTGCCCATCACAAAAGAGATTCCAGCAGAGCCGAGGAGGAGGAGAATCAGCGTCTCCTTGAATTGTTTGAGGAACCGCAGCCAGAGGGGTTCCGGCTCATCGTGAGGAAGCTCGTTCGGTCCATCTCTGGCTAAGCGTATCTCTGCCTCGACGGGTGTCAGGCCATGTAAAATAGAGGTTCGTAATCGCTCGGCAGTTTCATGAGGCTCGAGCCATGAATATGTGGAAGTGGATGTCTGGAAGAAAACAAGACCATGTGTTAGAAACTCCATTGTCTGACGGCGTGAAGAAGTGGAGGAAGGGCAGCACACGTGGTACGTGAGTCAAGTATACTTACTGATGATGGAGCATTTGGCCGTCCAGTCATGGCTGTTGTGGAGGAAGGTCGAAGAAAGTCGCTGTTTGATGCATTATGCAAAGGCAATGAAGGTGTCGCGGACCTTGACATTGCTCATGCTTTGGAGGATGGATAATTAAAGGCGATAAAATATGACGTTAGATATGTTGAGAAGTAGTTTTCATCCCGTTTGGGTAAGAATTGACTATGTTTCGACAATAAACGTTAGATGCGATCTGGCATTCACCCGTGGACACGGGGGCGGCTTAACTAACTGCTGGATTTGCGGAGTCGGCGCAAGTTGGTCGACGACAAACAAGGGACCGACAGAGGACCTGGGACCAAAAACGGGATTTGAAACAGCTTTTTGCTAAAATCAAAACCGCAAAATATTCCCATTCAGAGTACCGAGTCCACTTGGAAGAGGCTAGTTAAGTCCCCATGATGATGCTTTACCCATTGTGGCCTAGCTATCTCGGGTAGGGAGTTTATCCGGATACTATAATAAGACTAGCGCAAGGTATCACGTGTAGGGCAGAGTATACGATGCACTGATTTATACAAGAGTTTTCTGTGGTTTGGTGAGAAACAAAAAGTCCAATTGATATTCTCTTCCATATTTGCCTATTAACGAGGCAAATTTTCGTTCGTAGCAAATTCATTGTTGTGATACGTCGGGGTATGGACTCCGTACAAGTTCCTTTGTGTACCCTCACGTGACCCGACATTCCCAGCCCCCTCGATTACGTCAGCAAAAATCCCGCCCAGGCCATTGCCGCCTGATATTCCCACCGACGCGCATCTTCCGTTCCTCCTTGGTTTCTCAGCCAACTCCAAGATATCCCTCCCGCGCACATACCCTCTCCATCTCCCTCTTCGATGTCTTAATTTCACGCGATCGAGTGATAAACCTTTATCTCTTAGTCACATATCTACCTTTTCATACAATTATCAAGTGCGAATCCTCGCACAAGTCATTGTTTTCCCGGCTTCAGCGCGTCGCCTTTCTACACCTCACCCCCGCGCCGGGCGGGTCTTTTTCGCCTACCGAATTTGGTGACAGATATCTCGCCGTTGTAAAAGATCTCGTTGCGACAAACACACCATGTTCTATTCCGAGACCCTTTTGTCGAAAACCGGGCCGTTGGCTCGCGTTTGGTTGTCGGCTAATATCGAACGCAAACTTTCAAAGTCGCATATCCTGCAATCGGATATTGAGAGCAGTGTCAATGCTATTGTTGATCAGGGTCAAGCCCCTATGGCTCTGCGATTAAGTGGTCAATTGCTGTTGGGTGTGGTTCGAATTTATAGCCGCAAGGCTCGCTACCTCCTCGACGATTGCAATGAAGCTCTGATGAAAATTAAAATGGTACGTATTGTTTTGCATAAATGGGGGTTTGGTTCAATCTAATGATACATCAGGCTTTCCGTCTCACAAACAACAATGATTTGACTTCGACTGTCGTCGCTCCAGGTGGCATTACTCTTCCCGACGTGCTCACTGAATCTGATCTTTTCACCAACCTTGATACGTCTCTGCTTTTCCCTCAAACTCTAGATCTGGAGCCTGCTGGCAAGCGCCCTGGTGGCATGGATTTTGGAAGCCAATTCCTTCCAGACAGTAGCTTCCGCCGCTCTGTTTCTCAGGAACCCGCACGCCTTGAAGACCCTTCCCTTGTTGATCTTAACTTCAGCGACGATGAAGTGCCCCTTGGAAATGACCCGACTATGGAAATTGGTCGAGATGCTCCCGCGCCCCGGCCCGTAGGGGATGATCTGTTCAATGACGCTGGAAAATTCAACGACGACGACGATCTCGGACTGGACCTTGGAGATGATGAGGCTCTCGACAAGATGGACCTTGGCGATGATGTCCACGACAACCTGAACGACCTACTGCCAGATGGTCCCATGGACTTCAACAACGATAACGACTTTGGTGGTGGCGAGACGCCCCGTGCTGCCGAAAACCGATTCGAACGTGACTCCGAAAGCCCCCTTTCCGATGCTGGATCCGATCAGATAAATCAGCTGGAAGAGGAAATTAACCGAGATGTATCCGCAACCCCTGATGCCGTTAGCGCCCACCAGGGTCAACGCACCAAGCGCCAGAAGCTTATGGGACTCGATAAACAAGTTGCGATCTCCAGCTCCAAGATCAAGGACCAGCAAAATGACCGCTCTTCGATTTTGAAGCCCGCATCATTCTTGCCACGCGACCCCGTTCTCCTCACTCTGATGACCAGACAGCAGAATGGCAACTTTGTGTCTAGTGTGTTTGGTGAGGACCGTGGACGCGGATGGGCACCCGAACTGCGCGGCATGCTCTCTTTGGATTCCGTCAAGAAAGCCGGTGAGCTGAAGCGCAAGCGCGATAGTGGTATTTCCGATATGGATGTGGCTGCCGTCGACGTTCCTGCCCTGGATCTTGGTGACGAGGAAGCCATGGTCCCGATTGACGAGGGTATCGCTCTCGATACCACTATGAACCAGCGCTCTGAGATTGAATTCCCTGGAGATGATGAAGATGTATTGCACTTGAATGAGGACGACGATAACAACCAGCCCATGGATGAGCTGGATGATACTATTGCGCACCCCGTGGATACCGAACCGGTTTCAATGGGCACCAAGCACGCTGTGCACATTCTCCGCGAGAAGCTTGGTAGCCCAGCCACCCAGCAGGAGAAGAGCGTTTTGTTCCAGGAGCTCCTTCCCGAGCAGCGGTCCAGCAAGGCCGATGCTACCAAAATGTTCTTCGAAATCTTGGTGTTGGCCACGAAAGATGCTGTCAAGGTTGACCAGGGCGCCAAGTCTATTGGTGGTCCTCTCAAGGTCACTGGAAAGCAGGCACTCTGGGGTTCTTGGGCCGAGGAAAACGCTTCTGGTGCCATGAGTCAGCTCAGCCAGGCTCTTTAGAGAATGTGTCCTCTTGGCCAAAATTCTGGGATCTATTGGCGCATCTTTCTTTTCTTGTACAGCTCAACTTTGGGATGGTTCCGTAATATCTCGATTTGAGATCCGGTGTTTTCTTTGGGAATAGCATTCGGTCGAATGGCTATGAGGAGTTTAGGGTTAGCTTGGAGACAGGACTTTGGTTACTACCTTTTGTTGGTGTTTTTGTTTGGGCACCTGGTCCCTTGGAAGCGACGTTGATGAATTGTTTCTGTTCCGTAGTAGTTTTAGCTCTAGCTTAATTGAACATATCTCTGTCTCAAGCATATCTTGTTCTTGTCTGCAATGTTTTAGACCTACGATCTCGGAGAATTATATACGGAGTACGGAGTAGCTCCGTGCGACATGCACCAACGTTCCCACGTGTTTACGTTCTTGGCATCCGATAACTAATGTCACAGTCAAAACATTGAAAACGATATATGTCTATCTAGTTGTAGAATAGTTGAATTTTCTACAACATTACATACATATGGTTAGAATTACACTTAATCAATGTCCAAGGCGGAATCACTCCCGAGGTCGGCTTCGAGATAGCGGAATTAGGACCCCGTAAACTGATTGATCAGCTCGGAAGTCCCGAGGTTGAATTTGATTTCTAGACGCTAAGGAGAATCCCCTTCATTTTCCCTCGCAAGACAGTGACTCACATTTCCGCTAATCAATACATACACCCAGGTAGCTCCATACCGTTCGATTTGTTTCCTATGACTTCATAGATAACACAAAGACTTACCAGATGATCAAATCTAACAATTGACCGTTTGCCCATTGACCATGTCTCCGCGGTCAAGTACAGACGTGTCGCACCCAGACCCTAGCGAAGAAAAATCCCGCATCGGCCCCGAAAGACCCTCTAGTGGTAAGGGTGCTATCAAATTCGACCGCACCAAATCCGATGATCTGAGTTATGCTGCGATCACCTCCCCGGGTACTCACGAAGAAGGCAGCACACCGCTCCGAAAACTGCGCTCGAGCGCGTCTAGATCAGTTACATCCAAGCCCCTGGAACGCAGCTGGTCATTGAATGACGGCGTCAGCGTTGCCAGCCATGATGTCGACGAGGCTGCGGTGGCGACCGACCATGAATCATATATTGTGGGCTGGGAGGAGAACGATCCTATGAATCCGCGCAATATGAGCAAAGCCCGGAGATGGTTGGTTGTCGTTATTATCTCGATGGGTTCTCTTTGCGTGTGAGTGTACAGCCGGTTAATTCTTGAAATCTCTGCGCCGCATAGAAGCTGACTTACTGCATGTAGGACTTGTGCCTCTTCGATGTATACCACGACATATGACCAGTTGATGAGTGAATTCGGATGCTCGCAGGAAGTTGCGACTCTTGGGTTGTCGTTTTTTATTTGGGGTCTTGGTCCGTGCTGATCTTGTCGTCTTACGCGGGACTATGTGTTGATGTTTTTCGCTTTAGGAATTGGTCCGCTCTTTCTGAGTCCATTATCTGAAGTACGTTTGGGACTTTGGCTGCTAGATATTGCGTTGCTGATCTGAATTCTCTTAGTTCTATGGCCGAAGAAACATCTATCTCGTTTCGTACTCGCTGTTTCTCATCTGGCTTATCCCATGCGCGGTGGCTAAGAATACTGAGACCATGGTTATCGCTCGGTTTTTCACCGGACTTTCAGGCAGTGCCTTTTTGAGTGTTGCTGGAGGCACTGTTGGTGACATGTTTGATCGCCATGAGCTTGCCTTTCCCATGATGCTCTACACTGCGAGTCCATTTGTTGGTCCCGAAGTTGGTCCTCTGTAGGTCGTTCTTTTTGCCTACCCTCTGATCTTAATACTAACATAATCACCAGAGTCGGTGGCTTCATTAATGCATTTACCACATGGTATGTTTTATATTGAATTCTGACAACTATTGAAGCTTATATCACTCGCAGGCGTTGGACGTTTTATGTGCTCTTGATTTGGACGGGAGTGATGCTCGCCTCGATTATATTCTTCGTTCCGGAGACATATCACCCAGTGTATGTATTTCCAGATTCTGGGATAAATCACGACGCTAATAATGTTCTAGACTTTTGAGGCGTAAGGCGCAGAAGCTGCGCCTAGAAACCGGAGACGAGCGATGGAAAGCTCCAATCGAAAAGCTGCAGCGGTCTGTGACCCAGACAGTTCTGCGATCCATGTACCGCCCTGTTCTCCTCTTAACATTGGAGCCAATGTGTCTATGCCTTTGCATTTTCTCGGCCATCCTCTTGGGTATTCTGTACCTCTTCTTTGGTGCTTTCCAGCTAGTCTTCAATGATGTGTATGGGCTAGTAATATGGCAGCGTGGACTGTGTTTCCTCGGTCTGTTTGTCGGAATGGTTATAGCCATTTTGTCAGATCCGATCTGGCGCCAAAATTACATTCGCTTGGAGCGCAATTACAGAAAAACCACTAACTCGCTCGATGACTTCCAGCCGGAGTGGCGACTGCCCCCAGGTAAGTTTGCCAACATAATTGCTCACGCGCCAAGGTCCCAAGAGTATAATGGCTGACTTTCATGGAATAGCGATCCTGGGAGGACCCTTGGTTACTATAGGTCTTTTCATTTTTGCTTGGACAATCTATCCCAATGTCCATTGGATTGCGCCTATTATTGGCAGTGCTGTTTTTGGTGCAGGGTAAGATCAACCTTTCAACCCCACCTAGCCGGGCGACCATCCTTGTCTGCGCATTTTTCGGCCGTGTGATGCTAATTGGATCGTGTTACTGCTAGGACGATCCTAGTCTACTCGGGTATCTTCACATTCCTGGTCGATGCATATCCCACTTTTGCCGCCAGCGCTCTGGCAGCGAACAGCTTCGCTCGGTCATCCTTTGGAGGCATATTTCCGCTATTTGGAATACAAAGTAAGTTTGTCTACACTCTCGTTGTGCTGGGATAAGAATTGGAAGCCCGTGCTTTGCATGAAGCGCATATTTCCAATGCGGTGGATGCGCTGTATTCTGAACAGGCCGACCAGTAGCTCTTCTGCAATGCTTGACAGCTACATTCTTGCCTGCACACAGTTGAGGTAACGATTATGGCTAACGGTTATGCAGTGTACCACAACCTTGGATATCAATGGGCAACTTCCTTGTTAGCGTTCCTAACCCTTGTCATGGTCCCTTTTCCGTACGTGCTGGTTTTGACACACTTGATTTCCTCTTACGCTATACCTATTTCTTCCCCCTGCATTATGAAACCCCAGCAAGTCGCCTCAAGGATGGAAGTTTGACATCCCAGCTTCCTTGTGGCTCTAAAGACAATAACTTAACATGAGTTGATCTGTCTGCCGAACATTGTACTGACATTGATGATAGATACCTATTCTTTCGCCATGGGGCATGGATCCGAAGTAAAAGCAAGTTTGCGAAATCACAGACGTGATTGATGCTGCGGTGCACATATAATAACCCATACATACATTAATCTCAAGCGGGTTGGTCGCTGGCTGCATGGCTATTTCGCGAGGACACAGGTCTACCCTCGGCGCCATTGCATCTCAACAGTTTACCAACCGGTCTTGAACACCGTGCGCCAAGGAGATGAACACGGCATCCATGACCAGATGTTGGGAACCCCTTGGGCTGAGACGTTTGGCTACTGGGGATGTCAGGACATAACGCTTTGAGCTGCTGTACCGTCTGCAGTGTAAAAGCCAATGCATAAAATCATAGTTAATAATACGCATGATCGGCAAGGATATGCTCTATATCCTAGCTCTATTTGATTCCATATAAGCATCTTGCATATTCGATCTAGCCGTTCTTAATCTCAAGCAGACCTATAGCTTTTCATACTATGTACTAGCGGGGTTTATATACACACTAGGGGTAAATAGATCCCACCCACGCCAAGAATAGAAACTAGGCGGACCTGGTCCAGGCTTTAATTCTCCGACGGGACCCCCAGTCTGCCAGTCCAGTTGCGAAGCATACGAGGGTCATGTGGTCTTGAAATTCATGCACCGGCAATCATCCCCAACCAACTTACCCCTGGCGGCAAGCAGACATGACAATCCCTCCTTTAAAAGTACAGTCATAGCTGAGCGGTATAACTGTCGCGATCCTTCTAGCCTCGGCAGAGCGCATCCAGTCTGCCTCGGAACAAAACGGAATCGGAGCGTGCTGCCGAGAACTGTGGAAAGTCTGGACCGGGTTTCTCGGGATCGATTCAGCTTGACAGAAAAAAATAATGACTCAAATTGGATATACTTGCATTGAACGTTGGGTAATTTAGAAGCTAACAAGGCACAGAGTATACAATCGAATTAGGCACGTGCCGCGGGGCTACTAATTGTCTAGGTCATCTGGTATGCGCTGAACCCGATCTGGTATTGGATTGTAGTTCAACCAATCAGAGCCTGTGGATGCACTTAAATTACAGGTTGTTTCTGGTAATGTTATGAAAGCCGTAATACTTGGCATAGTCAAATACATAACTAATAATGCCTCCAGTGACCGTCGCCCTGAACGTCAGCATGTGAATGTATGATGTACATATTAGAGCCCTTTGGTTCTTATAGAACCCTATACTCGCAGGATTTCTGATCAGAGATAATCCTTCAATTAAGACACGCCCAACGTGAGATTAGGTTGGGTAGCAAAAAAAAAAAAAAACAAAAATTAATCAGGTAAAATAGTGGCTGTTTTTTACGGAGTACATACTCTAAGTATAGTCTTGCGCCTTTTTAGTAGGGAAATATAGTGCTAAAATTCTAAAAGCCATTGTGAAATAAATATATAAAAAATACACAAAAAAGGATTAAAAAAAAGGATTCCATCGCTCAAGCGAGTCTCAGTTAGTCCTCTACAAGTCCTTTACAATTGGACTGTGTCGTGTTAGAGTCCTGTTGCTTAGACAATAGTCACGGGAACACTCCGATCGAGAGCCCTTCTTAGAATCATCCGCTTCTTCTTCAACCCTCCGCGCGAATAATATTTGCATTGCCTCTCGACCTTCTTCCTTTTGAGCTTCTCGACCGGCCTCGCATCGGCACGGCTCTCGTGTTTGGAGAGAAATTCACACCTTCCCCGCAACCGAACGAAGCCGTCCACTCCACTCCAGCCCCGAACCATTGCGGTATTTTTCTGCTGTTAGCTTTGCGCCAGTTTCTCCCTATCTACCCACCACATTGAAACCCTTCAATGTGTCAGATCATCGTACATCCGTCGCTTCTCCAGTCGATTGTCCCCCGTTACACCCGTGACTCGACTCGCCGTGATTCCGGTGCCGACTCCCCACCAACTGTAGTCGCAAACGCGCGATTATAGGAACCAAGGACCGGAGATCTCTCCAACCTTCGAGAGGTGATTTGGGTGGATTTCAAGAACCTACACGGACGATTAGGACTTTGCGATCGTTTCCTTTTCCCACTCACAAGCTGGGCTGAATATTGTGCACGTGGATCCGCTCGCCCGCCGGAAACGAAGCGCTCATGGTATCATTGGCATTGTCGCCACCACGCTCTGTTTCTTTAGATCAACAAAAGAAGGCACGGAAGGTGGCCTACTGGATCTGAAACACCGATCTCCCTCACTTTTGTGGACGCGTCCATAGATCACCGTTCTCGGGGTACATGCCGAAATGAATATGGAAGCTAAGAACGGCTCCCCGGGTCCTGCAGGGGACTACAGTGGAGATCGGGACTCTGCCGATATCACAGAACACGAGCAAATGGACATAAAGCCCAAAACTAATGGCGATAGCAAAGCGGATCGCAAAGCAGCGAATGCCAAGGATCCCTCCCGACCGCGACGAAAGAAGGCTCGGCGAGCTTGCTTTGCATGCCAACGAGCTCATTTGACTTGCGGTATGATGATAGACTGATCCCTGCCCTTGTTAGCGATCTGACTAATATATATCGGGTTTAGGCGACGAACGACCGTGTCAACGTTGCATCAAACGTGGTCTTCAAGATGCTTGCCATGATGGTGTTCGCAAGAAGGCCAAGTATCTCCATGACGCTCCTGATGGGGCATTGATGCCAGCTGTTAGTACCACCAGCAGCAACAGCACCAATCTTTACAACAACACGCTCCGCAATAATATGCCTATATCTAGAAATGGCGCAAATGCTGTCAACTCCAACCAGCAACTCAGCCAACAACACACTCATCAACACAATAACCAAACAACCAGTACTACGAGCAACAACTTTTACCCTACGCCTCAGACGCAGACAGCATCCTACAATCCCTACCAAGAATCTTCCATGAGCCAAAGCCCTTTTACCACGCAATCACCCGTTTCACCTACTTTCAATATGAAGAGCAGCACCAATGGTCGAAATCCAAGTCTTTCATCAACTGTGAACCAGCAGGCTACTCCAAGTACTGCTCTTTCTGGGGATACAAGTCAGTCTCAAAATCCTTTTGCAGGGCCATTTTTTGATCCCAGTGATCCAGCTCTCTTCAACTTCGATTTATCGAGTATGAACTTCGAAAATCGATACGGTGCTCTGGAATTCGGCATGCTTGGGCACATGGCCACCGGCGCGGCCGGTGACTCTCCTACTGATTCTGCAGGACAGCGAGGGTCGATCGGCCGCAGTGGCTCGGCCCAGTTCTCCACACCAGCTCCCGGTTTCGGAGAAAGCCCGGGGAATCAACCTTTCATGTTTGGCGATCCTCTCCTAAACGAATGGTCGACCGCACCCTCGGGCCAACATGTGAATGTCGGCGGTGTGTATGGCCAAAATGCCATGCTTTCCGAACACATGAAACAAAACGCACCACATGCATTTGCGATCGAAAGTGCGCCAACAAACTTCACTAGTCCTGGCTCAGCCCCAAGCCCGAACATTACAACGGCTGCATTCGAGGACGGCACATTTAACAATATCGCTTCTGCTCCCAAGTCCAACAGCCTGGTGCCGAATGGACAACGCCAGGTGACGTCAGCATCAATACTGAAGCATCCAAATCTGCATGTTGGTTCTAAAAGACGCCACCGCAATCCTTCCTCAATATACGAAAGCGTGAAGGAGCCCTATGCTTACACAAGTGGCTTCCACAACCTCACTGCTTTCATCCAGCGTCGCTTTTCGCCGCAAAAGACCGTGCGAATTGCTAAAGCGCTTGCGTCTATTCGACCCTCTTTTATCGCAACTACTAAAACCCTTAATCGCGATGATCTCATCTTCATGGAAAAATGCTTCCAGCGAACTCTCTGGGAGTACGAGGACTTCATCAATGCATGCGGAACGCCGACCATCGTCTGCCGACGCACCGGCGAAATCGCCGCCGTAGGCAAGGAATTCAGCATCCTAACCGGATGGAAGAAAGACGTGCTTCTAGGAAAAGATAAAAACCTCAACGTCAACACCGGTTCGGGCGTACCCCAATCCGGGACAACGTCACGCGGGAGTTTCACACCGCGCGGCTCCACATTAGAGTATGCCAACACTGGACGCCCCCAACCGGTATTCTTGGCCGAACTCCTCGACGATGACAGCGTTGTCGAGTTCTACGAAGACTTTGCGCGTCTGGCATTCGGCGATTCTCGTGGTAGTGTCATGACTCGGTGCAAGCTGCTCAAATATAAGACCAAGGAGGACATGGATGTTTCACAATCTGATGATAATGCAAAGTGGAACAACCACCTCCGCAAGAGTGGCATTGCTGGCGAGGCCGGCATGAACCAGCTCGGTCTCAAGGACGGAAAAGTCGAATGCGCGTACTGCTGGACAGTGAAACGCGATGTGTTCGATATCCCGATGCTCATTGTGATGAATGTGAGTTTCTAATTAATATCACACGACCTTTTGAAGTTGATTACATGCTAATTCGCTATCTTCCAGTTCTTGCCATGCATTTGATTTTGTTTCCTGCTCTTGTTTCAGATTACCTTTTCATACCCTCGGCAAGGCCTGACATCAGGCCTGTCTTCTTTTCTTCTGCTGTTCTACTCAGTACATATTTCCTGATTCTGGGATTGTATGATTCCTTTCGGACTTGATTTCTTTTGGACCACTGGCCGACAGGGTCTTCTCATGTTCTATGTTCTCGTATATAAGTTATGCTTCTTGGATTCCTGGAATCAATTCCAGGATTGTCGATATGCTTTCTTGTTTTATTTGTGGCGCTCAAAAGGGACAATGGGACAAAAGCTGGGACGGGATAGTTACTGTATGAGCATAATGCCATGATATTGAGTGGGGTCACTTCTGACCTCGTTGAGTCCTGAACCATCCATGGATCTAAATTTAAATAAGTTGACGATGAAGCAGATGATAAAGTAGTTATTTGACAAAAGTGACTTAATTTTGCTAGTGTAGGTATATATATACTGTCTTGCTACTCCGGAACGGTACTAATAGCATTGTATGTGACGATCTGAAACGATCTGAGGACATGAGAGACGGGAATGTACTTGGGTTGAAGTGTTGAAGTAATTAGTCTAATGTAGTAGAAATATATATCTACTCCCTATGTATGTACTTGATTTCCTCTGCCACTTCTTGGCGTTCCCTTTCCGTTTTAGTGCTTGCCGCTTTTTGCGAGATTACATGTGGTTTAATGCCTGATACCCCAGGCGCCTCAATTATGTACGCAATGCATCCTTATCGCGATAACCCCCACCAGGGCTGGTCGCATTCAGACACACTCAACGCCAGCATCACGCCAAACCATTGCTAAATCACACAATCAGTATACGCCAAACAAAACAAACTTATTAGCAGATTTGTCTGCGCCAATATACACGCTTCACCACATCCCAAGCCTGACCCGTATCCACACAACCTCAACCTCAACCGCCAGCGCTGATGGGCTCCAAGCTGCGCGACCGGGTAGCCGGCCCCGATACCCCGGAACCTCCTTATCCTGTGCGACTGTCAGGGCCAGTGATCAAGGGATTTGGCCGCGGGAGCAAAGACGTACGTCCATGACTCTGCGGACTCAACCTCGGTGCTATAATCGCGCAGCGCAACACGCACAATGAACTTACCGCTGACTCGCTCTCCCGGATGACTACAGCTCGGAATTCCCACCGCCAATATCCCCGCCGACGACCTGTCCGAGAAGCACCCCGAGCTGACAAGCGGCGTCTACTTCGGCGTTGTAGCACTCGACCCGAAAACATACAAACATGAAATAGTCGAGGGCAGCACATCTACTGCGGTGGTTTTGCCGGCTGTGTTGAGTATCGGATATAACCCTTTCTATAAAAATACCGTGCGATCTGTGGTACGTGATATACAATAAACTAGACGAAATGCGCTCGTATTTTTGGGGTATCGGACTAACGTGGTTGTCCACTTTAGGAAATCCATATCATGCCCGCTCTCACGGAACCATCGCCCACCGCTGCGGGGCACGAGGGCCATACTAAGTTCCATCGCTTGCCGGATTTCTACAAAACGCGACTCAACCTGCTGATTCTGGGTTATATTCGGCCTGAGTTTGATTATGTCTCGCTGGAGGCGTTGGTGGAGGATATTCGGGTGGATTGTGAGGTTGCGCGGGAGAGTCTGCTGCGCGACGCTTACAAGAGCTATCTTGTTGACAGCGGTAAAACATCCGAGAAAGTCAGCGAGGATCGTCGGTGGTTGGTGAGCTTTGATTAAGTGGGGTCAGATATATCATGCCATTGGGGGTTGGCGAGATGAGTATCCTTCATTGCGATTATTTTCCCTATAGCGCAGATCATTTCGCTGTATAGACATAGAAGAAGGATCTTTTTGTTGACGTGTCATTTCTAGATTCTATTAGATGCTTTTTCCAAGCATGAAGATGTGCAGCCCTACCATATCTTATCGTGGTATGCAACATCAACGACGTCACCCAAGAAACCCTAAGCATTGGCATCCATTTTCTCGTCTTGACACATGTAATACCAAGAACTCCAACCCGAGCTTCCCGAAACGAAGCAGAAACTTCCATATATAAAAGGACTATATGTCTTCCTAAACTCCCAATATAAATACAGCTCATCTAATCAACCACATTCAGACTATGGTCAACGTATTCCAACGCCTCACTCGACGCCGAGCCCAAAGCTCCAGCAGTAACCCACCAGACCTAGACGCAGACACCACGGGCCCCAATTCCGCAGCATCCCATCCGCACGGAATACGCCGGACAGTGAGCACGAGCTCCGGCACACGCAGCTGGCGATATGAAGAGCCATCTTCCCGACACCTCATCCTGATCTCCGACACCGTGGAGTTCGATACCCATCTAGTCCACCTCTTTCAGGCGGAAGGATTCGATGTGATCTATATCCCGTTCCTCGGCAGCGGGAATGTAGAGAGAGATATGAAAGCGCTGAAGAATGCGGTGCACGAGAAAGAAGACGAACTCGAGAATGGAGAGCGGTATGCGATAGTTGGTACGTCTTCTATTATAATTTCTTGTCTATTTCTATATATGCTTTGTTATTCGAAGCAGAAACCTCAGCCCTGCAAGATATAGCAAAACCCAACTAACCAACCCCAGCATATCACCGACCTGCCTACCTCCTCCTAGCCTTACACCACATAGTATACAGCAACACAAACCCATTCCCACACCTGTGTGCCTTGATAGCCTACTACCCCCTCTCCTCAACCGACCAATTCACCTACAAGGAAAAAGAAAACTGCTCGCCACCAGGCTGCTCAGACACAGCTGCAATCTTCGGCCCAGCCGCCAAGTCAACATACCTCCCAATCCAAATCCACATTCCAGGCCCACGAGTCCAGCCCTGCGCGCTGTGGCCATGGATCGAGCTCAGCACCTCCGAAGGCGACGTCACCTACAAGAAAAAACACCGATGCTACGTGTACACGTACCCGGAGTCCAAAGCCGGGTTCGCGGAGCGGGAAGTTGCCGAGGAGAAAGAAGGCGAAATGGATGTGGAATTGAACGCAGATGACGAGATCAGCTCGCAATTGGCGTGGAGTCGCACGCTAGGGTGTCTGCGCCGCTCGTTCAATGTTGGGAGCCAATGGGCTGTTATCGATATCGAGACTGTCTGGGAAGAATACTGGGACCGTGTGCTGGGGGAGATGGAGATGCGGAAAAAACATCAGCATTCTAGTGCTGAGCCGGCGGTGGGGATGTTGACCGGTCATGGTCATTATGGCGAGATGGGGTGTCCTGCTGGTGAGGTCTTTGTGAAGTGTATTCCTACTCAGGCTGGGGGTGAGTTTTTCTTTTCCTCTTTTATTTCCTACGATCTGGTTCGGGAATTTACTGATATGTATATTACAGGCTCTGATATCGCAAGCCTGCGGGATTTCTTCGCTCATGTGTATATTCCTGCTGGGCCGGTTGATCAGCAAATCCGCCTGCTTTCACGCACTGTAGGTGTGGATCGTATCGTGGATGAGATGTTGTTCTCCTGTCGGCATACTGCTGAGATTCCATGGCTGCTACCTGGTGTTTCGCCGACGGGGCGAGATATCCAGGTCATTATCGTTGTAGTGGCATCCTTCAATGCTGGTCAGATAACACGCCAGAATCTTTATTGGGACCAGGCTGGTGTGCTAGTGCAGGTTGGATTGTTGGATCCGGGACTTGTGCCGTCATCAAAATCCGGCGAAGGATATTGAGCGTTGGGTAGTGTTTTAGCACTAGGTGTCTCTGTCTTGTAATGACTGCATAATGATTAATAGGGACTATCAAAACGATATACTTATCGGGAGTGGAGTTTTCGTATTCAAATGCGCTTCGAGAGGAGCCAAGTGTCGTGATCCTCAACGGACATGTGGCCGCGCTGACGAGGATAAGCCCCTCGAAGCTTTTGCGGGCGAGACAGTTCGCATAGTATTTTGGGAACGTAGGGCTAACCTTATGAGTCACTTCATCAATGTCCATGATATATGTTGCCCATACGTAATGTTCAGCTCGCAATAATTCCGGGCTAAGGTTCAACTGGAAGGATGTGAAAGTATTCTGATGCCTCCAACTGGTGCATCTATCTGCATGTTTCAGCTGGATTGCTTTGCTTATTAACCTTGTCTCAGATCTACATCGTATCACCACGTCACCGAGATGTGATTTGCTAAGGAGAGGGGAGAGAAGCATGCAGACGCCTATCAATACCACAACTGACTAATCGAGGGGATAGGGAAACAAATGTATATTTGACTTCACCGTCTCCTTTCTTTTAACCCAAGCACATCTCTACTCTCTAGATAGCATGGCGAAAAATCTTTCAGCACAAGAGATTATCAAGACCTTGAATCTCTCCCCACATCCAGAAAAAGGGTACTACGTCGAGACCTTCCGCGACCGCCATTCATCAAACACTCGCTCGCACAGCACCTGTATTTATTATCTTCTCGAGGGAGAAAGTGGCCTCTCGCAATGGCACCGTGTTCTCGATGGCACCGAGGTATGGCACTACTACGCTGGCGCCCCTATGCAACTATCACTATCCTGGGATGATGGGAAACCCACCCGGGACATGATTCTGGGCATTGATTTTGCAAAGGTGAGTTATTTCTTTATATATATGGTCGCGTGTTTCTCCACTTGGCAATGCTTAATTCCTATGATATAGGGCGAACGGCCACAGGCTATCGTTGAGCGTGGAGAGTGGCAGCATGCGAGGAGTCTAGGTGATTGGACACTCGTGGGGTGTACGGTGGCGCCGGCCTTCTTATTCGAGTCGTTTGAGATGGCTGAAATGGGATGGGAACCTCGCTCGGCCACTGAAGGCGAGGTCCACGACTAACTAATGTGTACTTAATGAACATGGCAATGATTTTATACGTCTTAACAGCACATCCCTTTTTTACATCCTGCAATCGGTTAATTCATAAAGTCTTTGTTAAACGATATCTGTCTAAACGATTAATTTCTTTTTATAGATCTAGGCCAAGCACCGCTGAGCAAGCTAGTGCCTCGAGTTGACTTCCGATCCAGGCAATTAACGTCATTAGTACGGGGTCACAGCTACCTATTACAGTCCCAATAAGCCCCGCAGCTCACCCAATTCCTTACTCACACCTCCAGCGCTAGCCAATGTTTTCCGGCTCGCCTCCTGAGCAATAGAAATGACATCCTCCACGCGCACAGAAGGATCCTTGGCTAAGCCAGCCACCACAACACCTAGCAGCGTATCACCCGCCGCGTTGACACTGACAATGTCCTTGGCATCTAGAATAGTATTAGGCGAGAACAGACGCATGTAAACACCACCGAAAGGCAAGTCCGGTCCCCACGCGCGAGAAAGAATATACGGCGCAGACTCCGGATCCGTAAGACGGGGATCACCAGGCGGCAGAAGCTGAGTGAGGAGAGAACCCGCACCACCGAGCTTAGTAACGATACAAGGAATGAAAGGAAGCAGCTGAACAGTCTGCTGCGGAATGCCCTCGTCAACGAGAGACAGCGAAGTGAGCGCAATGAGTTGCTGGCGCGAGCCCGTCGGAGACATATTCATCGAGTTAATGAGATGCCACCATTCCGCGGACTCGAAAAGAGATGCTTCCCGCGCAGCATTAAACATAGCCGTCAGCTCGAGGCGGTTCGGACACGCAAGACTGATAGCATTATTTGGCACGATCTGGTTGGGACCGATAGTCGCGCCGGCGCTGTTTGCGCCGGTGCCGAATAGACGTCGGGATTTGGCTGTTGAAACGGGCTCGAAGGCTACGCGGGCGCCGTGTTTGCGTGCTACAGCACTCCATTTGGCCATCACGTCGGGCCGCCAGTTGGCGTCGACGACGACCCAGTTTGGCTTTGTGCGTTCGAGGAGAGGTTCCCAGAAGCCGTCAAAGTCGAGTTCGGATTCGGGGAGCTCGACGATGCCCATGTCGGCCATGGCTATCAGGAGGTCTTTTTTGGTGTCGTTGATTGCGATGTATTGGGCTGTGCGGGTGCTTGCTGTCGCTGCGAGGACTTGGATGCCTGCGGTGCTGAGGCCTTCTTTTTCAAGGGTTGAGAGTGCAGCGCGGCCGCTGAGATCGTCTGCGACGACGCTACAGAAGATGACATCGCTGCCGACGTAGCTGGCGGCAATGGCAACGTTGTGGCCAACGCCGCCTAGGCTTTGTCCGATAATTGCTGGGTTGGAGGTATGTGGTACTGGTGCAACCTGTGTGAGTTCGTCTCCGAATGGAGTGTAGTCGCAGGACAAGTCGATGGCTAGCGAGCCGGCAACCACGACATCTGCCTTTAGAGTTGGTGTAATAGGTGCCTCGGTGGCTGGTTCGGGGAAATCTTCAACTTGCGAGGCAACTTGACTTGGAAAAGCTACACCTGGGATTGATGGCATGTGTCTATAGGGATAGAGATCGAAGAACTTAGCATTGGTTGAATCTCGTATCTCGTATCTAGAAACAAAACTCACCGAGACCCTGTTCCTAGGTCAGCTTGTTCAAGCTTGGCAAGTTCCACAGCTACTAAAGTTGCACGCTTGACATTAGACTCAATCAAGGCCCGGTTGGCGACTACGCTCTTTCCACCGCTTAGTTCCTTGATCTTAGCAAGCACAAATGGCGTGTTGTCACTGCCGTGGTAACCCTCTACATGGGAAAGGCGGATAGCTTCTTCAATCACAATATCCATCTCGGCTTTGGGGATTGAGTGCTCCAGAGGGACGGGGTTGGCAAAGTGGATGCCGGAGGATACTGGAAGCTTTGATTGCGCATCTGGAGATTCCGTCAACGAGGCTGTAGCTTTCAACACATGGGGTAAACTTACAAACTATGGCAGCAGCTTCAGCTTCATTTTGAATGACCCGGGGACTGCGAATGCCGCTCTCTCGGGTAAAGAAAGCTGGGAAATCAACGGCACCATCCCGGCCATCAGCGAATGTACCCACGCAGACACCTTCGGTCTCGAGGTATTCGAGCGTTCGAGGGATGTCTAAGAAGCTCTTGCACCCAGAGCTAATCACCGTTACCGGGGTACGTCCAAGTTCAGTAAGATCGGCTATAATCATTTGTCAATAATGGGGATACTTGTTTTGCTTCACGGTTCTCTTACCAGAGATATCCATTGAGCTTTCTGCTCCGCGATGCACACCACCTAGGGCAAGTCAGATGGACTTCTTTTTCGATTGAGCTTTGATCACTGAGTTTACCTAGTCCACCGGTACCAAAGATCTTGATGCCAGCTAGTTCTGACAGGATCATAGTGCCCGAGATTGTAGTACCGCCGTGCATTTTCTTACCAACCATGCCCTAATATATATCAGTTCCAGTTCTCTGAGCCATTGCAACAGCTAACTCACTAAGCCACAGATATATCCGAGATCCCTACGAGACACTTTCAGAGCGCTCTTCTCTTGAGCTGTCGAGGCCAGCTCGATAAGCTCTTCCGTACTCAGACCAACCTTGGCAACGCCACCAAGGATTCCTATAGTTGCAGGCACTCCACCATTGGCTCTCACAACCGACTCTAACAATGCGGCGAGAGCAATGTTATCAGGATAAGGGAAACCTACAGCTGATTAGAGTCTTGGCTTCCCCGCTTTTGGGCGAAGCTCTTCAATCCCAGGAATGAACGCAGAAAGACTCACCGTGTGTATAGATTGTCGTCTCAAGAGCGACGACTGGTTTACCTGTAGCAATTGCATCACGCACCTCGTCTGACACCTTAAAGAACCTGCTCTGGGCAAGGCCATGGTAGCGACGAGCTGATAACAGTTGGGTTCCCCTCAAACAGCCGGACCTTAAAGCAGCTCGAGAGGCAAACATCGTGTGTGACAACATGATGATATATGAAAATAAGTTTCAGCTGTGCCTCCAGCCAATCTCAACCTGCAAGTCAAGTAGATCAAGTATGCAAGAAGTAAAGATGCGAGATGAGGAGAAGCTTCGATCAGCTAGGCCCTTATCAGCGATAAGCCGGAGTGCGCGATGTGGCCGCTTCGGCGACCCTAGTATACAATGGGGACCACGTATCATCAGCTGCGCAAGCTTTCCAAGGTTCACCGACCAGACACAATCACATCTTGGATTATTGAACCCTTTGAACCTCGGAGAAATTGTGTCCTCCAGGTACTCAGAATGAGGTTTTTCACCGCCACGGTGCTCGGGCTGCTCGCGCCCAGCCTGTGCGCTGCAACCAACCTTACCACGCCTAGTCGATTGGATCTTCCGTCCGGCTTCAAGCCCCCGCAGGTTTTCAAAAACATAAATTTGGTTCGCAATACCAATCTGGAAAAGAGCTATGTGCGGGAAACGATCAATGTTGTTGTGGAGAATGTCGACAAGCAGCCCCAGAACGACTACTACATCCCCTTCCCTGCCGAAGTGTTTGACCGTGTTGGAGGCTTCGAAGTGAGGGATAAGAAAGCCCCCGAGAAGGGACGCTTTGATGTGGACTATACCGAAGCTGTACCATCTGAGTTAGTATCAATTGGGAGGTCAATGGCCATGTCAGGGGCCTATTAAACTAACAATTGAAACAGCGGCAACCAGTATTTCGTCGTTCACCTTCCCGAGCCTCTGGCCCCGAAGTCGCAGATTACCCTTGGAATCTCGTACTCAGTGCTTTCCTCTCTCAGCCCACTTCCTGCCACCATTGGACAGGCGGACAAGCAATTCCTCACCTACTCCTTCTCCGCCTACATGCCATCCGCCTACACGACGGTTACACAGAAAACCAAGTTGAAGTTCCCCAGCAACAATGTGCCGGATTATACACCCACGGAGGGTCTCAAGTCCGGCTCGGACCCCGAGCGCAAAGGCACCACATACACCTACGGCCCGTATGACACGGCCGAGGTGGCCCCGGGCACTGAGCACCCCATTACCGTTCGCTATGAGTTCACTAAGCCCGTCATCACGGTAAACCTTTTAGAGCGTGACTTGGAAGTCTCGCACTGGGGCGGCAATCTCGCAACCGAGGAACGGTACTGGCTGCGCAACAACGGCTCGGAGCTGACCAACCAGTTCTCGCGTGTCCAGTGGACCTTCACCTCCTACCAGAAAGCGCCTACTTCGGCGCTTCGTGAGCTAACATATCCGCTTCTGCCTGGCTCTGTCGATCCTTACTTCATTGACGATATCGGCAATGTCTCGACCAGCCGCTATCGTCCGAGTGTTGGTAAGAGCGCCGGTAATTTGGAGCTGAAGCCCCGCTACCCTATCTTCGGAGGCTGGAACTACAGCTTCCGTATTGGGTGGAACAATGACCTTGCTTCGTTCCTGCGCCGTGCCGCGGGTGTCGACTCCGACTCCTATGTCCTCAAGGTCCCCCTCATTGAAGGACCTAAGATGGCTGAGGGCATCCAGTATGAGCGTGTGGTTGTGCGTGTTGTGCTCCCTGAGGGTGCTCACAATGTTCGCTTTGAGCTTCTTGAGGGGACCAACAGTAATGGTCTTCCTGGCGCCAAGCACATTTACGCTCACTTGAACACTCTCAAGACCTACATGGATACTCTGGGCCGGACCACCTTGACCCTGGAGGTTGACAGTCTGACTGACGAAGCGCGCGACTCCAAGTTCGTGGTATGTACTAATCGTATTGTCACTTGTTCATCTCGCAATTATGCTAATTCGCCATTAGGTTACGTACGATCACTCCATGGTCGATGCCCTGCGCAAGCCTCTCACCATCTTTGCGGGCTTGCTTACAGTCTTTGTCGCTGCCTGGGGCATTGGAAAGATCGATATCAGCATCAAGAAGCGATGAGCTGTGAGAAATGGGTCTATATCAATATCATTTTGTCACTTTTCTATAGTTATGTCCAAGAGGGATCTCACCGACTTGTATGTTTACAATGTGCGCTTCCTATCCACCTTCCTTCCAGGTCCATGTAATTTTCCAGTCTGTGTCGCTCTTTCCTCTAGACGTGCCTTCCTATTTGGGTAGACACCACCAGACCGTACACGTAAACAAACCTTCATATCTCCATTGGGGTATTTCCTTTTCTACTCTTCCATTCCATCATTCCTCGTTCCTCTTCACTCAATCTCTGCGCATATCATCGTCTTCGGCTATGCTTCATTTCAAGCAATCGCCGGACAAACCTCGTCCACCTCCTGTCGGTAACAACACCACCTCGGAACCCCCATCCTTGACAGCTATGCATGATTCCCCCAACCCCCTCGGTCCAGTGGTGGTGTTTATCGCCCGAGCCTCAAACCTGAAGGATCACAACTACCCAAATGCAGAAATGAACAGCAACCAAATGCACGAATACCTGCGCTCACTGCTTGTAATCACCCTCGCCGAGCACCGTAAACAGTTCGGTTTCCTGGGCGTCCGTCCTCACAAGATGCAGACCATCATCCAGCCCGCCCACAGCCGGATCCGATCCAACGGCCGAGTCAGCAAGTATCTGGGAATGGCTCTCGAAGAAGCCCGCACATGCAAGACTGAGTGCATCTTCGTCATATACGGCTGGGATGGCTGGACAACTGACAAAATGAATATCATTGAGCTATGCGAGAAGTTCCACGATGTCCCTTTTTACTTCCACGTTTATGCGAACCGTGGCACGCCTCGTGAGTTCTACGAGGTCAATGCCCACAAGGTCAACGCGTGCCTCAGACAGAGGGTTAATGCGGATGATCCGACGGTTGTTGGGGATGGTTCGACGGCGCTCTACATTCGCATCCTGGAGACCCTACCTCCCTTGGAACTTGGCAATTCTCACCCTGATCTTTCGGTGGTGGAAAAGGATGCTCTTTCCAAGTACGATAAGCGGTTCGCTGGAGTTTACGAGAATCAAGCGGATGCTCCAAAGCCTGGCGTGACATCGGTAAGTTCGAATAGTAATGCTGGGGTTGGTGCTTTACTAATGAATCTTTTTTTGTGGCTTCATATAAAGATCTATGAAGCATGGCATTGATTCACGGAATCGAGACCACAGAGGCCCCAGCCTTCAAATATTCGGACACTATCAACCAAGGAAGCAGCTAAATCAATGCAAAATCTTTATCAAACTGTTCATGGCATACTATAACTTGGATAACTCGGTGATATCTTCCAGAAAATGACCGCGTACGGTTCGTCAAATTAGACTGAGGTAGTAATTGTACAGAAGAGCAAGATATTGTAGTCATGACGCAGAAAAAAAAAGAAGTAAACTACCTAGTGCCATCCATTGACCGTACCCGTCCCGGCAAGAAGTTCATCAAGCTCATCTTTTCGGCTCTTGTACAAATCTTGAGCCTCTCGCTCACGCCGCATAACAAATGACACTGCTTCCCGGAGTCTCTCAAGTCGCCGGACCACAGCCGACTCCTCAGATATCTGGAGTGTACGGAAAGCGTCCAGCTCATTTATAGCGGCGGGCAAAGCAGCACCAGCCTCCAAGATCTTCGACCGCAGCGTCTTAGCCCGCTTCTGGTATCCGCCGTAGTGCAAAGACAGCTTCTTCTCGAGCTTGTTTCCGCGCTCGGCAGTATCAAAGAGGGAAGTTTGAACAGTATCAAAGGCCGCGATCATGCGTTGTTCTTCTTGGAAGGGATCCTGCTCGTCATCCTCGTAGTTCTCAAGGCCAGGCAGAGACTTGGCGCGTGCTGACGACCAGCCGTCGTCGAATTTCTCTTGCCATTCGGACAGCTGTGCTTCGGTGGAAGCAATCTCAGCGGCAATAGAAGCTCGTGCTGCGTCCAAGAAACGGTCGTCCAATTGGCTTAACTTTGGTGCTTGGCCTTGAATCTGCGCGTCGGGGACGGGGAATTTGCGAGAGTCATGTGCGATCAAAATGGCGGCTTCGTTGGCAATCAGGCCTTCGATGGTGCCGGTGACCTGGGACGCACGTTGCAGCAAAGCGTTAATATCGAGAACAGCGGGACGAGGCAGGCCTCGCTGGTAAACTTGTGATTGACGCTTGAATTCAGCCTTGGCGGCCTTCTCCCGTGCCTCTTTGTTACGCTGATCACGCTCGGCCGCATCTTCTTCGCTGATCTCCATAGATGTGGTGGGCTCAGCGGATTCGGATGGAACCTCTAATTCCCACTCGGCTTGTTTGGGCTTGGGGAGCGAGGCCAGCTTGCTGCGCACCTGTTGGCGAGTGAGATTCTCGTACATTTTAATGTCTCGGGGTGTGCTGCCAATGAGCTGGGCACCCTGTTCTTCCCGGTTCAGAGCTAAATGGTCACGTGGGGTGCGCAATGGCGTGGCACCGGCCCCAATACCACCGGGCATAGGTGTCGCACCCATGCCATTCGCCTGGCGGAATGGCGTGGCCATGGGGTTGGGAGTGACGATCGCTTGCCGCCGAGGAGCAATGCCATCAAATCCAGTTGATGAACTGCCCTCATGGAGAGGTGTGTTATCCCCTCCCAGGAGGGAAGACTGAGTTTCAGTCAAAGCTCGAATGTTCTTGATTTCGTTAGCGATGCGATCTTCCTCCGGCGCAGCTCGGGGGGTTCTGATAGGAGTTCCTCCAACGATAGTCGAGTAATTTCCAATAAGCCCCCGAGTGCCTGTTTCATCGGCGGTCATTTGACTAGCTTTATCCCCAGCCATTCCCATCTTGATGATATCTTGCATTTCGCTTTCGCTGACCTGCGGTGCTGGCAAGTTCAAACCCCGTCGCTTGCTGCTCTGTTCGGCCTCGCGAATCTTCTGCATTTGGCCGGCTCGTGCAGCTGCAGCAGAGGCGGCCATAGTGCCGCTTTTATCGTTCTTGCGCTTCTTCCGTTCCGCATCGTCGTCCTGGTCTCCCTTTCTCTTATTTGCGAGTTGCTGCTTCCGGGGATCGAACGCTTCTCGTTGGCGTTCATTCTGGTCTTTCTCCTCGAGTGTATCGTAGAATCCAGGAGCAGCTGGCTTTTCGAATGGAATGTCTGCATTGTAATCCATCTGACCGGGCTTCCGCGTGACAACCTTGACGTTAATACCGGCATGCTTGAGTTCGCGACGCTTTTGGAGAACGGCCAGTCGACGTGACTCTTCTAATTGACGCTCTCGGGCCTTTCGTTTGGCCTTTTTACCCTGTGTGTTAGCGAGACGAGCACGCGCTTCGCTCAGCATTTCTTTCTCATCTTCATCCAGGTCGATAGTATCGGGACGGGCAGGCTTAGACTCTGGGTCGGGATCGAGTTCACCGGGTCTAAAAGGTATCAGCAACACGAACACAGAGCTTTAGGAAAACCAACGTACCGCAGGCGACGGACATCGTCCGCACTGGGGGCAGCGCTCTCCTCGCCAGGTCCTCCGAGACCGAGCTCGTCATTCTCGCGAGATTCAGCTTCATCCAACAGCTTTTGGTAGCGTTCAAGACATTGTGTGGCAGTGCGCCCGACGATGGGAGCAATAGTGCGCCATTGAGTGGGCATCAGCTTTGCAAGGTGGAGCAGTTTCTCGTCCTCTTCCCGCGACCACTCGACCTTGCGAATGCCCGGATCCAACCATTCAATCCATCGCGCCTTGCATTGCTTTGGGGTTTTCCGTGCGAGCAGGGAGGAGACTCGAGCCCATTGGTTGAGACCATATTTGGATACCTGCGATTGAGTTAGTTTTTGCTCATAAAACGTAGGCTAGAGAGGTTCCTAGTGAGTTATATCACGTACAGCTGCCCGAAGCACTTCATCCTCAATATTGGTCCTAAGAGTATATTAGCGACGAGAACTGGAGGGCGAGTTCCAACGGTGGCACTTACCAGACACCTCCTTTGACGACAGGCATGGCGTGCGATCGCGCTAAGCGCAGTGTCAAACTTTCGAAAAGCGATAGTAAAAGATCAAGCGTGCCACCAGAAGGATGGAAAATGACGACCACTGGCACTAGGGAGTTCACGCGCCGTAAGTGATGGCAGCGTGAAGCGGAAGAAAAGCGAGTTCTCATCCAAGCGCGGTAAACGTGGTAACCGCGATCACCGCCCCCGCGCGTGCTGAGATAAGCAGATCCAGAATTTTTTTGGACCGGAAAAAAAGATAAGCCAATATTTTCATACTATCAACGTTGACTGTCTGTCTCTGTTGTTTTCCACAATGTCGACCTCCGTGGATGCCCCGAAGCAATTCAAGCAAACTTCCCGTAAGGGCAAGAAGGCGTGGCGCAAGAATGTCGATATCACCGCGGTGCAGGAGGGTTTGCGCGATCTGAAGGACGCCGAGATCACAGGGTAGGGTTACCGTTATTATCTCTTTTTCTGCTCTTTACTTGTGGATTAAGATCCTAACTATCTTCTCCTGCTAGTGGCCTCATCTCGGAAAAGCCTTCCGATCAGCTCTTCGTTCTCGATACTGTTGGTAATGAAGACGTACGCAAGGCTATCGCCAAAAAGCAAAAGAAACCCCTCAAGTCAGACGAAATCCTTGCCCAGCGGTCAATGATCCCCGCCCTGGACGGCCGGAAGCGTGTAAACCCGAACGTCACCGACGGAGTCATTGAACCGAAGACGAAGAAGCCCAAGAGCGACTGGGTTAGCAAGAAGGAATATCTCCGCCTAAAGCAAGTAGCGAAGGAGGGAAACCCTCTGGCCAAGAAGACCGAAAATGAGTTCTACGATCCGTGGGCGGAAGATACTGAACCCACGCTCAAGTACGACGACCCTCGCTTTGATTTCCTGCAGAAGCCTAAGCCCAAGGTTGAGCCGAGCACATTAAAACACGCCCCGATCTCGCTTGCTGCCAATGGGAAGCCTATCCCCTCTGTTAAAGTGCCGCACGGCGGAACCAGTTACAACCCTGTGTTCGAAGAGTGGGATAAACTATTGGAGACACATGGTGCGGCGGCGGTTGAGGCCGAGAAGCTGCGATTGGCGGAAGAGGCCAAGGAAGCTGAGAAGCAGCGTTTGATTGAGGAGGCCCAGAACGACAACGGCGAGGTGAAGTCGGATGATGAGAGTGCCTGGGAGGGATTCGAAAGCGAGTACGAGAAGTCCGAGTGGCTGAACAAGAAGCGCCCCGAGCGGAAGTCCAAGACACAGCGCAACAAGGCCATCCGACGCAAGCTAGCAGAGGGGAAAGCGAAATGGGAGGCAGCGAGAGTAAAGAGAGATGAACAGGCCCAGCATATTCTCAAGATCGCCGAGCAAATCAAAGAAAGGGAGCTCGAGCGCGAGAATCAATCGGATGCGGATGATGATGAAGCTGGTGATGAGACTGCGCTTCGTAAGAAGACCTTCGGTGGCAAGAGGGCGTACGTTTTTTTTTTCATTTCCTATGTCCATGTTGCGACTAACAAGCTCTATAGTGTACCCGCACAGCCGTTGGAGCTGGTGCTTCCTGACGAGCTGCAGGATTCTCTGCGACTCTTGAAGCCGGAAGGCAATCTCTTGGATGACAGATTCCGAACCTTGATCGTTCAAGGTAAGCTCGAGTCTCGCACACCAATCACCCAGGCACGCAAGGCCAGAAGACAGATCACGGAGAAGTGGACTGCGAAGGATTTCAAGACTGGGTACGAATGATTCTGCATATTCCCTCTAAAAGCGCGTGCATTTTGTTTATCTGGACATATAATGTGGTCCTAAGGTTAGATGTTAGGATCGGGTTTGATTTCAATATATTTCAAGCACTTACAGCTAAATTAAGTAAAGACTACACGCTAAACACCCAATCAAAAACCGTAAAGATAATATATATAGTCCAAATGGCGCTGTATAAAAGTCGCCTGGTCAACTATCCGCAAAATAAAAAGTGGGTCCCGAAAATTTACTTGCTTATCGGCTTTTTTTATCTTTCCCATCTTCTCTCACCAACAGAACACAGAATGGACAAGACGGCGCTTTCCAGTAATTGGAAGAAGCTGCAGGCGACATTGAAGAAGGATCCTACTGCCAAGCGCAAGCCCTCCGAGCTCGACTCTGGAAATGGCATTGTGAAGAAACGAAAGTTGACCGAGAAGCAAAAGCCATATAACCGAGACGCCAAACCAACCCTCAAGCGCAAGAGAATGTCTGATAAGAAAGAGACCGGCGATTCAGCCGATGCGTCCGCTCCAAAGATCGAGACGAGTTCGCGTCACAAGGAGAATGAAGGCCGTTCACCAAGGTAAGTGCCAGGGCACAGACGGACAGCCATACTATTTGGCCCGTCCTTCGATATCAATACTAACTATCCAGCTGCAGTGCCGAACTAGGGAAATACGTCGCGATGGATTGCGAAATGGTGGGCGTCGGACCAAATCCCGACAGCGACTCTGCACTTGCCCGCGTCAGTGTCGTGAACTTCAACGGCGACCAAATATACGATTCGTACGTGCGGCCGAAGGAGATGGTCACAGATTGGCGCACACATGTGAGCGGGATTGCCCCGAAGCACATGGTGGAGGCAAGGGCCCTTGAGCACGTTCAGAAAGAAATCGCAGATATCTTGAAGGACCGCATTCTCGTCGGCCATGCTGTCAGCAATGATTTGGACGTTCTCCTTCTCAGCCATCCTAAGCGCGACATCCGAGACACGAGCAAGCACCCGCCATATCGGAGGATCGCAGGTGGTGGATCACCACGTTTGAAGATTTTGGCTGAGGAGTTCTTGGGAATCAAGATCCAGGACGGAGCGCATTCTAGTGTGGAAGATGCTCGGGCTACGATGGCTTTGTATCGCCGGGAGAAGGATGCGTTTGAGCGGGAGCACTTGAAGAAATGGCCTGCTCGGATGATTGCCGACAACAGGGAGAAGGGTGAGGGCCAGAAAAAGAAGAAGAAGAAGAAGACCACACGCAAGCGTTGATGTAGTTAAATATTCGATATAGCTTTCGAGACATGCTTAGACACTCTGTACATGTATACCCCGATCATTGCCAATTGAATTGTTTTGCATTTCCACGAGAATTAGCTGTATTTTTTACTTGTACGAGTACGAATTTAAACGCATTAAAACTTCTACAATATACGTAGGGATAAATAGATAAATTTGCAGTCGATCCTCGAATTTCCACTTAACGGAGAACGGGGAGAACGCGTCGCGCCTCACGTCCAATCTTTTGCAAGAATCAGCGCAACCACCCAGACCGCGGAACCCAGGCAATACCTCTCTTATCCAGACTTGATCAACATAGGAACAGATTGGAAAACAATTAGGCCCAGAAAATATCCTGGTTTATACCGTTACTGCCTCGTCACTCAGAATCGTCCTCTACGAAGAGCAACCAAGACAATGCCCGACATGTACGCCATCCAGCCTTGCGCAAAAGCGAGCTCACAATCCGAGAAGAATGACTCGGCTCTGCAATGTGTGCCAAATATCATTCCATGCCGGATTCACCACGATGGGCCAGTTGATTCACTGGATCGGTATTGGACAGTGCAAGACGAAAAAGGCATGCAAGACAGACAGCCCTAGATGGAGAAAATCCAGCTAGACTAATGTACAAACCAGAACTAACATTTCTTCATATCCAGATAATACACAAACGACATATTTCCGCGGACGCAAACTTCGAGGTCGGCGCGTCGCCCTTCCTGATGGCTATCAAGGTATGAGAGAACATCCAAATGAGGGTTCCGGATATACAAAAACGGTAATTGAATCATAATTGGCTGATTATACCATTGAAAATATATAGGTGTAGTCGCAACACACACAGACCGTGTGTTACCTGCAGCTCAACCGGCAGACAATGACGGCGCTGAGGATGCAGAGGCTGAACCCGAGGAACCAGTGAAGATTATGGAGATTCAGAGGACCTTTGATGAGTTTGTAGTATGGGGACATGAGGCTATTCCTGCGGCAGATGACACTTTTGTCAAGGGAGTGGAGGAGTGGCTGCAGTTTGCGGACGCGGTATGTTTTATTCCCATCTATTATGATCTATTCGGGTTATTCTTTTGCCCTGGTTCTTTTCTGATTGTCTTAGATGCATACAACCCTAACATCAGGGAAGACTGGAAAGGAGTCTGCTACTGCCTGAGGGCTTGTTGGGTTAGAGTGGAGTCAATGGGGGATTTCTATAGATTTCAGGCTGTAGATCAGTGCATCTGGTAGCATAATTTTGTGATATACATTTACTTTTGCTTGAAACTGACATCAAAGCAACTTTGCAGCATTATATACTGATATCGAGGCATTGCAACATATATTCCATCTGATAGCTTGAAGATCTAAGATAAGCCTGACCGCCCCACCCGATAAAGCTGAGTAAATCGTCAACATCTTGAACTTAACTACATAGCCATACCCACATTGAAAGCTTAACATGGCCGACTCTGCAGGCACCGGCAAGCTCGCCCCAGAGGCACTAATCACCAAATTTCAAGTGAGCAAGCTCCTCAAACAAGGTCCGACCCATCCACCTCCTACCCCGCAGCCTCAATGAACTAAAAGAAACCCAGACCAAAATGGCCGACGAATCGCCCTCCTAGGCACAATCGACAACACGCAAGGCATCCTAATAGCCGAGCGCGCGGCATTCGAAACGGAATCCCTCGCCGTGCTACAAGCCTTCCACGCCGCAATCTCGCGAGTCAACAACCTAGGCGACAACGACATCTACCGCTGGTATCTCGCGTCATCAAACGCCAACAACACGGCCCCGACCACTCCCGCGGAAGCCGCGAACCCCCAGCAAGACCTCAAACTCAACCTCATCTGGCCATGCACCGCACAGCACATCAAGAAGTACTCGGACCAGCATCTGCGCATGGTCACGGAGACGGCGGAGATATACCGTGCGCACGTGCGACCGTTCATGCAGGCGAAGCGCGAGGAGGGGCGGCTGAACTGGGTGTTTAATATTCTTGAGGGCAGGACTGAGCAGGAGGATGTGGTTCTGCGGGATGAGGGGCTCGGGCCTGATGATGGGTTTCTGATGTTACCGGATTTGAACTGGGATCGGAAGAGTATCGGGTCATTGCATTTGTTGGCTTTGGTGCAGAGGAGGGATATTTGGAGTTTGAGGGATCTGAAGAAGAGTTTTGTGCCTTGGTTGAAATATTTGAGGGGGAGGGTGCTGGAGGCTACGGTTTCTATGTATCCTGGTTTGGAGGAGGAGCAGATTAAGCTTTACGTTCATTGTGAGTTGCATTTCGTTACGTTGGTGGTTTTTTTGCTGACTTTGAATTTTAGATCAACCGACTTACTACCATTTCCATATTCATGTTGTCAATGTTATGCTCGAAGCTGGTGCAACGCAGGCAACGGGCAAGGCGTTTGGGCTGGAGAACTTGATCTCGCAGCTTGAGACTTTGTCTGGGGATGGGGATGCTAGTCTGGCCGATGTTGATTTGACATACTTCCTGGGCGAGGCCAATGAGCTGTGGACGGATATTTTTGAGCCGTTGAAGCAGGGGAAGCAACCTCGTGAATATAAGAGAGCTGCTTGAGGCATGACCAAAAGTTGTAATGAATGATGGAACTCATTCTTCACGAGTCAATAGAATGACTTTATACAACCCGAACGGACCAATTCGATAACAAGATATTAGTATATATTATTTTGAGTCATGTTATACGTGGGTCACTTATACATGTTCCCTCACAGCTATCCTTTCAGAATCAATCCTCTCCGTTGAAGTCTGCGTAACCTCGAACGTGCGGTGAATCCCCAACCCAATATCCCGAGGCGATGACCGATCCGAAGTCAGCCTCTCCTCGCTGCTAGTCGGGCTCGTGGAGTAAAGATCATTAGGATCCCTCTGACTGTGGATAGTCGTAACAGTGACAGCAAGCTTATCCGGTCTCAAGCGATGACCGCTGTCATCCAGCGAGCCCAAAGGAAACGGACGGTTATCACATCCACCCAATTGGCGCGAGGCAGACCGTGAGCGTCCGCCGGGGAACGCGGAGGGGAACCCGGAGTTGTTATTGTAATATGGATCTGAGTGGGAGCCCGTCCACATGCGGAGGAGGGGTCGGAGGGTTGCGAGACTGCCGGCTGTAATTCCGAGGCCGGCTTCGACATTGGACCAAATGGCGATTTGGTATGTTGCGTCTAGAGTGAAAGATTTGGTTAGCTTTGTTCGTGCGTTGGCCTTGTTTTCGGGAGAGTCGGTACATACAGAGGAAATCGGGGTCGTAGAATCCGTTGACGAAGGGCATACGGACGATAACCGCCGATGAAGCACTATGGAATCTCTTGTCAGTGATCCAGAACTAGTACGGAGACCCGAGTTGAAACATACATGCAAGCCATGCTTAAGATGGCCATGACGGCGATCTTGGTCTGGCGCTTCATTTGAAGATTGTGGACGAGGAAGATAGGCAACAAGCCGACGGTGAAATCACACAGGGCGGCAAATGCACTGTAAACGTAGGTCATGATGACAATGACCTTCATATCCATGCATTTGCCGTGGATACTAGCGTCGCGTGCCACTTGAAACCAGAAGTATGACAGCGGCCTACACTGGAGGAGCATGAGCAACATGAAAACCAGGCCTGCTAGGACGGTCAAGAGCATGACGGTATAGAGGATCCAGATGTGGAGGGGTTTGATAGTGATGCGCATGAGGAAGATGCAGACGGAGATCTTGCATCCAACCGAGGCGAAGCAGTAGGCAATCTCGCAGAGCCACCAGTACTTTTTTGCTAGGACACGGTTGTGGACAGTGAGGTGGTCAAGCATATAACCTGTGCCGTATATTGTGCCTCCAATCATAGTCCCGCAAAACATAGCGTAGAATAACTGGGGTAGAGCTTGTTAGATCTCTGACTCTGATACAACCCCACAGAACAGTTTTGGGAAAGATCTCGAATTGAAGAATATTGAACATACCATTGCGCCAACCATAACCCCATCATCCCATCCAAACGCCTTTACGATCCAGCCACGCACATATATGCGCAGCGCCACCGTTATAGTGGCAATGGGCAGAAAGACCGCTGCCACGGTCTGGCATGCCATTTTTCTCTGCTGTTCGTCTGTCATCTTGAATGCCTGTCATACCGGAAGGATTTCAAAGTGGTGGAGAAGGATTCTTAATAAAAGAACACCCTCCTATGTCACGGGCCACGAGAAGCCACAAAATACAGGGGCGAGTAAAGCAGAACTAGAACGTTTTAGCCCTTCTAGCCCTTAGCTTGTCAAAGATGCTTTTTTAGTCTCCACGGAAAAACAGCACTAAGCCCACCTCGTGGTGATCGACAACAGTCGTGGCTTTCTCCACGCGTATAAACTGAGTGAAGAGCCGCTAGATTGCACCACCCCTGTCAGGTCACGCGAATATACGGGTGTGAAATATCATGATCTTGGGACTTCCAAGCATGGCGTATAGGAGAAACATGGACTCGCAAAAACCCAATTTTTCTCCATGAGAAGTCCCACCGATGTTTCACTATTCCTAGTGCTCGGGAAGTTATCGGCAGGGGTGAACAAAAGCTACCATGTCGTTGGGTCGACGCTATGGAGCATCTGGTAATCTTATGTCCATAGCCTTGTTTAACCAGGCCCCGTTTCCATTTTCCTGCGAGCCTCCGAAATTGGAATGGGTCCGACGGGAAATCAGATACCAATCCCATCGTTACTGGTGGGACACTAGATGTATTCGGAAGGTCCGATAGTTTTGAGCAGGCAAAGTGGCGATCATGATCATCAACCCGACACTAACGGCGTGTACTCCGTACTAAATGTCTTGAATAACAAAGGGCTTTCTGGGTCCGGCGAGCACGGAGTATGCAGCCGCCCACTTAGTGCGTGCCTTTGTCAGAGCCGTCCACTTTTAGTCATCCACTTTGGGACGGGGGGATAAGTTCGGTGCCTCCTCGGTGATTAACTCCCTCCTTTTAAGGCTGTCGAGAAATGGGCGATCTGAATGCTTTCTGTTTGACAGGTCAGTGGAGAATTACCCAAATCAACTTAGCCGGTTGGATCTGTTATTAGGATCTATTGAGGATCTATTAAGGATCGGTGGCTAACTATTAATATTGAGTGTTACCTAGCTAACTCTTAAACGCGCCACACGTAAGCTGCAAACCAGGCAAACATACATTGCAGCCTGTTTCTTCAGGCTCTGGGATGCTCCTGATTTGGAAACTCCAGCCCGATGGAGAGTCAGATTTATTTTTATATTCTCTTGTCAATTTGTCTGTCTAAACTTTATAAGAGACTAATACTGTTTCTAACGAACTTTCACTCAATTAGAGCCCAACTAGAGCCGATTAAAGCCAATAAAACCAATTATAAGTCTTCTCCGTAATTAACATCGAACATGCAGGAAAACGTGGAAACGCCCGAACCCCGCAATCCTTCTAACCCTCACCTTAACCCAAAGACATACTACATACACACTTACCTATCTACACACCACCAAAAAATCAAACACAATGGCACACGTCGATGTCCCCCCCACTCAAAAGGCCTTTGTGCCACTAGGTTCGACCCCAACCCCAACCCCAAAACCTCCAAATCCAAGGGCCAAAACTAACCCCAATCCCAGAAAACAATCCGGAAGTGATGTCCCACCTAGTGCACCAACTGGGACTAGCCCCCACATTAGGCTTCACAGACGTTTTCTCGATCGACGAGCCGGAACTCCTAGCCTTTGTCCCACGGCCCTCCCAGGCCCTCCTCCTGGTCTTCCCCGTCTCCGCAACCTACGAAGCTTCACGTGAAGCCGAAGATGCCCCCAAAGACACCTACACCGGCTCCGGCCCCGCTGAGCCGGTAATGTGGTTCAAGCAGACGATCCGCAACGCATGCGGGCTGATCGGCCTGCTGCACGTGGTCGCAAATGGCGAGGCGAGGAAACATGTCGTTGCTGGCTCGGACTTGGATACCCTGCTCCGGGAGGCGGAAGCGTTGGGGCCGGTGGAGCGCGCAGATCTGCTGTATGAGAGTAAGGCGTTGGAGAGTGCTCATGCGGATGCGGCGAAACTGGGGGATACCGCTGCGCCGTTGGCGGAGGATAATGTAGATCTGCATTTCGTTGCCTTTGTTAGGGGGCTAGACGGGACGCTTTGGGAATTAGACGGGAGGAGGAAGGGGCCGTTAGCTAGGGGGGTCTTGAAGGAGGGGGAGGATGCGCTTAGTGAGGCTGCGTTGGAGTTAGGGGTCAGGAGGTTTTTGAAAATGGAGGCGCAGGGTGGGAATCCGGATTTGAGGTTTAGTTTGGTTAGTTTGGGACCTTTGTTTGATTAGAGCATGGGTCGGTGAAGAGTTTGCTTTCGTGTTTCTGGATCTGGTATTCGGATAGATACTATGTCTTTCTCGGGCTGTGCCTTGAAGACAGTATGTTATTAGGTACATTTAATGATATGTCTGGAATTGCTGAAAGAAAAGTTGGGATATACTGAGATATGCTACAATCCCAGATATATCTGGTGTATTCAGGTATCCCACGCATTTGCTCTCAATCACAATGCCGACCCTTTTCTGGGCTAATTTTCCCAGTAAACTAGTTACCTACCTCTTCTCATGCTCCGCGATATCAACAGCAGAAGAAATCACAGAAATAGTCTTAGCAGTGACATCTGTCTTCTCACCGGCCTCCTCGAGGATCAACTGGTCATTTTGCGAAACATCATTGCCCTGTTTACCAATTGTCAAGAACGGAACCAAAACCAAAGACACCCCTGAAGCCGCAGCCGCAAACCAATAAACCGAGAGATAAGGCCGAATAGCAGGCGAGGAGGCAGTCATGCGAAGGGCGACTGAGCTCTGCACGGAGGTAGCAATGCCAAGACCCAGGTTGCTACACAACTTGTTGACGGTGTTGAAGATGCCGCCGGCGATGGATTGCTCGGATGGTGGAAGGGTGGACATCACATACATCTGAATGAAGTCAATACCTCAAAGACGGAACATACTGCTGAAAGACAAGGAATCAAGAAGTAGAAAGGACATGCGGGGCTGAACGTACATTTGTGACGTTGAACTGAATGTCAGCACCAACAACGACAAGCACTAGCCCTGGGAAGATAAACGCCCAGTAGGTAGCATCTTGTTTCATGAAACTCAGGATAAGGAACGAAGCTGTATACGCCAGCGCTCCGATGCCGGTAAGTACTTTGTTGCTTACGCGATGCAGAAGCAGACCGCAGACAACATTGACCAGCACGCCGCTGACAACCATTGGGAGTAGCTGGACGGTGATCTCTAGGGCAGAAAGATGTTTCACGTTTTGAAGATATAGAGCGAGGTAGAAGCTGGTGGCAGAGAAGCCCATGAAGCCAAGACAGCAAGTTCCAATGAGCTGAACAGTTAGTTTCGATCTGCACATGAGAAAGTCGAACACATACAAGAGAGAAATTACGATCTCGCCAGACCCAAAGAGGCATCAGAGGGTGTGGAGCAACGGACTGCCAATACAGGAACGCCAGGAGAAGGAAAAAGCCCACAATAAACAGAGCAAGGACGTATCCAGTTTTCCAGCCATCGGGTGCATCTGCAGCCAGACTATCAAAACCGTCAGCGGGAAGTCCAAGAAAGTATCCAATCCACGAGGGAAAAACATACGAAAGCGAACTCGAAAAGAACGCAAACCCAACAACAACCAACGCCATCCCGAGAATATCAAACTGCTTCAAAGCCTTGACACTCAAAGGCGTCCTCGCAAACCCATCAGCCGGCACCGTCCATACAGTCAGAACGGTAAAGATAGCATAAACAACCGCGAGTGCCCAGAACGAAGCGCGCCAGTTAGCCAAATGCGCCGCAACACCGGAGATGATCATGCCGCCAACAAACCCGAGCGGGTTGCCCGCGCTGAAGCAGGCAAAGGCAAGGTTCTTCCGCTTCGAGGGCTTCTCGTAAGTAGCGCCTAAGGCACCGACCGCGGGTGGAACGACAGCAGCTGCGAATAGACCTAAAATCCCCGAGAAGACATCCATGTAGATGGCATTTGTAGCGAATCCCGCGATGAGTAGCGAGATGGTGAAACCGCCCATGCCGATGGTGAAGAGCATCTTGCGTCCGAACATGTCGGCTAGCTTCCCGAAGGTGAGTAGGAAGGCGCCGCTGGTGAGGCTGTGGTATTTGAGTGCATGGTTAGTTATGTGTTTGCATGTTTTGTTTTGTGATGTATGGACTCCGTATATGGGGTCGGAAAGAGATCGGATTCAGAAACCCGGGGAAATCCCGTAGAAAAATGTGGGGAAAACGTACGAGGCACCGGCGTTGATCCAAGTGATTTCAGCGGAATTCATGTGCAAATCCTTGCCAATAGATGCTGTCACGCCCACGATACAGCCCTGGAAGAAGGACTGCTGGCCAATGGCCATTGTGGCAGTTAGGACGAAGAGAACCTCTTGAAATGTGCTGGTGAAGCATTTTGGACGATCCGAGCTCTTCTTGACCCCTGAACCATTTTCGTGATCCTTAGCCATTTCTAAGAAATCATAGACAGAAGATTTGTGTCTGGTAAATTCTGTCAATTCGATGAAGCTGAATTTGGTCGGCAGGTTTGGGGGTCACACAGGTCAGTCTAAGCGAGAGAGTGTGTCTCCCGCGTTTCTGGGAAGATATGTAGTGTGAGAGAAGTCCTGGTACTATTTTATTATTGTAATTGAGTCCCTTGGTGTGTAATTCTACAGGGGTTTTTTTTATATTGTACTTTGTCAGCGCGGAACTCCTGCCGCGCTGATCGGGAGGAAATCAGTTCCCGTGAGAATAAGCATGTCCACGATGGTAGCCCTAGGATCAGACCGCCTCTATGTACATGTATGCATCACACATATACAACCTGAGCCAAGTTTAATGACCCTCCAATAAGCGTTGAGTCAATTGTACCCACTTGTTGACAGCATTGGAAGTCTGGAAGTCGTAAATCTACGAAATGAACCTGGCTGACCTGAAAACCTGATTTGCATATGCACATTCATGCATGACTGTATTCTCTATCTGCCAAGCTCGACCCAGCACTCACGAGCATTAAACCGGAGGACCTCATTACCAGCAGCCCACCAACCAGCCGTCAAGTTGCGCGCAAACACCTCGAGGGCAGAATACTCCTGGCACCGACCAGCATCCGTGAAAAACACATTCTCAAAAATCGACTTCAGGTTCGGTTTACGAGAATGCAAGTCCGGAACCGCAGCGATGACTCGTCTCGTGGTAATGGTCGCACTCATCCGCGTCAGGTCATCCATTTGAGACAGAGATGTAGCATTGTTGGCGTTAGCGTTGACATTGACATTGATACTATGGTCACCCTTGCGGCCAATGACAAGAATCTCATACGGTTTTCGCCAGAGCCCGTCCAGTGCTGAGATCGGCTGTCCGTCCCACGTAGTCTTGACCCAGATCCATTCCTCGCAGATGCAAAAGCCCGCGCCGGTCAGGGCCTCGTATGCTGCTCGCCGGGCCTTTTCCGCATTCGTGATCCATATAGCAGCTATAGACTGTTCGCTTTGGATCGGTTCGGTATGGGTTTCTTGGCGTAGCCCCTGCTTTGTGCTGGGGTCGTGCGAGTGCACACGGAGAATATCTCGTAATCCTTTGGTAAGCACATCCATCTCGGAATAGTGGTGTGTTTGGTAGTGTCCGCTGCGTCGCACGGATTTGTTTGGCCACGGCGGGTCCATGAGGATGAGATTGAACTTTTGGTGGTGCGGGAGCCCGGGGATGGGATAGTTATTGGATGTAGATGGGCGGTAGATCTCAGTTTGGAATAGAGGTAGTGTACAAAGCACAAAGCTCGATTTAGGTGGTGCCATATATTCGCACGGAGGGGAATCCGCTTCGTCGCGATGGCAGCTTCCAACCCTGATGATTGCGGGCTCTGGTGATGGATTCTTGACAATAGCAAGATCTGATAAAGCCTCGAAGTCGTTCGGTGAGGTAGTCGACAGAATTATTGGTGGCTCATTTTGAGTCGAAACACCGTCATCCGCAGACTCTAAGCATATATAATCATTTCCCCGCCGCCGCTTCTGATTCGGCATTCTGCTATCATAATTTGGAGATTCACTAGGCACAGCTCGTGCCTCACACCACCGGCGATCATGGGAACACCCAGCCTTGATAGTTTCGAGGGAATCCCTCACGAGTGGCAGTATCAGTTCCGAGTGGAACCGTCTCTCAGAGATGGGAATGGTGTTGAGGAGATTAGCGAGCGCAGCTGGCTTTTTGGGCTCGGTAGAGGGGAATGGCTCTTTGATAGGTGAGCATGAAAGTAGATTCAGTATATTCTTATGCGTGCTCTTTTCTGTTCTTAATGATTCTGAGGTTGGTTGTTGTGATGTTGGCCTCCCCTCTTGTGCGAGCGCGATTGAATGCGGGATATCGATGAGGTATATATTTTTATCCTGGAAGAGAATTGCAGTCTCCTCTTGTATAGTATTGCTCATACTGGTCATTCTCTTGCCATGGTTGGTTGGCGATGGTGAAAATAAGCTGTGGATTGCAGTGCACCGGGTAGTTGTGGAGCTCAGCCTCATGAATTCAAAGGATGTTGACAAAGTTGACTCATTCAATCCGATTTATTTACATTCACTACGAGATAGTGTTTTTTACATCTGCATCAATTCACTATGCTCCACTAGGCAGCCAAATCTCGATCTAAGACAACAGGCAGAAGAGAAGTCCTATCGTAAGATCAAAAGATACAAGGTCATTCAAAAACGCCGAAGATACAAAACTGGGCCTCCACCCAGAAGAGACACAAGACTTTTTCACCACCGATTCCCCATGCGTATCCAGTTCGTCTCCCGGGTCCGTTCTCCCCTGCCGGCGATCCAGCGTCCGATCAGGGTGAAGAGATAGGACGGTGAAATCACAACACGTAGCTGGATAAACCCGCTTGGTCTCCATGAGAAACTTCAAAAATGAGAAAAAAAGAAGAAAAGATGATCAAGAAAATTTATACATGTAGATGGTAAGGTAGATCGATTAGAAATCATACGAAGATGGGATCAACGCTGGACGCAAGCATGCACGTTAGTATCGGCGGATTATACGGTTTAGGGCCGATCCGAGAATGAACTCACCCGTCCACGTCGGCCTCCGCCCGACTGTCCCTGCACAGGCTGTGCCTGGGGGTAGTATTGCGGAGGGTATTGATACATCTGGGCAGGATTGACAACAGGGCTGAACTGTTGGTAGTTGTTCTGGAGCATCGGACTCATCTGGCCCGGTCCGGGGAGGGGAGAAGCCTGTTGCGACTGTAGAGATCGCAGGTTATCGATGGTCGAACCAGCTGGGTAGCCGTAGTTGGCGCCCGGCATGGCAGGATAGCCCGTGGGAACACCGCGAGCCTGTGCGGCGAGGAAGGCTTGGTATTGCAGCTGTTGCTGGCTCAGGGGTTCCTGGCTGTATCCACCTATACTGGCAAGACCGTTCATGTGGTTTCCGAGCCCGTTGGAATATGGATCAAGGGGCGGGGGGTTGGATTGATCGGCGGAGATAGGGCGGTTGTCCGGGTTCTGGCCAAACGTGTTGGGAGTAAACTGCCCATTGTACTGTTGTCGGTCAATGGATGGCTGGGCTGGATAACCTGTGCTTCCATGACGAGAGGATTGACGGTGTTGCGATTTCTCCGGGGTGGAGTGCTCACGTCCATGGTGATGCTCCCGACCGCTACCTCGTGAGGACAGGCCCACTTCATCCATCAGACGCTTATAGCCTTGGCTTGGGGAAGCCTTGAGCTTTGTGAGGACCTTGGAAACGTTTTTCACGACCTCAGTCCGCATAGACTCGTCAAAGAATGGGGTGGTCAAGACCTTGAAGATCAGAGTCGCACCAGATGTCTGGTCGCTCAGAATCTTCTCCAAAACTTCATCGCCGGGACTGAAGAAGAGTGCCTTCAGAACAATGTCTCGAGCATCCGGCTCGTTGCGCTGGTTGATCACCTTGAGAACCGTCAGGTAGGCAACCTTGTGGGTGCAGAGGTGAACAAGGTGAGGCACAAGTCTCGGGGCCAATACTGTTCGGCGGCGAGGGAATGTGCACGTGTCAAGGAACCAAGTGAGCAAAAGAGCTCCATTGGCATTAGTAGCCAACTGCACACTGTGGAGAGCGATAGCAGATGCAAGCATCCGCTGCTGATCCTTGGTGGCATGGTGGCTTTCGAGACAAGCCCGCATCGCTCGGGCGCCGAAACGTCCCTGGGCGATTTCCCACATTCGGCTGAGCATGGACTCGAAAATAAAGCTATTGAAGGGACTGGCAAATCGCAGGCAGCATTGCAAGACATAGTTTCCATACTGATCCAAGAAAAGAGGAACAGTATAAGGGCGGAGAGCATCAACAATTAACTGCATCTGTCCAGGAGTCTTCGCGACATCGATGATCTTCTGCGCAGCCCAGGTTCCATTCTTGTGAACACCAATTTCGGAGAGATGTGGTGCAATGTGAGACAGCATCTGCTCCTTGGTAGATTCAGAGCAGAACTCAAACAGTTTCTGAACCACGGTGTTGCCCAAATAATCGGACGCTAACTCTGCAACCTCAGGGAGCATGGCCTCGGCAGTCTCCTCAATTTCTTGGATCGAGCATGCACCATTGTCAATGCGCTTCCGGATGTCACGGAGACGAGGGGCGTCGAACATCCGGGACTGACTCGTTTCCTGGACCGAGGGGATTTCATCCTTGAAAGCCTTGAACGCGATGGAGGTCTGGATGCTTGCCGTGATGTTCTTCAGGTCATCATCACTGGCGCCGAATTCTTGCACAATTTGCACCATCTCAGGCAACAGATCAGCCAGAGCGGGAATCTGAGGGATAACATTAGTATCCGCGCGATCCGGCCCATCTGTCGCTGCAACATTTGATCTGAAGTTCGGGTCAGGAGTGGGAGATGACTGGGTGCCGTTTGCACCAGGAGTACCGGTGGCCGATGCACCAGGGACCTTGGCGTAACCAATTCTGACGGGGCCTGCGCCTGGGAAAATTTCCTTTCCATTGAGCAGCGATTTGGCTTGCACGGCGCTGTCAAGGCGATCGAAGTTGACAAACCCGCAGTTCTTGTGAGTGAGAACACGGGTAGACTCGATCTTTCCATACATACCAAAGATGGCCTCCAGAGACGTGACAGTGGTGGACACGGGAATGCTACCAATCCAAAGTGCCCGCGTAGGCCCATCCTGGTTGTTCTCATCTGCCATCTCGCCGGCCGGTCGGCCACCCATAGCGGGAATACCGTTACCGCTGAGATGCATCAGCTGAACTGCCTCGGATAATTCGTCGTATTCACCATTCTCGGGAATCTGCAGATCAGCAGCACTGAAACTGCTGTCGAGGCGGGAAGGTGTAGCAAGGTAATTGCGGATGGATGATCGCTGGGGAGGTGCCTCCAAAATGCCAGCAGTTCGCGCCCGGGGTCGGCTGACAGAGGCATGGCTGGCAAAAGCTTGGACCGCGAGATTATGCTGGTGGATCTGGGCCTGTGTGGCGGCAAGTTGCGCGGCGGTCGCGGCGGCGGTCGGCGTCATAGTACCCGAGGGAAGTTGGGAGTAGCGGTTCTCGTATTCAAGATCCTCGTCATCGGCGTACTTCTCCTTGGCATTGACAGAGTATGATCGGAATCGATTATTGCTCTTCATCATCGCCAACTCAGCCAAGAGTGGCGGCAGCGCAGAAGCTTGCTGCTGCTGCTGTTGCATCAAAGCTTCCATAGACGGACGTCCATAGGAGGCCATTCCGTGTTGCGGGGTCTCAGCGAGTCCCAGATAATCCAAAGTCTTCACATCGGTGTCCGCGAGTCCATCCCTCGAGAAAGATGAGTGGCTAGGCGAAGTCGGCCCTTCCGAAGATCGAATACTAGTTAAAGTTGTAGCTCTCTCCCGACCCGTCGACCAGTTGGTTGAAAACAGTGATGGACCGAAGGGACCGCCACCTCCCAAGAAGTTGCTTTTTTGCGGCATCGAGCCAGCTCGAAGGCGAGATAGCGATGCCGGATTGGCCACACCAGTCGAACTCGCGATAGAACTCGTATCTATCCCGGAAACACCGGGAGGTCTAAACGGACTAGTTGAGGGTGTTGGTCGTGAAGTCTGTGGCATATAAGACTGCTGAAAATCCATCTCATTCAGTGTGCCCATCGGAGGAAAACGAGATGGAACCGTTCCAGCGCGAGCTCGGCGACCAGGGCTGTCCATGGCGCCATTGCTGGTAGGAATCAAATCTGGAAAACTATCTTGACTCGGCGATTCGGGAATATTCTCGCGAAGCGGGGTTGAATGGCCGCTGGTAGGGGGTCCCCAAATACTAGGAGAAAGGCCTTCTTGAGCTTGAATTTCACGGGCTCTGCTTGAACAGTCAAAGTATCAGCCAATTGTCGCGGTGTCTGTTATATCCCACAGGAAGTAAAGAAGCAAACCTACCGCTTCGAGTACAGACGTGATGCCAAATCATGAGAAGGGGAGCCAGCCCCGGGCCTCAAACTTCCAATGGACCCCGAAGAAGGCCCGAAGGACATTCTTGAGTTCCCAGACCCGGCCACATCGCTAGGAGAGCTGCGCCCCGTCGAGGTACCCGACATGGGTTGGGTGGTTGGGATGTAATTGAAATTCATCTGACCGTCAGGCCGCGAAACCGGCAAATTATGGATTATCACTTTATACCTTCAGCAAGGCAGGGCCCGAATCCCTTCCAAATATGACCTCCGCGCGAATGCCAAAATATAGCAAGGTCGGAACTTAAATGTAGCTTCGTTCAATAGTGTGGGATAGGAGTCATGGGATAAGGATAGATTGAAGGATCGAGGGCACACTGGAAACAGTCGAAATTAGATGGTGTTCGAAATGTGTGTTGCTATTGGGGGGTCGCAAAGTGGGAGGGGTCGAAAAGCAATTCCAAAAAGCCGAGATGAATCGTTGGGATGTTTGCGTACCGAGACTGATGCTTTCCAAATCCAAGCACCACGGTGCAGTGTCGGGGGTCTTTGATGATAATCTCACCGTTTGTTCGGGTTGTATGACAATCTGCGGGTGTCCCAAAGCAATCGAGTCGAGCTAAGAAAAAAGAGAAAAGTCCTTTTCTGTCGTCAAAGGCTCAAAAACACGGCGAAGTTCACAAAGATGGTCTGGCACAAAGTGCGTCAAGTGAGAAATAAAGATGGAAAGGATGATCCGGGTCCAAAGGGATCGAGGTGGCTGGAAAGTGAGTTAGTGTTGCGCTCCGAAAGTGTCATCAACACTAACCGAAAGTCGAATTCACCCTAAGAATGCAGAAAGCAAAAGAAGAAAAAAAGAGAAGTGAGGAAGAAGTCAAAGGGAGGATGAGAAGGGGAGAGGAAAGGAAGGAGAAGAGATGTTGGGGAGCTGGCCGGATGCCCGAGGAAGATGGCTGTGGTTGGTGGAGGGCCCTCCTTCAGCTTCACCCACAATTCGATTGTTGATTCGGATGAATTTGGTTGAAAATACGAAATCTGATTGAATGGAATGGAATTGGATTGATTTAGTCTATGACACTCTAGGCGGTTTGATTTTCTATCTAGTATTGGTACATCCAAGGTGCATTAGTACTAGACAGGCATCTATAAAGTACTTACTTCCTGCACGTCTGTACATTCAACGTCGAAATAACCAAACGGGAACAAAAATATAAGGAATCGGCAATTCCTCCAAGCGTCTGGCAATGGCACGGCGCATGACATTAATTTAGAAGACTCCATTCTGGCTGAACATGGTGAGATATCAACAAATCTAAAAAGGTATACGTTTAGTACAGATACAAGGCCCTTACAACCCCATGCCCTCCAAATGTCCAATTCAAGGTTTTCTTTCGGAAGAAAAGGGCTCATGGCATAAGCAAGAAAAGGCAGACAGGAGTGGAAACGAAAAAGGCCCCGCCTTCCGGTGCGTCATGTCTCGACGCTTGAATCCGTGACAGGATACATATGAGACTTCATGGCGAATACGAAGATATCCCTGGGGGATGAGATGCAACTAGTCATGTAAGGAGAACTGACTGGGGTTTGAAACCAAAGGCTGTGTTTTGGTTGCAAGGGATATGGATCAGGTACGTGTCCCCGTCCTTCTTCCTTGCCAGAGGCGTCAGCTGGGGCCCTCTGGGGTTGGTCATGGGTCGTGGTGGCTGTGTTGGAGACGTAAATAGACTAGGCTTTGGCTATCTGTCGAGCCTTGAAGAATGCTCTCCGGATCTTCAAGGTGTTTGCCAAGCTTTCAGAAGCATTCGGTACGGTTGAACAGGGTGGCTCATCGTAGTACATAAAAGGTAGATCATCACTTCTAGATAAAAGCTGAGTAGTATCAGTCACTGTGCAATGGAGGTAGGACCAAATAACAATCAGAGAAATCTTGTGTCGTTGCTTCAAAGTCATGTAAACACGTTAGTAAAGACCATTGGTCGGATGATTTCTACACGCCTGAGGCATCGACTTTTCTTTCGCGCCACTCTCCTTGCCAGCCCGCAGCGGTATCTTCCCATCACTCCAACAGCTCATTTAATTGTGTGGCAGAATCCAAATTCTATATGCTTTGATTTTTTTCTAATTTATGCTGATCATTGACACGCAAAGCATAGTCTGTCGCGCGCGCGTCCCCTCTCGCGTCTGATGCTTAATCGTCCGTTCTAAGGCACCTGCCACCAGTAACACCATGGCCGACATAATGGAAGAAGACCCATCGTCTGCGGTCCAGTCTTCGGAGGGAGAGGAGATGCCCGTGGAGTCATTGGTCAGAGGACGCGCGAAACGAAGCACCGCAGGACTGCACATGTCGGCCCTCCTTGAAGCCGCTGCCGATGATGACTTGTCGCTTCTATTTGAGGAAGTCGAAGACGATAATGAGTTTGCGGATGTGGCCGACCCTGATGCAGAGGACGAGTTGCTTGAATCGTCGGACGAGGATGAAGACCAAGGGCCGAACGCGCAGAACGACTACGAGGGCGAACAGAAACTACAAAAAGACGAACGCAAGAAGCGCAGAGCCCAGAATGATCTCCGATTCCAGACCTTGCGCAAACGAGTCAAGATTGATCCGACCGCTCCGTCCACCATGTCCGCCGCCCCTCGTCCGAAGAAAAAGTCGGAGCGCATCTCGTGGATTCCCACTGTGGAGGATGGGCCTACTCGGCAATCATCACGTCGACAGACCATGGTCAACAAGGAGCTTACGCATGCTCGTCTGAAGGACAGCCAGGAAAAACGAGTCCGCATCATCGCTACAATGAAGGAGGCAGAGAAGCGGAAGGCCCATTTGAAACCGAAGCAGATGACCCAGGAAGACCATCTTGCGGAGGCAGCAAGAGTAGAGCGGCTCAATAGCAAAAGTCTCAACCGCTGGGAGCTTTCGGAAAAACGAAAAGCGGACGAAAGACGAGCGAGGATTGAAGCACTACAAAATCGTCGTCTTGACGGTCCGGTGATTTCCTACTGGAGTGGTGTGGCTACATGGACGAACGGGCGTCTCACCCGGGTGGGCAAAATCGACATCAGACCGAAGGTAGATAAAGATGAACTGAGGAAGAAAAAGAAAGAGAAGGAAGATAAAGAGAAGGCTGCGGCAGAGTTGAAGGCACTGGGGTCAACCACAGGCACATCACAACCACCATACTTCCATGTAGTTGTTGGGCCACCAGAATCTCTACCTCCTTCGACGTTCACCGTGGACCAACCGACTGGAAACAAGCCACCCGAGAATGCTGCCCCGACCGCAGAGAATACAGACACTGCAGAGAACACAAACACCCCCTTAGTGTCCGGGGCGAATGCTGGCCAACCAGATGGAATCCCAGAGACGAAGACAATCATGGAAACTTCCACCGAGCAGGGCAAGGACAATGCTATGGAAAAAGCTCCAAGTGTTGACGCAAATACATCAGTACCTCCTGAGCAAGATCAATCCATCACAGCTGAAGGGCAATCCTCGGAGTCCAAGAATTATGGGAGATTGAGGTTTGCTGTGGAAATTCCAGCGTCTCATCATACATCGATTTCTGCGGATAATGGCTCTATTCAAAAATCGCCTGATGTACCCACCAAAACCGAGGATGCTATGGATATTGATTCAACAGTGGCTGCAGCGGCTGCAGATTCTACGAAAAATCAAAAAGTTCTAGAATCAACGGACCAAACAAGCTTGGCCACTCCGCACGTTGCTGCCCAACCGACTTCTGCAGAGCCTATAGCACATGCAGCTGGGACGACTGTGCCAGAACCACCGCCATTGGATGGGTCTCGGCCAGTTGAATCGGCCACGGCTGTTAGCTCTGAAGTCTCACTGGCCCCTCAAGCCTTGCCGGCTCCTGCAGCCACCAGTCAAGCCACGGTGCCCGAAAACGCCATAGTCCGGAGCCTAAACCAACCATCCACATTACCGTCCGAATCACAATTATCAAATGGATTGGTGAAGGAACCAGCACCAGAGATTCCAGAACCCCCTCCAGTGATTGAGCAGACGGGACGCTGTCTTACGATCTTGGAGAACTTTGACTATGCGACCGCCAACAATCGCAAATACAGCATGTACTTCAACGCCAAAAAGCTCGGCCGTTTGACAAGTATGTATCATTTTGAAATTTTAGGAATAAGGCTAACCCTACATAATAGAAATCTCGTCATCTCTATGCGTCATCACTTCATTGCCTTCGCGTTACCGCGATCCAGAGACCGCTCTCCCTTACGCCAATTCATATGCATATAGCCAAATCCGCCGTATGCTATCGGAGGGGTATATTTGGAGTTCGATGCTGGGATGCTTTGTCGGGCCGGCCGAGGCAGCCCGTGGAGTACCCGAGCGGTTTACAGGCAAGCCGGGACCAGGTACAGTGAAACTGACCGATGAGGGCCAGGCCGAGACACCAGGGAATGCACTCACCGAGGCTCCTTCGACACCCACGCCAGCGGCATCCCGAGCAGCCCCTCCAACGGAGCCGATGGAGATTGACAAAGCATGAGCGATTATTTGTACGATATTTAGTTAGATACCCAGATAGAATCCAGCGCCGAACCCAAAGTGGACGTCAGCATCACCTCTTCTCCACGTCGCATAAATCGGCTTTGTCTAAGACTCAAGCAGGCTTTGCAGTTATGATGTATTCATTGTTGACAGATGTCACCGGCCCCACCGATAAAAATCAATCCCAGCTTGCCCTGTGATATTTATATCCCGATATCGCCTATCCAAGGAACGAAATCGGTACCCGGCGGAAAGCAAACGGGAAAAGAGGAAAAACGATCACAAACAAAAAGCTAAATGGGGCAGTCATCGGGGCATTTTTCTCGAAAGAAAGCCCCGGTTTTCCCCATAGACCCGAAACACGCAAGACGGAAGATCGACGATTAGCACTACGACTTGCTCAGGTGAGTGTGGCCTAGAATGGTAGTCCCACCACTACCCCCCTCTCTGACGAGGGCTAGCGACGCATGTCATAGGCAGATGTGTTAGTGTGTGTGGCACTTTCATACATACTACCCCCATAGTGATTTTCGATTTCGATCCGTCGATCTCTTTTCGTTGTCGCCGTAGCCGGCCGTTATTCTGTACGGAGTATTATCTGAAGTATTTTGTAAGAAACCTATAACAAGCTGTATATTGTAGTTGACTATGTGAATGATGATGTATTTCACACCCACCTGTTCACGCCATCTGGGTCTGTTTATATGAACCTTGAACTCGTCGAGGCATTTATGGCGTCATTTAGAATGTGGCTCTTCCACGGTATACGCCATGGTATACAATGCATGCCAGTATGCAAGTATCAACTTGTACGGAGTAGATACAATACTAATATACCGATTGTGAAGAATGGTGTCAATCTACCGATCACGCCAGATCCGACCCCCTCCGGAGATATGGTCCCTGCGCCACTGCATTGCATATACTTGGAAGTCGACATCGCGAGGTCGAACTGACAATCTGTCCGTACCTAACGAAGCGAATAGGCGGTTCAGAACGACGACAGTTAGATCCAGAGAAACAGAGCAAGACCCTTCCATTAAGAATAAGATCAGGGCCAGCTAACTAATTATAGCTGGCGTCAGGGCAGGGCTCGTCACCAGTGACTCAGCTGGTCTAGATTGATTGCGTGTCGGGAGGGGGGCAAGCACGGGCAAGGACCCGGGGAGTACCCGAGAAGTACCATGCAAGTACTGTTTAGCGCGCAGATACCGGCGGAGGCTGTCGGAAGTGACTTACCCGATACATCACCCCAAGGGTTTCTCGTCCCAAGAGTCTAGACGTGATCGTCTCATCCTACCAGAACAGCACGTTTTTCCGCTTCGTCTGTTTTCTCTTCAGATGTTCCTCCACTTGGTATTTATATTCTTTCGTTTCCTCTTTTCGATTCCTGTGTCACCCATTCCCCTTTCTCTCTGGTATTGCAACTATACAACAATAGACCTCCGTTATAGACATCCTTGGTATTTGGTATGTTTCTTATCTCGGCCTTATCTCCCCCCCCCACTCACTGGCTAAAGATAGTCGGCGGTTGCATCGCAAGTGTGTCAGATGGCTAACACGACCTTATCAGCCTGGGATTCTCGTCAACCCCACGTTTCTCAATATACATACTCCGGTGTTTCTCCATTTTCCCAAATCCCCATTTGTATTCCCAATTGCACCCGTCTCGGCACATTCCAGTTGGATTCAAGACTTCGCACACAAATCCCTCAGTCTGTGCTCCCCCCAGGGGCCCTTGTGCTCCACACTTGCTCCAGTCTCGGCAATAGAGTCTTTTCGATAAGATAGTGAGGCATTTGAGCCTACACCGCTATGACTCAATCAGCCCCCTTCCACCGCCGCTCCCCTTCCTCTCCTCATGTTTCCAAGTCCAAGTCTACTCGTCCTGCTTTACATCGACGAGGGACCTCAGGTGCCACCGTCACATTTTCCAAATTGGGCTCAGGACAAAAGGGAGCGAGCAAGTCCACGTCTGCGGACGACACTGAATTCGATATGGCTAGCTTCTTGAACTTTTGGTATGTGACCCCTAAGCCCTTATCTTTGAATCCTGCCGGGATTATTTCCTCACATGCCTGTTGCCGTCATCTGTGTTCCTTACACCGGTCTTTCGTGGACATAAAAGCTGACCCAATTCCAGCGCCATGTGTGAAAACCAAATTACTACCCCCAACAACAGTTTGTTATATTGTAGCGAAAGGTATGTGGTAACCCTCGGCCTATATTTAGAGCCATCCTATGCCTTCCCCTTTGTTTGTTTGGGACCTGCATCATATCTTCGCACTCGAATACTTATTTATTTCATAGTTGCCGCCGCAAAGACTCTTGCAAACCACTCTCAGCATCAGTCCCATCCATGTCATCAATGTCTTCCACCACTACACCACCTACATCTCCTTCCCTCTCTCCACGCACTATCGTGGCCCCAATGACCCCTACCAGGGTGCCAAGCAACCGAATCCCAGCCATGCGGATACACAGCCACGTGCATGATGCCAAGTCAGATCTTGACCCCACCGAATGGAAGCCCGTATTAGAGCGGAGCGCCTCGTCCCTGGCATCCTCCGAGGCCTGGAACTATCTCTCCCAGTTCCACGGCGGCAACGAGCCCATGCTTCGGCCCTCCGTCCAACGCAGCAGCTCCAGCCTTCCCGCTCTGGCCCACAGCCACAGTCACGTGCCCAGCCTGACAAACACCCCGTCTACCGTGGCGTCGTCCTACAGCAGCACTGCCTCTGACTACATGGGCAGCATGTACGAGGCCCGCCCGCTGCCCCCGCGCCACAACCCGTACTTTTCCGGTACGAGCGTGACCAAGGGCGTCGAGCTGGTTGTCCCGCACATCGTCTCTGCGCACGAGGACGTCGGTCCAATCCTCTCGGACAGTGGCTCTATCCTCCCTGCCAGCAGTGCTGTGTGGGGAGATATCTCGTATGAGAAACGCTCTGCTCCTATCTGCATGGCGCGGGGTATTGGCGGCCGGCCCGTCGAGACTTGCGTGAAGAATTGAACAAAAATACATACACTGTTTGCGGTCATGAAATGGAGCTCATTGCTCCTTTTTCTTTTGTTCTCTTTCGGTTTATTTTCCCCATGCCTATCCTCTTTATCCTTTTATTCAAATTCCGAGTCCGAGCGAGCTGTGACTCTTCAGCGTGGAAAACGATATGATATCATGGATTTGCTCTTTATTTATTCCATACTCCCTACACGAATATAGATTTATTAATGCGGATATCTCTGGTATCTAGACCAAATGGACCGTTTGGCATATCTTCATTCATCTCTACCGATTCGTAAATTCGTAAGTTAAGCAATGTTAGTCTGGTTCTTTAATCAAGCTTATTTATTTGTGGACCTACCAACGATCTAGTGCTGATCTGTTGTATCGTATAGATGTGTAATGTACAGATTTGTTTCAGGCTGATGGGTCTGCCGAAATTAGGGCAAGTCTCTCCACCGACGATACTGATACTTTTGTCTCGGCTACTCTTACTTCAATCTAAAACAAGACATGAAAAAGAAATGAACTATTTTAAGCAAGGCGGAAGATACAGATATAGACCAAGAACACTCAACAATCGAAACAGCCAACACCCATCCCATCCGTCTCCTATAAAAACACCAAACAACCCCATCTCACAAAATGAATCCAATATCCAATCTAATCCTAGAAATCGGAAGTAATACAACACATATAGCACCCCTTAGCCGGCTTATAGATAGCCAAAGCCTAGAAAAACATTAGTAAACCAATACCCACAAATACACACACAATATATATTCATCTCCATCGTATACCCAGAAAGAAAAGAGTTTTAAAAAACAGAAAAACTCACATAAGGCTTCGCACACTGCGCATCCTCCTCATCCTCAAAGCACCGCCCAGAACAGAACGCATTCCCCTCATCCTTCCCATGATTCGCGGTGACGAAGAGCGGAGCAGGCGCGACCTGGGAACCAGGTGCTAGCGGGTCAATTGGAGCCACGCCGCCCGATGTGCCGGGCGAGACGTTGTAGTCGTCGTTGTCGTCGGCACCGCGGAAGGAGGGTGCATTGTCTCGGGACTCGGCGTCTGGACCCTGGCTTGGGTGGTTGTAGACATGTCCATATCCGTGGGCTGGGGCTTGGACAGTGGGTGTTTGCGAAGGTCGCACTAGGAATGTGCTGTGGATTCGAGGGGTTGGGGATGGGGATGGGGTTGGGGTTGGGGTGGGAAGGCTTGGGATGTTATCATAGTCGTAGTCGTCGTAGTCGTAGTTGTCGTAGTTGTCGATTTCTTTGTTTGTGTTCTGGACGTAGTGTGGGTGTCTGTTGATGGGTTTGGGGTATTTCAATCCCGCTGGGCTTGGGATGAATTGGTTGCCGAATTGCGCTGAAGCGAGAGAGGCGCTGAGGAGGAGGAGGATGGGAAGATGCATGTTTGGATTGAATTGGTTTTCCTTGCTGTTTGTTTTCTTCTTGTCTGTTTTGATTTGTATAGATGCTGGTCGTCGGTTGGTCGTCGGCTGTTATCGTTAGTTGTCGGTTGTCGTTGTCGAGATGTTTTGTCGGAGGCTTATCATCAACGAGGGATCAGGCTGGTTATTAGTATTTAACGCGTACATTAGGAATGGAGGGTTGTGGTTAGGTGTCGTGTTAGGGGCATTTTCGGGGGCTGTGGAATGTGGTATTTGTATACATTGGCATGTACATAACTCCGTATGACACGAGATGGGATTTTCGAATTCCTTGGGTTTATATAGCTATAGTCGACTGGTACCCGTCTGACCCGAGAGGTATGAGCTTGGCTTATTATACCGAATTCGTAGAAGTAGATTGATAAAGAGGATATCGTTTCGGTGTGCCTTGATCAAGGTTATAGACGTCCATGGCATAACAAAGCTTGGAAGGTAAAATCAATGTCGAATCTCCAGGTCATCTGCCTGTGTCATATTCACGTCAGGATTTACGTAAGGCTTCCAAGTATCCTGCTATTATGAGCCACTGACTCGTTCAACATCGATGTACCTTAAGATGCGAGTTAGAATGGTTTCCTCGATTTTTTGTAAATGGATATCTGCTAATCGGCCCTGGAAAATGAACCTCCCCTTGATCGAGCCGTGGATGACCTTATGAATAAGAATCCCTGTACCTGCAAAGAAACAAGTTACCAACTCTACTTAGCAGGTTTCTACTTGTCACGGGTGGCTGAACTAAGAACATTTGCCACATGCATCCTATCAAGGATTGACTGCGACCCTTTGGAACTTCACAGCAACGGTTCCTATACCAAAGGCAATATCAAGAACATTGCTCGTTATTCTACTGTTGAGGTTCCAGCCACTGCATTGGTGGTCAATAGTGAGATGTGGGCCAACCAAGATTTGCCCGATCACAGATCATAGGACATTCTCTTGAGGCTTAACATCCACGAGAACTTTCAACAAATGCTAACATATTCGCATATTGGCGGAGCAGGGTCCGAATTCCGAGTTCCTCGACTTCACTAGATCACTGTACATTATAAAACGCAAGTCTGACGCTTGTTTCAATGTTGGCGCCGGTGGAGCCCCCCAATAACCTCGCCTGGAACTATTTTCCTCATCATGGGTGGATCCAATTGGACAAGTGAAGGATAGAGTTGGTCTTTCCTCCCCTTGGGAAAGGAAACTGCAGACCTCGGACTCTCCTTTTGATACTGCGTGTGTCCTGCCAGGAGAAAAGACAAGTAGGGAGTCTCAGGTTCTACCCTCGAGACGGGGTTGTCCCTAGAAGATGTTCCGGCATCACTGGTGACAGGGGTCTACTTTCAGGGTTAGGTCGAAGGATCGAGCCCAACTCGGCTTCGAAGTGTCACACCTGCTTCTCACTCACATATCATGTCTACTCTGCCATATACATCACCATACCGTCACCGACAGAAAGCCTCATATTAACGGGGACACGATCACAGGAAGAGACTGCCTCGGCCATGCATCGAGCTGGCCAAATGGGCCAGCTTCCAACGTTACCGACCGTGCTGTGTAGTGACTGACTCGGACAGATCGGATGCTCCAGGACTGCAGCGGATGAGCGTTGCCTAGTCTCAGTGTGCCTGGGAAACACGACCCCCCGTTTTCGTCACACACAAAGCCAACGTCGATGCCCATCACGACCCGTCGAAAGCCCGACAGCACCAAAGCAACCTTCGACATGGCCTGGATGAAACGGCCTCGAATCACCGATCGATACCCCTTTACCATGCCTGGCTCAGATGATCACTGCGCTCTGTACTCCGCGACCATGAGTGTCTATGCTGAGAGCCTGGGTTCAAGTTGACACCCGACCCGAAAGTGGCCTTCAGACACGGAATTGTCATAGCTTGCAAGATCAAAAGGCATCATATCATGTTCCTTGACCCGAATCGACATGGAACCACATACACTGCATCCTTGATGTGCAAAAACGACCCACGACAACCCCCAGAACGGAGCAGTGACGGTGCCACTGCTCCGTACTGCACTACCAATCACTTACTTTCGTTCATATCCCCGTTGCCGTTGCATGAAAGCCTCTATCAACCATATGGACCGGAAATATCCCGCGAATACCCTGGAGGTGATGGCGGAAACAGTTGAGATGGTCGGTTTCAAGACACGCTATTCTGCGGCATCGATGACTGTTCGTGTGGTCAATAACAGAAAATGTTGGTATAATGCTACACACTCCCACAGAAGCACATGGGAGCCAGGGGCTGGTTGGTCTATCATACCCAACACCAGACTCTTCATCAAATGCTGGTTCCGTGTCACACCCCCGAGTTGTGGTACTCGATCCAATACCCAGATGTTTCCACACTGAATAATATCGTGGAGTGTTGGTGAACGGTCCTCCCATTCAACCACGTCCATAACCCCCACAACCGTACAGCAGGTCATTAAACCATTGTTCTGCCGTAAACAGCCAGCAACCGATGCCTATACAGGCTCACATGCCATTTAAGGCATGTTGCCAAGTTTCAAGCGTTCGGGGTCGTGGTATCGAGAGAAATTTTCGGAATCGTGGAATATTTCTGGCGAGAAAAGACCGTGCTCAACTTTATCAGGTGCGGTCGAACACACGGCATGTTCATATGGAGGGTTCGATTGTCAACGGACAAGGAGGAGATGGAACAGGGAGTTCGAAGCTTGTCTTGACGTTGAGAAACGGATTGGGTGCTAAAAGGGTCCTAAACGAAAGAAAGGGCAAGTCAGCATGCAGTTCTACGAATCTGCCGGTGAATCCCATCCAGACAAGACAGAGAGAACTGTACCTCTTCAATGTGTGTCTGTGAAAGGACACAGAAGCCGGGTCCCAGGGATGTCAGAACATCATTCTGGTCCAACTTGACGAAACACGTTTCTCAGATTGTCCATCAGTATTCACAGCTCTATCCTCGAGGTAGAATGAAAGGCCCGCGAGTTTGAACGAGCATGAGATGGCGATCATCAACTTTACCAAGGACACTTGCTGTCAGTTTACTTGCCGTTAGTTCGAGTCCACCCGGGAGTCCTAGCCGTCCCAATTGGCTCCTGTCACTACTGAAACAGTGGAACAGGAGTACAGATGCCTGTCACTCCACCACTCTCCATAAACAAACTGCCATGGACAAAAGCGCGAAGGTCGCCACGGATGCAAAAATGAATACATTCGCCTCTTTGGAATCAAGAATCTATCCGTCCCGAGGGAGATTTCGGCAAATCCGAATACACAGGCGAATATTAATCTAGGGCCCTAAATTCGCCTCATTTTCCCGGCAAACCACACACCAGGAACCAAGGTCGAAGCCGAAGAGCCTGGTGGAAAATAATAGCGGAAGATGGACTTAGGCTGGCCCAAATATTGATACTTGGGATGTGCTCTCTGGAGAAAAACACGCTTGACGATTGGCTGGCAGTTTTATCCGGGGCCGATTGAAGGTCTTGACAATCGAACTGCTACAATGCAATTCTTTTGATTCTTCTATTATTCTGAAATTGCTATATTGTCAAATTCGATCCCGAATGTTAACACGAGGCTACCTCGAGAGCCTCACGGAAGTATACCAGGCCCTATATTTCTCGATTCGTTGGATGCCACCAGCGATCTGCCCAATCCCCTCAAATACCTTCTGTTCGAGGTCCCACCTTTCTCCCTTTGACCTCTCGAGACTCGTCGAATCTCATCTCCCAACCTTTCTACAAATTCTATGTAAAAGGTTATCTTCTTCCCACGCGGTGATACTTGTCTATAAACACGTATGGCCGACCGATTTGTGCCCCCAGCCCCTCTTACCTTGATGTTCATACTTCGCCTCTTAGACCATTTGCCCCATTCTCCCATTAGGATCTGTTTTCGCTCCCCCAAAATGCCAGTAGTCTGGTTGCTAACTACTAAGAAGTTGTGCTATTCTATAGGTAGACACAGGGACACCAGGAACCCTTATTTGATCAGCTTCGAGCACGGTAGAGACCATTCCCAAACCTCTCTTCGCACATAGGAACATCACCCCCTGACAGTACATACCCGGCCCCCAGTCCAACATCAACATGTCAAACCGCACCGCAGCCGTCTCTACCAACGACCAAGGAGGCCCAGGAGCTCGCAACGGAGCCCGCCAGACCGAGTCGGCACGCAGCGAGAACGCAGCAAAGTGAGTAGTCATCGTTTCTCGTCCGGCCCAAATTGCAAGAAAGAAACCATTCCTCTATTATCTCTTACCTCTCTCTCTCTCTCACTGTCTTCTCTGAACGCATCTCCTCCTTCTTCTTCCGCCCCGTTAACCAAACCCCCTTCCGGCAACGCTTAAATTGATCCAAAAGCTGAGATCTCGTGACCTCCCCACCAGCCTGAACAGCGAACATGCCATCGACTCACCTCGGCGCTGCCAGCAGATCTCCCAGCAGGAAATCGAGCTGAACTACTACCGAAAGTTCCTGGAAGACTTGGTCGCTGTCGTGCGCGACGCTCATAGCGATGCTGTCGCTCGGCTTGTCTCGCTTATTCGCTCCGGGGCGTCGAAGGAGGACATCCGCCTCGCCCTTCAACGCGTCCAAGATGAGATTTGACCGTCGCACTTTACTCGACCAATGAGAACGAACATGTGCTGTGGTTTGTGGCTTTGGCGATTGTTTGTCTTTTTTTGGTTTCTTGGAGCGGCTCGAGAATTGGGTGACATAATCGTGCATTACTGTTGATGTCTTCTAGGAGAACAATCATGATTCATGAGAGTGTCCTTCTTCTTCCTCTTTTTGCCTAGGTCTTGGAAAAGACATAAGACAAATGAAATGCTGTAAGTCGAGTGGTAGTCAATATAACTCATGACGCTTTTTTTTTTTTTTTTTTTTTTTTTTTTTAACAAACTTGTTGGGGGTTGGGGGGGGTTTTAAAAAAGCGGGTTTTTTGTGTTTTGTGTTTTGTAAAAAATTTTTGGGGGGGTTGTGTTGAATTTGGGTTATT